GTATTAGTCTAGTCTTTTTATTTTTCTTTTAGATAATAGTTTAGCTCTCAGGAATTATATATAAATATTAATAGAATAAATATAGAAATATAGAAATATATGTTTTCTAAATAGATTAGAATAAAACCTATAGGATTCCTGTAATATTTATATTAAATCTATAGTACTAGCTAGTAAAAACTTTAATAACCTTAATAAGACTTGAATTATAAGCCTAATCCTTAGATTTCCCGCTTAATTTCAAGATTAAATAGTTTATAACAAGTTACCTATTATAGAATATATTATATTCTTTTTCTAAAGAATACCAGATACTAGTAATAATCTAGATATCCTAAAGCCCTTAAGATTTTTTATAAGTTTCTGGCTTTGGGGCATTTTTACGGCTAGTTAATTTTATAAAGTCACGTGACCACGTAATTCCTTATACTAATTTAAAGAAATTATATCTTTATATATAGCTATAATATTACTTTTAAGAAGCTTAATATAAATAAACTTTTATAGCCCAAATATTAATTATTAAATAAGTTATTCAAGATTTCTTTATTTTCTAAATTCTCTAAATTATTCTCGTATTACTTCTTATTATCTATAGAAACCTTACTATTAAGATTATTTTCTTTAATATTCCCTGGTTCTTAATTTACTATAATTATATTCTCTAGTTTCTATTTTACCTCTCGAATTATCTCTAATTACTTATTTCCCCTATAAGAAAGCTTAATATTAAATAAGAGCTTTCTAACTCTTTTTTTATAAAGTTTAAGGATATAATAAAGGAACTAATATACTCTAATATAGTTTTAATCTAGCCCTACTTTAAGTTTATTTATAATATATATAATACTAGTATTTTTAAGGAAAGTTATATAAAGCTCTTTAATTTTGGGAATTTAATATATTATATAATTATATCTTATAACTTTTTCTTTAAGCTTAGAAAGTAATTACTTAGTTATTTCTATTAGAGAAGTACTATAATAATAAACTTTCTAGTAATAATTATATAGTTCTTTTAGAACTCTAGGCCAGAGATAATTAGTTCTTATTTATTAAAAGCAAATTAGACTAATATTATAAAGAAAGACAAAGTTATTAATCTATTAGTAAAAGATATTTATATAAATAAATTAAATAATAATTAGGTTATAATAAGACTTTTTATTAAAAATACTTATATTATAAAAAGATTTAAAGAACTATTTCCAGGTCTTTATAAGCTTACTAGCTAAGGTATTTTATTATATCTTAATATACTAATTCTTTATTAAAGGCTTATAAGTAAAGGCCTTTTTCTATAATAAATTATAATTCTTTACTAATTACCAGAGCTCGACTTATATAACTATTATAAGTAGTATCTCCTAGCCTTTATTAGCTCGTAACTTTTTTAAAAAGTAGCCCTATTTCCTAATATAAAGGAAATAGAACTTTAGGATAATAATTTATATATAATTTAATATACTAATAAAAATATTAATTATTATTCGAGAATATATATTAATAATACTATAAATCTAGAAGCCATAATAAAATAACTTATTATATCTATTTATAAACTAATATTAACCTGGCCTCTTTATAGTAAATCTCTTATATTTCTAATTCTTATATTTATCTTATACCTTTACTTCTATCTTATCTAATATCCTAAGTATTTACTATATCTTTTTACGAGATATAAATTTACTAGTATTTTTTCAGATCTAGTAATATATTTTCCTATAGCTATATTAGATTAATTAATTACTTTTTAGTTTCTTGAGAATAAATTCTTTAGCTTTCTTAAAAGTATTAATATACTTATTATTAAATTAATTTCGTTTTAGCTAAAGCTTATAATAATAGCAAATTATTTTCAGGATATATATATTAAGCCTAGGATAATTAAGTTTATAATTAAAAATCTAAAATATATATTTAGATAAATAGTTCTAATACTAGAAGTAATATATTATCTTAACTAGCTTCTTATTACAGAGATATTCTTTAAGTTTTACTTGTTATTAATCCGGAGAGAGTTTAGTATTTCATTATTATAGTCAGGTAATATAGTTAGTTTTACTAGTATTAAATTCTTCTAATTATAAGATATATCTAATATCCTAAAAAGTCTTCTCTTAAATATAATAGAGTTCTTTAATTTGAGCTTAATACTATTTTTATAATTAAGGATTAATTCTATTAGCTCCTATAATATAATATAGTTTATAAGTTATAGTAATAGTAATTTGAAATAAAGAATAAAAGAGAAGAAAAGATATATAATTCTTTAAATATTAGTTTATACTAGTATAAATACCCTACTTTTATATTTATATAAAATATAGTATTATAATTACTAGAATAATTATAATTATAATTTTATATAAAAATAGTTCTATAATCCAGGGTTTTAAATATAGTCTTATTTTTATATTATATTATCTAGATATATTATATCTAGATTATTAAATAATACTAATATTTCTATTTTTATATATAAAGAAAGCTTATTTTTAGTATTATATAACTATATAATTCCCTGAATTCGAGAAACTAATATAAAATTTAGAAAAAGCAATTTGCTATTTATATAATTTTAAAGTTATCTAGGCTTCCTAACTTAATTCTATATTTTTTAGGCCTAATTAGGAACTCTCTATTTATATTCTAGTATTATACTAGTAATAGAGCTATAGATATAACTTACCTAACCTGCTTATTTAGTCCCGGAATTATATCTTATAATTCTCTATTATAAAAGTAATACTAGTATAATAAATACTATTACTTATAAAGTTAATTCTATTTTCTAGTTAGTTTATTAATTCTATTTTTACTTTTATTTACAAATTTATTATTATTTTATAAAATAAAGAGCTTAGAAAAATTAATTCAATTTCCTGGATTATTTATAAATTTATTCTTTTATATTTTTTAGGCCTTTATAATATAAAAATAACTCTGAATTTATAATTACTTCTCGGGAAAAAAATATTATAAAAAGGCCTTCTTTTTCTTCTAACTAAGCCTTTTTCTCTTAATTATAATACTATATCTAATTTCTTTTTTACTTCTTTTCTTTTTTCTTTAAGTATTATTTAAGCCTTTCTTTCTATTATAAGATAAATATAATTCTTTATTATATTACTAAAGAAGTTCTTAAAAAGAAAAAAGAAATATAATATATATAATATTAATAAAAATAAGTAATATAATATAGCTCGAATATAAAGGCTTTAAGCCTCAAGAGATTATAGAAAAGTAATAAGTTATGCTTTCTTTATATAAAAGGCTAGAATATAGTATTAATTAAATATTAGAATAATAATTTATTAAATCTATTAAATTCTTTCTCTTTCTTAAATATCTTATAATCTTCTTCTATTATTACTAATAAATAATTCTATCTCGAGCTTTTTAATATCTCTAATAAGATAATATAAATTATAAAAAATATCTATAAAATACTAGAGATTTGAGATATAAAGTTTTATTCTAGAAAAAAGCTAGCTAACTTAGATAATCTAAAGATTATAGTAAATCTAGAAGTAATATATAATTAAACTCGAGGCTATTTAGTATTTATATCTTATATTAATTATATAAAAGAGAACCCTAAGAGCTCGTAATAAGAATATATACAAGTTTAGGGCAAATTTAATTAAGCCTATTATAATTATAAATATAATAATAATAATAGAATATATATCTTATACTATTTTAATATAGTACTAAAAGATCTAGCTTCTTTTAAATTAGTTTCTATAAAACCTTAATTTTTAAAACCACAAATACTCTCGAAATAAAGTAATAAAATAAAGAGACTAATAAAGAAAAAGAGAAAGAGAAAGAAAGAAAGTAAGAATAAAGATAAAGAGAATAATAGAGATAGAGATATTTCGAGTATTATAGAAAATAATAGCAAGAATAATAATAATAAGGAAAATATGCCTTATAATTTATGAAATCTATTATATGAACTATATAAGTTAAAGGGAGATTAATAGTAGTTAAGAAGGGAAAGCAGAGGCAGGGGCAGGGGCAGAGGAAATATTAGAGATATTATAGCAAAGATAAATATAAATATTAGTATATTTAGTAACTGCGAATAGCTTTATTTTGGCTATCTTTATATAAGTTATATATACGAGTATAATAGTAGTTATACCCGTAGAATATGGTATTTTGGTTACGGGCGATTTTTGGTAAGGTGCGCACGTGCCACAAATCAGATATTGAAAACCAGATTCGAAAATCGCTTGATCACTTGATCCTTACGGCTTTCCGTAACCGAGGGCTAAATCTGCCTTGCAGTCCCCGACGGAGCAGGCAGCATCAAACTCCGAGCATCCTCGAAACTGAACTTGAAGACAGCTTCAGCTACCTTTACACCATGGGTGATCCCTTCTCAGTTGCTGCATCAGTCGCCGGCGTCATATCACTTGGCGCAGCTACAACAAAACTCTTCTATCAATTCATCGCATCGATCATAGACGCACCCCGAGAGGTTCAGGCTATCACCAGCTCCCTGTACAGCGTCAACATAGCCTTATGCCAAATCCAAACCTTGTTGCTAGATCTTACCTATGCCTCCGAAACAGCTACTGAGGATCTTGAAGACCTTGATAAATCGGTCTGATGCTGCGTGTCATGCTTCAATCTCATCGAGAATTGGCTGCGTAGCGTTTGTCCCGAAACATGAGTACAAGAATTCTAAATGTGTCCTAAGCAAATTCACCACCCAGGCCCTGAAAGTGGTCAAGAACGCAGAACGAGCAGTGCGGCGTAACACACAAATTATCAAACGGCTCGAGCTTCGAATTACGAGGGTACTCCAGGATGCCATAGGGCGCTCCCTCGAGACGACGTCTTCAGTTTCGTTGGATTCTATCTGCACCCAAGCAGAAATTGAGCGACTGCTTACCGACTCCGGTTCAGCATTAAGTTTGACGCTTACCGATGTTTGTGATGACTCGGCTTCCGTCATTATCATCCCAGACTCATTAAGTGGAGTGGACAGTACGTCTGCTAGAATCGAATTCTCTTCAACAAATATGGAATCCATATATGATTCTCAGTTTGAGGACAATATTGCTCCAGGAGAAAGGGGTTCAAATGAAGCTGTCACTAAGGTTGCTGAGGACATTAACCGACCAGTTAAAGTGAAAACGAGTAATCAACTCAGGATTGGTTCATATTTCAGTCTGGCAAACACGATCGGAACATCTGGGGCCCCTCATTCAGCCATAGTGACGGAAGAACAAGGGGAAGAACAGGATTTAAGGGAACATGAAGGAGATGATCGCCCCGTAGGTAACATCGAAAAGAAAGGGGCTCTCTTGGTGGCCCATCAGATCATGCATGATTTAGGATCAAACCGGCTGACGAAACCTACAACTAACAAAATAAAACGGTCAACAGTAAGGGATTTATTTCGACGCGTAATGGCTGCACCACCAAACGCAATTCTGGTGAATAAATTCTTCGTCCCATTTACTGGTCTTTTGCTTAACATTATTATAGGATGGAGGGCTTAAAGTAGCTGTTGAAATGTACCGTGAACTTAAGCTAAGTTCCGAATTACTAATGTCGAACCTTGAAAATTCTGGAAGATGTATTGAGAGGTTTGCCTTTTATGAGGAGTCGTTTCGAGGAGTGGTAATAGGGTCGATCAATGCAGACCGATACTTGAAAAGCTGTTTCAAAAATGCGGAGGAGGCCATTCGCAATTATACTGACTATGCTCGGATAACATACCCAGGTTCGGCACTGCGGCACTTACATTCCGCCTCAAACTAAATACTGATTAAAGAAACAGAATCGTGGAAGAAGTCTTCGCTTGTACAGACGCTCCGAGGATCATTGACCTCCCCTCATTTTCAAGAGCTTTGGGAAAAGGTCGATGCTTCAATGAACGAGCTAGATCGAACCATTAGCCTACAGCTTATGCTTGAACAGCGGGAGAGAACCGAAACATCGATCACTGCGCATAGACGCTTAGAAGAAACTGCGATCAATACCTACCTCTCACAGCAAGAAGTTCTTCAGGTGCATGGGAATCTTGAGTTGAAAGTTGAAGCGACTCACCTGCTAGTGGTGATGGCTATGAGCAAGATGGAAGGTAAACGACGAGGGACCCACCGGAAACGTCAAAAGAGTAGGAGGAACGGGGCAGAGGGCGATACAAGCAAGGTTGCAAAGCCTGGAAAGGATGGGACTGAGAATATCAAGGCTGAGAGCGGGAGGGAGCTAGGTTATGAAGCACCTCTAGGGAATTCTGAGAAGAGCTTTCACCCCAGTGTGGAAGATTGGGAGACGTCGAACGAGGAAGAGAGTTGAGAAAAAGTATAGTAATGATCTATATAGCACTATATACCTGCTCAGTAGTCAGTCACTCGGTGGTTATGGTGGGAGGTATGTTTGAGCTTGAACGCGCTTAGGATTCTTGACAGATCAAAATTATTAAATGCCCATGCGTTCAGAACAGCGCTAATGCAGAGACTTCTACCGGAACCTCAACGCAAATCCAAGTTCAAACACGGAATTCCTCCCCCTGCTGGCTCCGGAGACTTGCATATAAGCAGTCCCCGTCTATTTATTAACTGGCACCGTCCTAGGCTTGCTCAAAATCACCTCAATGACACTATTAGTCACAGTCGTATTCCCATTTAACGACACGTCTCCATCAACCGGCGCAGTCGTTGGTTCGTAAAAACATCATATATGCTCTCTGATCACCGTAAGACTTCCAGGTAGAATAGGTACCGTTGTTGCAGACGGCACAATCATGTTCGGTTTTCCAGAAATCGTGATAATCAGACCTTCCAGTGGTAGATTGGGGTTAAGGAGGATAGTTTCAAGACCGGTGAAGGCTCGAATGCGGAGCCTGAGATTACTGTTATGCTGCCTGGGAGTGTGGGAATGGTTGTTTGGCTTGGCGTGACTAAGAGTGAAGTTCTAGAGAGGATGCTCGTGCTTCCTGTGAGTCCTGGCGGTGCGTTTCTTACTGGTATTGATGCCGTTGAGATCACCCAAGAGGAGCCCCGCTCACTGCCGTTGTGCTACCGATAGATGCAGATGGTGCGGGACCACCGCCAATCACAGAGTTGGTTGTATAGCTGATCGAAGTGGGAGGTGAATTTTCATGTGGAATAGGGATTGGTGTTCAATGCGAGAGACTAACTCGTAAGGGCCGATTTGGCGGTAAAATGTAAAACGACACCCCTTCCCCCCCGGGGGTCGATTGAGGTGTCGATTAGGGGAGCAGTAGCCTAATATAGAGGCGCTCGACAGGAATATCACAAATCTAGCTTTCCCTTTAAATTTAATTTAATTTATAACGAATTAATAGTATTTAAGACTTTCATTATTTTATTATACTACTAATTAATAACTATTCAAATGTAAATTAGTAATAGTTCTTTAAATTAAAGAAATTAAAAAGTATATATTTTATAACTTAAAAATAAGCTTAAGAAAATATAGAGATTTAGTAAATAAGTTCCTAAAGCTAGATATGAGAGCCTTATAGACCCCTAAATTATAGGATCTTATAAAGGCCTATAATTTAATACTTAATTAATTAATATATAAATTCTTTTAAATTAAAATTCTATTTTAAGAAGTTTTCTTATTATAAGTTAATATAAGGCACGTAATAGCAGGGTAATATATAAGTAGTTAAGGTAAGTAAGCTATAGAATAATGCTTATAAGTATAACTAATTCCAAGAATTAATTCTAATAAAAGACTAATTAATGCCCCTTTTTAAAGCTAGAAGCGTTTCTCTATATATTCCCTAGTATTTAGCCAAGCCTATAAAATACTTTACTTAACTAGGAAATACAATTTCATATAATTTATATAATTCTAATTATAAGCTTTACCCAAAATAGGAAATTAGATCTATAATATCTAATATCTATCTATATACTATTATATATACTTATTATATTAATTCCCTTTCTGGGCTCTTATTTTCAAGAGGCCTGAGAAAACTATAAATAGCTTTATAAATAATTCCCTGAAACTTTCCTGGCTACTAGTTTCCCCTAAAGACTTCCTATAATTGCTCTATTATTATATTAGGTAATGGAATTAGAGATATAGTTTACTAACCCTATCTAATTAACTTATAAATTGCCTCTAGTAATTTCCCCTTATAAAGATAGTATAAATATAATATATATTATTAGATATAAAACTTTTCTAGTCTTCTAATTAGTTTATAAATTCTAACTTAGCCTCTATTTATAAATAACTTATTACTTTATAGGCCTAAGAGTTTAGAAAAGTTAATCCGATTTTCTGGTTTATTTATAAATTTCTTTTTTAGAATTTTCTAGATATTTCTAGTATAAAGCTAGTTCCGAATTTGTAATTACTATTCGAGAAAAAAGTATTATAAAAAGGCCTCTCTTTTCTTACTAACTAATCTTTTCTTTCCTTAACTATAATATTATATCTAGCTTTTTCTTATTTCTTGCCTTTTTTTTAAGCCTTTTTAAGCCTTTTTAAGCTCTTTTAAGCTTTATTTAAATTCTTTTCTAATTTCCTCTTTTACTTCTTTATCTATTAAAATAAATACTTCTTTTAGTATTTATTAATCTATTATTATTTATTTGACTAATACTTCTATATCCTTAATTTACTCTTATTATTAAGTTTCCTAATCTTACTTATATTAAGAGTAATAATTATTTAATATATAATTATTACTATTCTAAAAATAAGAAATATAATTCTATAAGTTATAAATTTCTTTCTTTTATTTCTTATTCTAATATTATTTAAGGTTTTTTAAATATATATAATATAATTAAACTGCCTTTTTTAAGCTATTAATATATATAAGTATTTTTTCTAACTTTTACTTAAAAGAAAAAAGACTATTATTATTTTTCTTTTATACTAAACTATATATACTTCTTATATTAAAGCTATTATTCGAGGCTAATAAATTCTTCTAATAATCTAAGAAATAAGTCAAGTAATTCTTACTAGCTTAATATAAGTATAAAGTACTTTTAATAGTATAATTAATATTCTTTAGTATTAAGTAAGCTTATTTCTTTTTTATTTCTTACTAATAACTAATAGCTTTATAAATTAATTTACTATCTATTTCTCGAGAAGATTCTAATAAGAATAATAATAAGAATAATAAAGAATAGTTATAAGAATAGAATATTTATAAAATATAGAAATTAGAGTTTTTAAAGTTCTTAATAATTTTCGTATAGCTTTTCTAAAAATAAATATATGGTTTTTAATAGTTTTCTAATAAAAGTATTTATTTTTTATATTTCTATTTAGCTAATAATATTATAATATTACTTTTTTCCTAGTATTTTTATAATTCTTGAACTATATTTTTTAGATTACTTAGTAATTTCTATATATTATTTACTAGTAAATAATCTTTTTAATAAATAAGACATTTTTTACATTTTTTATTTTTTTTATAAACTATAATAAATTCTATTTCGAATTTTCTTTTGTCCTTAATCTCAACTAGTTCTGGTTCTATTATAGTACTAGCTTATAAGTACTATGATTTTAAGAAAGAAATATAAAAAATATTATAGATTTAATATAATAATAGTAATTCTAAGTAATATATTTATTTATATATTTTTATAATTTCTAGAATTTTAAAAGAGCCGAGATATCTATTTACTAGCTTTATACTAGGTTATAGCTATTAAATATTCTTTATATAAAGTATAACTTTATTATATATATTAAACTTCTTATTAATATATTTCTTATTATAGTACTTTTTCTATATATTTACTATTTCTTACTATTACTTCTCTAGTATTTCCCGTTTTATTTGAATTCTCTATATTTTTTCCTATATTATTAGTATTTTCTTTTCTGAAATATTATTTTTAATATATAGTTTAATACTAGAATAAAATTCATATAATATATAAAATAGAGAAATTCCTATTATTAAATATATAAAGTTATTATATATGAATTTTATAAAAGCAAGCTTTATTATCTAGTTATTTTACTAATAGCTAGTATAATACCTTAAGTACTATTTTAGAGTTTAGTTTAGATTCTTTATTTATTTATTAGTTTATAAATAAAATATTATATTTAGTTATTATTAAACCTTTAAGTAAAAGTATAAACTTAACTAGAACTTACTTATAAAAACAAATTCTTTATTAGAGGTTATATTTATAAGTATATTAAAGTCTTTAATAATATAATATATAAATAGCTCTACTAACTCAAGAGCCGAGATTTCCTTAATAATTAGAATGTATTATATTATTTTCATATATTTATTAATAATAATAAATATAGAATTATATATTTTATTATAAAACTTAAAAGAAAATAGCTCTATAATAAAGTCTATAGTAATTTCTTACTATAGCTTAAAAGAAAAAGAAAATAAACTAAGTATATTATATAATAAATATCTTTTTACCTTAGTTTATTAATATATAAGACAAGTTCTAATATTTTACTAGTATTAAAATACTTATTTATAGGATTATTATAATTAGCTTATAGTAATTTTTCTTTAAAAGCCGGCTTATTTAGTATATAAATAGTATTCTAATATCTTAATAATCTAGATATATTAAATTCCTAAGTCTTAATAGCTCTAGTAAAGATTTCTTTTAAGAACTATTTATATTACTAGTATTATATTAATAAATTAAGCCTTTAGTATTATAATAGTAATTTAAATAGTATTTCTCTATTTTTCTTATATACTATTTCGGACCTAGCTATTTATATAACTAGAATCCGTAATATATATTATTTATAACTAGCTATACTAGTAATAGGTTTAAGTAATAGTTTTTCTAGTATTACTTTATTATTAAAATAGATTTCCTTTTCGGAATTCTTTAGTATTTTACTAATTAAAAAGTATCTATTTTTTCTTTTCTAGGCCTTAAATTATAGTATTATAGGAATAGTATAGTATCTTATTACTATTACTTATAGGACTCTCTATTTTATATTTTATAGCTTATTATAAAATATAAGTAATAAAATGTTTTTATTTATATTTATTATAAAGTCTAGTTTTCTTAATAACCTATTAGTAGAATTACTATATTCTAGCTAGTATTCTAAGACAAAATTAAAGATAACTAGCTTTTTTACTTATTTTATTTATTAACTATTTAGTTTTCTCTTAGTATACTAGATATATATTAAATAATACTACTAAATATAAAATATTAGAATAATAACTAAAAGTTTAGAATTATATATCTTATATCTATTCTTAATTATAATTATCTTTTTTAAATAAAAAGTAATAGAATATTATCTGATTTCTGTTCTTTTACTAAAGAACTAGGAAATTATATTTATAATTATAAATCCGAAAGTATCTATTTTTATATAAATTTTTAAAACTAGATTAAAATAATAAAGAATTAATACTATTATAAATATAATTTATAGCTTTTTAAAAGCTTTATTTACTTTATTTATCTAGCTAAAATAATATTATGAGTTTTTACTAGTTTTTAATAAATTAGTTAATTTTTTTATTATCCTAAAGTATCTATAAATAAACTTTTAATAAAAGTTAGTAAAATTCAGGAATATTTAGATTTCTCGAATATTATTTTTTAGGGCCGACTATTTCCTAATAGCTATAATCCGGCTAGCTTCTATTTTTATATTATCTGAGCTAATTATAAATTCTAGGAACTTTATTTTTTTTATATTAAAGTCGTATTTTATTAAGTTTATAAAGAGCTAGTACTATTATATATTATTCTAGATTCTTTAAATAAATCAAAATATTATCTAGATAAACTATATAAATAATATTTATAAAGCCTACTAATATATAGTTAATATATACCTTAAATATTACTGGAATATTAGATAATTCAAAAAATATAATATAATATTTAAAATACTATTTTTTACTTATTATTCTTTTATATTTATAACTAATAATAAGTATTTTTTAAGTCTAGCTTTATATATATCTTTATTCTATAAAGCCTATTTATTATCTTATTAATAAATAATAATAGTATTTAGTTTTTAATAGTAATTCTATTTAGATTCCGGTAATTAATATATAAATATAGGCCGCTTTCTTTCTTTAAAATAAATATAATTAGAGTATTAGCTAGACTAGTAAAATAATAGATTTTTTTTTTTCTAGACTAGTATTAAGATATTTCCAAAGAACTTTAAACTCTTTTTCTAATAAAGTATATATAAGACTATATAGTAGTTAGAATCCTAATTTCAGATTTATATAATACTTTATTATATAATAGTCGAATAGTATATTTATAGCCTTTATAGAAAATACTCGAAAAAAGTTCTAATATTTCTTGGGAAATATAATTATTCTATTAGTAATAATAGTAATAATTCTTTAGTTATCTATTATTAGATAAGTAATTAATAGAAAAATATATATCTTATACTTTATTATTTTAGTAAACTTTCTAGTATTTAGAATTTTAATTTTCTATAATTAAATCTAGTATCTTTATATTACTTTTCTAAAAGAAATTAGGGAATTAATCTAGTAAAGCTATAGGAATTCAAGTATTATATTAATATAATTTAGATTAAAATTATATAATATAAAGTATATATTAGCCTTTTTTTAGTTTCCTAGTATATTCTCGGTAATAATCTTAAGAATATAATCTTTATATAAATAGATTCTTTTTTCCTCTAATAAGAATAAGAAAGTTATTTTTAATATTAATAAAATACCTATATCTAAAATTAACTTTCTTTTTATATAATTAGCTTCTATATCTGAATTAACTAATACTTTAACTTTTTATTTACCTTTTTTTATTTTAATAATAACCTTAATTATTATTCTTATTTTAGGGGCTTTGCTTTCTATAATATAAACGAGTATAATTACTATAAAATATATCCGTTTCTTGGTTTCTTTAGTTCTAGGTACTTATATAACTTATAGCTAGATTTATTATAATTATAATAAGTCGGTTTTCTTTAATTAGAATAAATAATAATATAGTAATTCTTTTTCTAGTAAATAAAGTAAATTATATCTAGTTTTATAAATCCTAATATAAATACTATATTAGATCCTATTATTATATTTTTATTATTCTGGTTTTATAAATCTTATAATAGAAATATATTTCTTTTTTATTTTCTTTTATTATTTCTCTTTTCTTTTTTCTATTTTTTTTCTTTTATTATTTCATTAGCTTTTTATTATATTTCTATTAAATAAATAGATTTAAATTATTCTTAATTCTTATAATAATAAAAATAAGCTTCTTTTTTTCTTATAAAATATTTACTTAATAATTAATCTTATTTCGGATCTCTTATCTTAAGCTACTAAATAAGTTATTCTATTCTTATAGTAAACTTATATATTCTAAGTTATCTAATAAACTATCTAAATAAGGTATAAAGCTTTAAATATTCTAGCCTAGTTATTATTTAGTATTCTTAAATTTAGTAAGGGTATTATTATTATAATTTTCTGGATCTAAGATAAAATCCTTTATAAACTTAATAAAAGTCTCCTAATCCGTAATATTAATATTTACTAATTATTTCCTATATTTCCAGATATTTCTGGTTATATTCTTAAAATAAGAAATATAATATATAACCTTTATTATATTAGTAGCCCAGGTAATTCTGCTATCTTTATACTATTTTAACTTTATCTAATAAAAGAAGTCCTAGGCTTCTTTAATATTCTTTCTCTAGTAAGTAAGTAGTTCTCGGGTTTTTGAAGTCTTCTGAACTAAGGGTACTATTAGGGATATAACGGATTCTATACCAGATATCCGAATATCTTTAAGATGATAGATCTGAGTTTCTAGCTTCTCTAGATCTTCTTTCTATTATATTTCTGCTTCTAACTTAGTAATACAATAGCGAGCCGCTACTAATTTCTCTATTATTATTATCCTACTAGCTAGTTCTAGAGATATCTGAGTTCTACTTCCTTCTCCTAATTAGGTAGTATAAAGAGTACTTGACTAGATGCTCCTCTGGGTATCCGGTTAGGTTGCCCTAGTAGTAGTAGAGGCGCTTCTTCTGGTTAATACTCTAGCTATTAATATTTTTACCTATTAATAGCTTAACTACCTTATAACAAACTACTCCCCGAAGATTGGATTAATTAGAATATAAGGTACGTAATAGCAGGGTAATATACAAGTAGTCAAGGTAAGTAAGCTATAGAGTAACGCTTGCAAGTATAACTGATTCTAAGAATTAATTCCAATAAAAGACTAATTGATGCCCCTTTCCAAAGCTAGGAGCGTCTCCCTATATATTCCCTAGTGCTTAGCCAAGCCTGCGAAGCACTTTACTTAACTAGGAAACACGATCCCATGCGATCCGTATGATTCCGATCGCAAGCTTTACCCAAAATAGGAAACTAGATCTACGATATCTGACACCTGTCCATGCGCCATCACATGTGCCCATTACAGTTAAGAAGCACGTAATTATATTATAAGCCTTATAAGGTAGTAGGTTATACTTATATTAAAAAATTAACTAAAAGTCTCTAAATACCCTGGCCCCTAATTGATACCCCAATCGACACCCTGGGGGTGTCGTTTTACATTTTCCCAGCAGTACAGACGCGAAAAAGAACCCCGAGCCTAATTTTCGCTTAAAAATGTCCGCACATAAGTTAGTAATATCGCTGTAAGCTGCACGTGTGTTCCGTAAATGGCGTCGAACAGGTGTGGCTTCGTGGCTGTATGCACGGTGATTACTAATGGACGAATCAATGTGAGTCAGAGAGGCCTTCACGAGCTTCATTAAAAATACGATAATAACAGCCAGATGGGTCTTCCATAAGTAAGCACACAAATTATCGATATCGGTATTGCACCCTGATTCGTCCTGTCCTAGCCTCTGTCAGAGATTTGCCGTTACAATCTTTTGGAAATCAATTATTTATGTCCGCAGCGCGGGTAATGATATAAATATGAAGCCGGGGCGGAGTGAAAAGTGGTGTATTAGTTACAACAACAAGAAATCGGAGTGATGGAAGATTCAAAATCGAACTCGGTTCGCAGCGAGCAGGTCGGATCCGAGAGTGCGCAACATCAAAGACCACTGGCATTCCAAGTAGGTAGAGAATCAAAAAATGATTCCCCGTTATGTTACAATTCGTTTCCTGGAGAAGAATGGCTCTGTATTGTTGCTTACTCAACAAGTTCATCCAAGAGCATGGTTCACGTGCTCGATCAAGGTCTACGGTGCGTTCTCAGGCAAGGAAGTATGCGGCTATTGAACGTAGACGTCGAGAAAATCCATCCCCGGGACCTGGCAAAGATCGCCAGCGAAGGATTCAAATGGCACCCGACCCAGCCTTCAAACTCCTGGTAACTAGAGTAGATCCGGAATCTAATTCACTCGACGCTGCAGATTCGCCAAGTCACTTTGCTGACACACAACACCTGCACCAAAATACCACTCTAAATTTGAGTAAATGCCAGATAGATGTCCAATACGAGCAAGCCGATAACACATTTTCAGTGTGTTTGCCTCTAACGCGGGTCGATAAATACTATGAACCTCTATATCAGCTACAAATTTCATCACAGACAATAATTGGAGCTGGAAGAGTTGACCCATTTCAACGATATCCTGTCGAAGCACAACCTTACATGGAACGCCTTATATACTACTGTAAGAACTCGGTATCATTTTGCCTGTAGCTAGAGATCATTTCCCTCTTTTTCATTGTCTTTTTTCTTAAAGAAAAAAAGAAAGGAGGGGGGGGGCTTCGTTAATGTTGCTAATATTTTATAGATTGCACAGTTTGCAAAAAAAGCTCGGAAGCCTGGCAGATTGAGAACGGATCATCGGTCACGGGGTTTAATCGCATTGCCACGGAATTTATGCCTTTTTGCCTCACAGATGTAATGGCTTTCCAAAGTATCCTCTTTACTGCGGAGACTGGCCTCAGAAATGAATTGGGAGAAAATCCATGGTAAGATAGACTATCTTAAAAGCCCCTCGTGACTCAACATGTTCTAAGACAATTAGGTCTTTACGTGCCCACAAACTGTCGTTGGAATGCCTGGAGTTACTGAGAGCAAAAATGGCGGGACCTAACCTGGTGGTTAGTGATGCAATGATAGCAACGGTAGTTAACCTGGCGGTCTCAGAGGTAAGCGCTCTAGATTTCTCATTTTTTGGCGTACTATTTCCTTCCTCACATGACCGGATCTGACCTGAGCAGTTATTGTATATCAGAAATCCAATGAACTTTGAAAATCATATGACAGGCCTTAGGCAAATGGTCAAATTACGTGGCGGGTTAAATAAGTTCGATGGCATTTTGAAAGAAGTACTTAATTGGTAAACATATACCTAATTATCCCATCATTCTATACCTTCCTTCTAACATTGTAGTTTTAGGCTCGTTAAGTTATACAGCGAATTATCGCAAAGAGCACGACATACCCACGAGGAAGACGAATCGTTCACTATTCAGAAGCAACGCAGATTTCCTACCTCAACCTCGCTCGATGACTGGTCCTCGCTGTCCTATGAGACAATAACTGGCTTAAGCGTCAAGCGACCTAGATCATTTTTTGTTTAATATGCTCAATTAGCGGCAAGAGTGCTATTAAATTGACGCTGGCGGCAATGAAAGTAATCGGAAGGGTTTGTAGTCAGAGACAGGCCATTCAGACCCCATTTTCGGTCACAAAAGCTCAGGTTCACGGCGTAGGTCGATGGGATTGCGTTACTGCAGATTCTGGCAGCATTCGTTTGGAGGAAGTGTTTGAAGGAGGTTGAGGTATGGACCAAGTCGAGGAAGTATCGCATGGGAAGGTAAGCAGCTTTGTGGGAAGTAGAATAGGTAGTCCTTACCCACCGGAGCCGCAGAAGCGTTGAGCGCTGAATTTGTGGTGTTGTTCAAAGAATTTGTCTTTCCGATGGATCCTTTCGATGGGGAAGGAGTCGCCATGTTGCTCTTGAGCCCGAAGAGCACGGCCTTATTGGTGGATGATGACTCTCTTCCTGAAAACATATTTGCTTCTGCTCGTTTGTTTGGCTTGGGACTCGTCCTTGACGTGTTCCTTACCGACAAAGTTGCTTGGAGATTTACTCAAGTGGTGTCAGTCGTTTTTCATTGTCGAGATGGAAGATGGTTGATGAGGGATCTGGGAAGGATGGGACAAGGTTTATTTTTTATGGACTGCAATCCCAGTCTCTCGCTAAGACATTTAGAGACGCGAAATGATTACATGTAGGCAGCTTAAGATTCACAGTTTTAGTTTGTTCTAGAAGATGAAACGGGTTACGATGTGGCACCTATTGCCCTACAAGCTCTTATCATAAGTTCTCGAGGAATAATTGCTTCTAATACTTAGTAATGCAGTAAAGTGTTCCAACTAACTTCTAATAGTCGGTTATACAGTATGGCTTCAAGGTTCCCCTTCTTGCCCTAATCCATAGTACCAAATCAATTCCTTGGGAAAACCCAGCCTTGCAGTCGCCAGCTTCCCATCTTTGACACAAGGGCCACACGTCACCCTGCGATTGAACTCCCTCATAAAGTCGTTGAATTCCTTCCTGAAAATGAACACCGGTTCTTCATGATACCAATACAACACACCAGTTTGCAGAAACCCTTTCTGCAAAAAGAATAGGTACTGCGGCCCAGGATCGCTAAGCTTGATTTGGAAGTCGCGGAAATCCGTAAGGCTTTCAAACGGCGCGCAGCGAACCTTCTTGATAGGGTTGTGTTCACAGAGTCGGAGGTCTCGCAGATCAGTCCCCAAACAATCTGAGAAGAAATCTTCTCTTCGTCGAAGTTCCTCGTGGGTTGGTACAAGCCAGCCCAATGTCTTCTCGGTTTCCAAGATCTTAGCCTGCTTCGGGAAATAGGAGTTGATAGCATCATTACAGATTGTTGAAGCGTGAGTCGTTAGAAAGTATCGTAAGAAACTTGAAGTGTGGGATAAGTAAAAGAAAGACTGCAGAGGCAGATGAGGGATGATCTTGAGGAGGAGCTCGGCAGGAAGGGCGGTGAGATAGTCCTTTCCTCTCAAATGGCTCGAAGAGGCATCAGCTGCGGGGTTCGTGTTCGATTTTGAGGTGGAGGCGTTGCTGGAGCGGAGCTGGTGAGAGGGCAGCCTTGCCTTGACTGAGACTTTCGCCTTGAAACACTGGCAAATGCCGCAACCCATTTGTCAGGAACGCCTTGGGTTTTGGGCGCAGTAGACTTGGCTGTTGCTTCGCAGAAGGATCGGCCGATTTCCAAAATTTGCCTTCTCCATGTTGGTGAGGAGGTTGGGAAATGAGCTGCGGGGAACGGTCCGCTCGGCGCGTATCTGCAGGTGGCTTGCATGCATACACGTGATAGAGTTAACTTTATCCTTTTCCCGTGTTCGAAGGAAGGCTGTTTGCAGGCTGGATCAGGATAAAAAAAAGGTGTGACCATCACATACCAGAGCAGTTGAGCACCCGTTTTGTCTCTAGTGCTCATGAGTCTGACGATTTCACGAAGTTAGCTCGAGCCAAAGACCAAAGAATATTCTCCCAAAATACAAAGCCCCCTCCCAAACAATCTTCTTTGTTTCTTCTGCACTGTAAGAAGAACAAGAAATAACCTTCTTTCGTTATCCCATAGTCCCAGTACAAGTTCCCTTTGCCACGTCAATGTTTCCGGCGACCTGGCGGCTGGACAAAGAACCGCGGCTGCAATCCATATTAATTCTCCTGCACGCCATAGTACCAGATCAAGTCTCTTTGACTTAAACCCCACGGTACCGCTCCTTGATCCTGCCCAATGACCCTCAACCCGCAGTTCAAAGGCTTCAAGAAGATTACTACATTCCTCGTTTAGATTTGCTTGATCTTGCCGTAGTCATCCAGGAGGCCTTTTGTGAAATGGCCTTACCAATCCGAAGCCACAGCAGATATTGAGGTCCAGGCTGCGATAATTTTACCTGTAAATTTCGGCCAATGCATTCTTCCTCCGATCTTGTACCTCGAGCGCAATATGTGTATTTCTTCTTATCGAGAAGATATCTTTCGAGGACAGGAATTTCTCAGTTTGTAGGGACGAGCCAGCCATTGATCAATTCCGGAAGGGATCTGGTCTGCCTCGTGCGAAAATTCATAGAGAATTTCAGAATTGTAAAATGCTGCTGCGTTTGCTCTGACAAATTGCCGGAGGTGTTTGGACGTTTGCATGATGTCAAGGAAGTCTGCAATCGGGACCTCCAACAAGATCATCAAGAGGACCTCAGGAGGAAGGCTTGTCAGATAGTTCTTCCTCTCGCGCAAGACAGCCTTTAGACTGTTCCCTGTAGATCACAAGCTTAAGAGGAGCGGAAGCGTTCTTCGAAGCCCAAGGATTCACGACCATTAGTGCATCCCGCTTCAGTAACGAGCCTCGTTTAGGCTTGATAGTTTTCAAAGATCTCAGGCCCATTTCTACAATATGAAAGTTTTGTGTTTATGTCCAGTGATTCCGTTGATTGGAGGAGAGCTGAGATGCGGATAAGATTGAGATTATTTTGAAGTGTTGGAGAAAGGTTGGGAGGCTCGCTGAATTCTGTTATCGAGCGTGGTTGAAAATTTACGACCTACTTATGCATTCACTACTCCATGATACAACATATCCGACCGCCCTCGGGCCTAGTTCCGTCCTCTCTCGAGTATTTGAGTGAACGAAATAATAAGCCTTATTCTGGATGTCAATTTTTGTGGCGCAAGGCGACGGTTTCGGATGATTTCGCTTGATTTATTTACTCAACCCCCTTATAAAACCTCGAGCCTTTTCAAGTTTAACAGCATTTCTATATGAAAGAAAACTCTCAACAATTATCAATAGGTATTGGGCCTCTCCATAATTTGGTTTGAAACACTTTTGGGTTCATCGAGCGGTTCAATACTTGAGGTGTTTGGAGCGAACTTTCCAACGAGGCAAAATATTTCAACTGCGGCTGCTAGTGATAGTGACCGATATTGCTGTAATTGAAAATACCATTTAAGGTGGATAATACTTTTGTCTATAGAACAAGCTGGTAATACCATCTTCGCCTGATTATAACAATTGATGGTGCAAACTCGCAACTTGACAATCAACAACAGACGCCGATCATAGCAGCACCACAACATTCCGAGCTGAGACATATTGCCGCTAGAGATCAACAACTGCCCGCAAACTCTCGAGTCCATGTCCAGCAATCAATGGTTCAGGAGCGAGGACGAATGACCCAGCCTTGAGAGAAGCGGGCCAGAAGTCCTCCTACACGATCTTGGCAATATAAGTGCCCTTGCAGAGGTAGCAAACACCTTCTTCAGCGCCAAAGCCTCCAGTAGGTTAGGAAATTCCCAAATGACAGTGGCCAAGAATTTGACACCTTCTATCTGCTTAACGACCCCCAGTTTTGGCGTCCAAGCAATGTCTCCTCTAATTGCGTCGAAGGCTCCGGCTGAGCGCTTACCCTTAAAGGCGTTATTAAAATCCGAAGCAGCTGTAGCACTACTGCAGTCAATGCACTCGCTCGCTCCGAAGTCCTTCACGAACTCGAAGTTCTTTCGTGACGCTGTGGTGATAACTTCATGGCCTGCATTGACAGTAAGCTGGATAGCATTGCTACTAACGCTGGATGCGCCACCCCATACTAGCAGAGTCTTACTAGTAGCGGTTGGACAGGTTCCGTGGGCAATTGGAGATTGAGGAACTCGGGGTTAATAGTGCATCAGCTCAGTTGAGACGCCCAGGCTCCGAACCACAGCATCCACCAACGACACTAGCAGCAACAGCCAGATCATAATTCCTTCTCCTATGCAACAATATATTTATAAACCAATTGTATTGCCAAGGGATGACCTCTGAAACTTGAATTTGCGCAGTTTACGAAAAGGATGTTCCTCCTATAAGCTTCTTCCTTCTCCCTCTATCTTTTTATTCAATTCTTTCAATTAACGGATACCAGTGCGCGTCGTGGAAACTAGCTACTGGTGAATCCGTACCAGATGTTGCAGTGTATACTTCGCTTCTCGTACATGTCCGGGAGGGATGGCGTATCTGTCTAGGGTGTTGCGGGGAATTGCTGGTACTACCCGTCCCGCAACCGCCACTTCAACCCCTCCGAAAACGGCGATCTCGTCCACTTCGAGTCTCCAGTTGCTGCTGTACCGCAGGTAACTGTTACCGTGATTGCACTCTGGTGAGGAGAGGTTTCAAGCGAGACGTGTAGTTGCTTAGGTTTTAGTGATGGCTGCTGCAATTGCCGCTTGAAGCTCATTTGTTATTATAAGATTTTTTTCGGGAGAAGCGTTTCTTACGTCTTCTAGAGCAGTCGACTCTTCATTAGTTGTCTCTCATACGCTTGAAGGAACTTCACCTTGCTCGTTTGATGATGGTCACGTGCATACATGGCGTTCATTCACGTGGAACTCCCTTCAATCCCCCTCAAATGCGACGAAAGAAGCCAGAGTGTATGATCATCATAAATGATACTCCTTTCAATGAATCCATCTATGTCCCGTCTGTTGTAGGTAGAAATGGTCATGTGCTGCTAACCGAAAAGGGGGTGTAGCGGTGGGGGTCAAACCATTCCCGCCGCACATTGATCATTTCCCGAGAACCCTCACAAACCAGACATCAAAACCGCACAAACGGCAGCACACACTCCTGACTCCTGCAGCACGCATGTGACTCAGTGTAGCAGCAATTTTAGTGCAGGAATCTCACCATGCAAGGCTACCCAACGTCTGTCCAATTGGGCTCGAATCCAGTCAGTGCACGCTGCACCAACGGTGAAGCGTCTCGCCAATTGGCCTTGTTCTGCCAACTGGCACCCGCCACGCATGCAGTTCGCCCGAGGCGCTTCTAATTTGGTGTCAACACAGCCGAGAGAAAAAAATTGTGGTTTCATTGTGAGTCTTCAATTTCACATCACTTCTCTTTCTTTCTCTCTTCACAAAAGTAATGATAATTCAGATGTGTATTCATATTTCCGCCGGTAGGTAGCGAGGGGTCGTGAAAGCTATGGCGAGAGGGCAGGCACTGACGGCGCTACAGTTCGATCACAGAGTTTTCCAGCCCCCCGGCCGAAGCTCGATGAAAAATGGCGACAGAAACCTTGATTTTCATGCCAAATGGCGATGTGACTCTTTCACTGACCCGCTACGTCCTGAAGGTGGATGAGAATTCATCCAGAAATCCTACAAACGTATCGAAACCACTTGATCAGAGGGCGCTTCACGATGATGGGAACCTTGAATCCGCGACAGACGTCGAGGCTGAACTTGAAGCACTCGCTGCGGCCGACGAAGAAAGTGTCCTCTTCTTTGCGCCCGATGCGCCTGAGATCCCAGACGGGCCAACATCTCCTCCACCACCTCGAGCAAGGTGGGGATCGAATGCTTCGTCGCGGCGCGACCGTTCCGAAAGCCCTCCTGCTTCATTCTGGGGCACCCTGAAGAGGCAGACTGCGAGGGTGGCTGCACCTGAACGTCCTCCGACCCCACTACCTGCAAAGAAGAGAGAGAGAATTATCCTGTCAAGCCACGAGGTTCACTGTGTCGTTTCCTCACGACATTTGATGCTCGCATCAAGGTATTTCCACACAATTTTGGGTGGGGATTTCCCTCAAGCAATGACCCTCCGAACAGGAGGGCATGTCGTGATCCCGCTCCAAGATGACCTCGACTCGATGATCATCCTACTCAACATCATTCATGGAGCAGGGAGGAAGGTTCCACGTCAAGTCAGCCTCGACGTTCTGAGCAAACTCGCAGTCCTGGTCAGCAAATTCGAGATGTTACCGACTGTAGAGTTCTTCTCGGATACTTGGATCGACAACCTGCAGAGAGGGGGACTACCCAAGGGCTATAATGAGAACGTGCTACCATTAGTGTTTGTATTTTGGGTTTTTGATAGACCGGATGAGTTCAGAGATATGACGAGGCTAGCGCAGCGTGAAAGCACCGAGAAGCTTGAGGATGATGTGGGGGATATGCCTATGTTGCATGGTATCATTGGTAAGTCTCAATCACATCGGCTTGAAGTGTCTGCTCTAACTTTCAACAGATGCGATCAAGCGGGACAGAGAATTTGCCATCGAGACCGCAATAACCGTTGTACAAGCTCTCATCGACAGGTATATGGCCGGCCAAGCCATCTGTGATAGTGCCCTGGACGACGAGCTCCGCTACGCCTGTGATTCTATGGTTTTGGGTTGTTTGATGTCAAGCTCTCGCAAAATCGGCATCTGGCCCAAACCTCTTGCACCTTTCAACGGCAAGAAATTCAGAGACCTTGTCAAAGCTATTCGAAGCATCAGGATCTTGGATGTTTGTAACAAGACGAGCAGTAGGAGATGGAACTCGCATGGGCCATCTCCTAATTGTCATGGGTTGGAGGACTCGATTGAAGCGTCGATGGAAAATATAGAGGCCGGGTTGGACGGCTTGAAGTTGGAGGATTATCCAAAGTTGAGGTAAGTCATTCTGGTGTCATATTCGGTCGAGCGGTGCTGACTCGAGTAGTGAGGATTACAGTTTGATACTCCAGGCATCTCTTCCAGAGCCCGAGCCTCTGGTTGAGGTTGAAAAGGAGCAATCAAAGCAGGACAACAACGAGAGTCTCCTCGTCTACATGAAAGAGGAGATCACAGAGCCGCCAAAGGAGGAGATTAGAGTCAACCGACTGGAATTCTCAGCGCCTTCTGCAAACCTCTCACCACGAATCGACTCCTCGAAAATGACGGAATATCCCAGACAAGAGGTCTCGGCACCATCACCTCGTTTCTCACCACACTTCGACTTGCCGAAGCGAGTAGAATCTCCCAAGCCAGAGGTCGTGGGAGCTTCACCTTTCTTTTCCGCACGCCTCGACTCTCAGAAAGCGGAGTCTTTCAAGCCAGAAGTCCCAGCTCCTTCTCCCTGTTTCACCCCACAAGTCGACACCCCGAAACCAATCGAGTCCATCAAACCAGAAGTCTCCGCACCTTCGCCTCGTTTCTGGACACCCTCATATGCCCCTAATGTTGCCGACGCCCCAAAACAGGAACTATCAGAAGCAACTTACTTCTACCCACGCAACGAAGGCCAAAAAGCAGAATCTCCCATCCAAGCACCTGCCCCTCGATTCTCTCCTGCCATCGATTATGTTCAAATGGCAGCACATCCAAGACAGATATTCAATTCTCCATCGTCTCCACCGTTTGGAGCCCAACAAGCAGAATCTCCCATCCAAGCACCAACACCTCGCTTCTCACCATCCATCACCCCCCCTCTAGTTGCACAATCACCCCCAGCCTCCGAACAACAACCAGCCCCCTCCCCTCCAATCCTCGCACGCACAAACCCCTTCCGAACCTCCGAGCCTCAATCTCCCAAACCCGAATTTTCAGCATCACCTCGCTTCTCGCCTCAAGTCTCCACCCCACAGCCCCCATCTAACTCCAAGCCTAGATTAGAATCCCCGATAAACGGCTTCGGAGCTGCGCTGAAAGAGGATGCCAGGAACCGATCACGAGAAAGGGAAAAGGATGAGCCTGCGCAGGAAGGCGTGAAGGTATCGCCTTCGCCTGTCACGGGGGGGTACTCTCCATCGAAAGAGTTTCTGCAATCGAGGGTGGCAGTCACTCCGCGAACTAACACCCCTGGTGGGGAAGAGATGAAGCGGATGTCGACGAACTCTCCGCCCCCGGCGCAGAAATTCAAGATGTTGGCTAAGGAAAGAGGGTCAGATTCGGAGAGAGAGGCAGGGGAGAGGGCGCCGAGTGTGATCAGTAATTTGAGTATTGATGAGATGTTGATGGATATACCGCAGCCGCAGCCGCAATCCACGAAGGAAGCTAGGAAGACTGTTGTTGAGGTTAAAGGGAAGGAGCAGAAGGGCAATCCCAATGGAAATGGGAATGGGAATGGGAACTCGAATGTGAGCCAGACTACGACGGAAACGGAGGATGCGTGGACGCCACCGAAGACTTTCAAGATGAAGAAGAGTAAGAAGACATTTTCTACGAGGTATTGAGGGATGTTTTTTTCATGAGTTTACGAGCGAGTGAATGATGTTTCTATGGAGATGTTACGATAGGAGTTGGATGTTAGCATCTTAGGGAGTACTAGGTGGAAAAGTTGGATGGTTTCATTGTTTCCTTTTTACGACTTCACGAATGATGAACGAAGGATGATGTTACGACGTTACGGGGCAGAAAATATAGGCTTGGTGTATAGATAGTAGAGCATTTGTTACTGTTGCTAGTTACGTGAATCTTGACGTCTTTTATTGTACCTTCTTCTCCTGAAATACCCATGTAAGAGCGGCTTTGGGCTTGTGTCTGGTAAAAGTAAATCGCTTGATTTCCGAGTGCAGAGCTTATCGGGGACTATCTGGAGAACCTGTCTTGATGGCTGGGAGCTCATCTACGTTTTTTCCTTTTTTTTTTTTCAGAGAGGGGCGGAGGCTCGTAGGTATACTTGGGTTCCTACCGATCCGGCAAAAGTTGCGCAGACAGATACCCCCCATTAGAGACTCTACATAAGCCCCGTTTTATCCATTGTCGAATCTCCGAATGTGTACTTAATGCTATTTATTCGCATCAATTTTCCTCTATAGCCAAAAGTGGCGGCGTCGTCCACTAACTCATAGAGAATGGCTCCTCGCCTACGCACCGAAAACACCTTAAAACTTCACAACACCGAGTTGATTTGTGATCGTAATGGGAAAATGACATCCAAAGGAATAGCCTTAAGTGTTACTGAGACTATTGTGCAGGGAAATCTTTTCTTTGGGAAGGGTTTGAACTTTTGAAGTCTTTCGAGTGATCTTGATCTGTACGCTAGGGGGCCTGATGTCTCCTGGTGCCCTTTATTCCCCATACTTTATGCCGCGATCTCCGTAAAAGGGGAGAGGTAAGATGGCGTTTCTAGACTTTTGTTTTAATGCGCAGGACCTTTTTCCACCTCTTTGTCCCTCGATTTTCGCCGCGAAAAACTCTTTCAAAATGCACATACAAATCTAACAACTCTTCAATATCTGGATGCTCCTCTATATCAACGTTACTGATCCCGCATTTGAACTACACTGCGTCCCCAACCTCGTCGGCAAGATTATCGTTACGCCATAAAGTTATTCTATGCCATGATTATCGACCTGCTTGGCTTCCCTAATGGAACGAGTTGGCAAAACCGTAAACGCAACTGACACTGAGAAAGACATAATTGCAATGAGGATGACTGTGTAGGAAGGCCCAATTATGTTAGTTAGCAGGATAATTTCATGTTTACGCATACTTCGGTTGAGGATAGTCTGAATCTGGACTGGCTTGATACTGTGCAACTGTGGCAGTCGTTTTTTTTGGAGGAGGAGGAGGGGAATAAGATCATCACTTTGATACCTTGGGCGGTGAGTTAATCTGTATTTGGATCTTAAGGGCTGTCTAGTTAACTTAGTTGTAGAATAGGACGGGGACTCGGGTTGCGAACAGGCTGTTATTAGCGTGGCAGAAAATGCTTTGATGCTTCCTGCATGGCTGCTACCCGATTACTGCTAGCAAAATATCGATCATTGATAAAATATCCTTTAAGAATTTTCTGAACCATTCTCCCAGTCTCAGCTCTTTCAATATCAGTAGCAATGAACAATCACAACTTCGTGTTTTTAGACGGAGTTACTCCATTCCCTTCAGATCTCCCTCCACTGCTTTTCCCCATCTCCCATCCTCTCCCCCTATACCTCGCCGGCCAGATTCCAGATTTTCCCGGGGCCAATATCCCATTCGGATCCAAAGCATCCTTCAATCGCTCATTAAACTTCATCAGCGCCCCATCATTCCAACTATACGTGCCAGCCACTTGATCCATGAGAACCAAATGTGTTCTATACTCACCATACCCTTCCTTTGCCGCATCATCAATCATCTCTCTTAAACAATCATTTGCAGCCTTTCTCTTTACTGGATCGTTCTTGTCATAAACAATCTCGACGATGAGATGCATTTCGCGTAACCCCACACAGAATGCTGGCAGGAAGTCGATGCCAAACTCGTCATGCCGGCGTTTCCCCAAATTGAAAAGTTTCATGGCGTCTGCACCGCGAATTGGGGACACAGGGCTGAATGCAACGTGTGCACCGTTCGGAACCCAGTTTACCCATAGAAGTTCCACAAGATCTGGTACTCCAGCAGCGATTCTATCGCGAGACCAGAAATATTCATCTTCCGGTAAGGTCGAAGGGTCGATTTTCCGAGCTCCCGGAATTTTCTTGAATTCCTGGTCGATGATGTCGAGTTTGTATTTTCTGATGTGTGGAGGCCCGTAGGACATGCCGTAATAGAGCCAGGTATGGTCTCCGATGGGCATTTTTCGGAGCTGCTCCCGGACGATTTCTTCTGGAATAGGACCATCACCAGAGAAGTATTTAGTTCGTGGTAATCCCTTGACAGCTAGTGTTTGGATTGCATGTCTGACTTGGGCTACGTTTTCCAGGATATTCCCTATGCGAAGTGGTCGAATGATTTCAATCTATAAGCATGAGTTGGTTCTTTTGTTTTGGGAGAGTCTGACTTACAAGTGCTTCGAGATCTCCTTCTTTCTGGAATGCGTACATCTAGAACAGATTAGTAATGTCTCACGAAGCAATACACAAGACTTACAAAGCTTTCATATCCTCCTGGATTAGGCATCAAAGTCATTCCCATCTTCGTCACAATACCAAAGTTGGACTGTGAAAATATACCACTGACAAAATAAGAACTGTACACAATCATTTCGGGTGGTACTTACTCCGAGTAAGGACCAAATCCATAAGGAAAAGTCTGCCAAGTATTATTTCCAGGCAGCGCCCCCATCCCCGTCCTGATAACCTCTCCGGTAGGAAGCACGACCTCCAATCCTGAATGGCAAGCCCAATGATCACCATATGGCGTATATCCAACCCCTCGATCCAAGGTATTACCAATAACGGAACCACCTCCAAGATCTGGAGTATCGATCCACATATGGTCATACCCTTTAGCTTGAATAGCTTCATAAAGAGCATAGAATGAGACTCCTGGTTCGACAAGGCAGGTGTAGTCGTTTGGATTAATGTCTAAGATTTTATTCATTCTCTTTCCCAGGTCGATGACTACTGAGCCTCGGACTCTAGGTGCTGCCCCTCCGTAACCCACTGAAAGTGTTAGTTCGAGTTATGAGGTTGGTATGAGGGCTTACAGTTTCGTCCCATCGAGATGGGAAATATGGGGATTGAATACTTGTTTGCCCAGAGAACGATTCTCTGGACTTCCTCTGTGCTGCTTGGATACACGACTGCTGATGCAACTAGTTCTTCGTCGTCTAGGATGGGCATCATGTCGTGGGTATTGGGGTCTGGAGAGGTCTCAACACTTATCTAGCCATTCTCCAATTTTGAAAGACATGATAATACTTACGCTCCATATACCATCCATCAACGAGTGGCTTTTCATTGACTTCAACATTGTCAGTGCCAAGTTGGTCACCCAACTCATCTAGAGCTTTAATAAATGTTGATTTGTCGATTCCTTGTGGAATGGCAGGCAGTCTCTCCCTTGTCTTCGTTTCCTTTGTTCTTGTTTCATAAATCAACGCCTTAGCTCTCTGGGCCTTTTCGAGGAGATTTAGGGGAATGCCAGAGTGTTTCTCGGAGAGCAACGGGATATCAGATTTCGATGACATCTCAAATGCTATGACGAAAGAAAGATGGAGCTAGGGAGGCCGTTGTTGAAGATGGTTATAAAGGGTATAAAGTGATTGAATTGTCCTGATGTTTATATGGAAAGGGGTAAATCCGGAGAATAGAGGGGTAAATTTGTGGGGCTGGCCCCACGTTCTACCCCGCATGTTTTGCTAGCAGTGGCTGTGCAATACTTTCAAGGGGCAGAGAGTGTTTCTACATATTTTTTATATTAAATTTTTTTTTAAAAAAATATACTGCCTTGTGTTCGTATAGTTAATACCTCAATCAGGTTGCGAAGTAAAGCCAAGCCTATGTGGTGAGATCTGATGCCATTTCCCTGCGTACAATGCAGTTCCAGATATTGCCGATGCAGGTGCGGCTTTTGTATGTTCATCTATGCATGCGGTTGAGAATGCTCCTTGAAATGTTGTATATTTAAACTCTCTGCCCCAAACTAGTGATTTTATAATAAACGAACTCTGGCAGGACATCTCGCCATATATGTAGATGTACGCGAAGCCTTAACAGGTGCTCTTACGTTACCTCGCTAAACGTTACCTCGCTAAAGAAAAGGGGTGGAAGGCACAGGGAGTTTCTATTCAAACAAACTCCTTCATCGAGTCGTGTTACCTCAAAGAGATTTTCACTCTCGGAACTCAGAGCTCACTAAAAATTCAAGATTATGGTCTCTAACCAGACATATTATGCTTTGACTAGGTTAATTTGACTTTTGAACTCCTCTGAGCCTGGTTAGACACACTTCCAAAGTATTCAGACCAAAACGAGATTCTCTACTCGAGCTGTCCCAATCTTCTCGCTCCGCATCAATCCTCTGTCCATAACTCCATGAATATAAGTCTCCCCAATATAGATATGACGTCCTGAAGATGGGCCCCTAGGTCTCAGAGTATAGAGTACCTGAGCCCCAAGAAAGGCAAACATTGCGACCACCCGTTGCCACCCGTTGCAAGAATATAAGCACTGTTCGTCCTATCTTGAGCCGCGAGACTCGTGGCGTCCAGCTCCTCGGACGGATCGCTTAGCAAAAGGCTGAAGTCGACGGACCCACCCCTTTCGCAGGCTCGGCCACTCCATTCTCCCTTCAAGTCCATCACTTGTATCTTGTTTAAGGCTTGGGAGAATGTCTCGCATGTGAGATATTGTCTCTTGCTCAGGGATTCCCACTTTCGGGTCTTGTCTGCAATTGTTGCTGTAGTCATGGCTCTTGTTGGCATCACGTCCTTGATAGTATCACAACTGAGACCTTTGACATGTAGATTAGGTCCCCAAATCTCAACAACAAAGGAAGAATTCCCAGTTGCTTTGAACTCTGGACTTGTCGCTCATTGTTCTTCAAGCTCTGCAGCGCTCGCCTTTCATAGGGTGCTAGCGTCCTTTCTGGGATGTATTTCCCATTGTAGAGGATTTTGTGGATTGGAAAGTATTTCGTAGGTTCATACCGGTTTGGCACCCATGAAGCTGGTGGCATCACATGACATAGTATCGGACGTTCTTTTACAACATCAAAGCGTACTGCTGAAACGAGCCAAGGACGAAGCTAACGTGAGTTGAATTTAAACAGGGGTCTTGAAAAGATGGGGGGGAGGAAGATGCACAAATGATACAATCAGGCTTCATGCAAAGTCCCTGCTACGGCGTGAGACTATTCTTACAAATGTACTCCCTGCAAAGAAGATCTGATAGTCTATTCTGCCGCCGCTAGGATTTACTCCGCCATGAAACACCTCTCGACCCCCTGCTACAGCAATGACAACAGTTGTAAACATTCACCAGGTACATGGACTCCCTTTCTTAGGCATTGGCTTCTCACTTCTCCAGCTTGACGAAAGTCAACTTCGGATTCTTGGACCACCAATACCGAGCGAATATATTATCGTAATCAGGCTTGGGTGCTCCCATAATCTGCTTAGCGCATTCTTCTTCCGTCTTCAAGTCTCGAACCACGGCCTGTTCATTTTCGGCATAAGTTTCCGCATCTTCGATCGCTTCCGAGGCCTGTTCGAACGAAGAATCTCCAGTCTCTGAATGGAAAGCCGTGTCTAGCAGCCTCTGGGGCGTAAGTTGAGTCTCGTGATGCTCGAGCAGCAGGATTTCCTCCAGCAGTGGACAGTCTTCTGCAAGATCGGCGAAGTGACATTTCCACCTAAGGGACTCGTCATCGTAATTTCTCGTAGAGAGAGGCTGCGGATTGTGCAGCTCGAAAGCGATTCTTTGAGCGGGCATCAGCCAAAGCGGAAATCTCAGGGTAGCGATACAAAGACAGTCATCGTTCCGCTCTAACTGTACGTTATTGACGTCGTCGATGATGTTCCAGTCGCAAAAGTTGCGGGATGGGGCAAGGTAGATGATATCAACATCGTAGTTTATGAAAACTCCAAAATCTGGGATGCGTACATTTCGAGGGCGTTGGGCGCGGGCTCTGACGACATGCCTACCTCTTGGGCAGATGTGTATGGAGAGGCGGTACAATTTGCGAGTTTCCTTGCGTGACTCTCGACAAACAGAGAGGGGAGCAGGAGCTTTGCCTCCTCCCGGGACGAAGCTGACAATTCTCGGGAATGTTGTAAATTGCCAAACGCGAAGTCTTAGCTCAGGCGGGAGTCTCGGAAAGAATGTGAATTTGGAAGGTTGTTGATGTATCAGGTCCCCATCGTAATTGGCCCCAAAGTTATTCGGTTGAGCTTGTGCAGACGAAGTGATCAAATCTTCTATCTTCTCAAGTTGTGCTGTCCTGGGGAAATTGGAGCTCGAAAGGCGAGGTGGCGATTCTTTAGATCCTTGGTTCTCCACATGGAAGAAGGTGTAGGTGATGGAGGTCTGAGTACCAGGGAACAGTTGCTCGAGGATTGGGGTCTTGATGTGGGGCACTGCACTAGAATTGACAGATCTAAGTGGACCGTATCGATCCTTGGTAAGCTCCGCAATGCTGACAGAGTGAGATGGTTGGAGTTGAAGAGCTGTTGCTTCACGATCTTGGTCTCCGTTGCTTGATGTGGTACCAAAGTTCAAGGGCGGAAGGCAAGGTGAAGAACCCTCGCGATATTGGCAATCCATTCCGGCCTTGGCGATCAAGTGAAACGACGCGTCTTGATATGGGCGATGGCACTCGACGCTGCGCTGTATTCGGGCCCTCCAAAATGACGAGATACTGCTTCGTGATGTTCCTTCTGGGCGGAAGATTTCGTCAAGAAAATGTGGGAAGATTACAGCATTGACGAAGCCACTGTCATACAAGCCACGAGTTGGAGCTCAATGAGCACCAGCCCGATTGCTGGCGGTTCTGCGTTGTGTTGGTGGATTGATGAAGTTGCGGATTTGGGGTCAAATTTTGGCGATACTAGGATTGCAATTGATCGTGGTCACCTGACCGGATCTCGAGGCTAGGCATCTAACAAGAGGCTTTAATAAGACGAAGTTTAAAAAAATTGGCCAACTTGACGCTGACATCATTTGCTTAAGAGAGAGGCCATGGTGTTCTCTCAAGCAGCAGCAGCAGCAGCATGTCTATCGACGTACATTCTGCCGTACAGCAATGCTGTTCCCAAAGCAGCAGGTACCCCCATCACGACACAGCCTCCCATACATCTATGGTAATCACAGATGCAACGTCAGATATCCCCAACACCGTATGCATCCATGTGTGTTTGATGTCCTTTCCATATGGCCCTCCCAGTGGCACGTCAACCCGCAATCCCCTCCCTCCCTACCTTCTCCCAAAACCTCCTCAAACCTAGCACCTTCGCCCTCGCCGGGGCCTCTCTAATCTCGACCCTGCGTCCCCACCGTGGCTGCTCTTTAGTATCCTTCCTCGCAAACCTCCTCGCCATCCTCCTAACCTCAACTTTCTCTTCCCCTCCCCCCCGTATCTCACTCCCCTTCCTCCTCCACTCCTCAACCCACCCCCTCAAAAAATCCCTCACACGTTCCCTTTCCACCCTCCTCTTTGTCTCTACAAGTCCCGGCGCCAGCCCGCCTTTCCCTCCCTTATGGTAGCACTCCCCCGGCAGCACTCCCCACCCAACAAGCTCCTCCACGCTCGGCCGACTCCCCAACTTCCTATTCAACTTGATCCCCACCAACTTCCGCCCCAGATTCCTCGCCACCATCGTAGTCCGCGTGACATAGATCGACCTGTTCATGAGATCCGCCAGGCGTGGACGCAGCGGGATGTCGTGGTTCAGGATCGCAGAAGCGCGGGCGAGGCGGAAAGAGTGCAGCAGCGGATCGAGGGTTAGGTGCCGGAAAAGGTGCGAGGTCCGCGAGAGGGGGAGGAGATCGGGGATGTCGAGGTAGGTGAGGATGTGCAGGAGGAGTTCGGAGGGGAGGTGGGGAAGAGAGGGTGGGGCGGGTTGCGGTGGGGGCTGCGGCGGGGTCGTTGTGGTTGGTTGCGGAAGAGACTGGGTTGGGTTTGACATCGTGATAGGATGGGATGTGATGGCGTTTAGATGGGCATGGCGTTGGTGCGTTTGTGGTGTTGAGCTGGCTTGCGAGAGAGAAAGAGAGAGAGGGAGTTGGGTTGCAAGGAGGAGGGATGAGGTGTCGTTGCCCCCTTAGTGGGGTCTAGAGCTTCGCGTATCGCCAATTGAGACATTTGACGAACGAGCAAACTGCACTGAAACAGTTGATCACAACATAACAAAAATAATTCTTTATTCATTTCCATTACTATAGTCCGGTACAGGGTCAGAAAAAGTCGTCGTTCTCTAAACTCGAATCCAGTTCTGATATTTCATCATTGCTTTCATCCCAAGTCACGTGTACCCCCTGATTGGGGCCCAACGACGTGCTCAATGCGAAAACCTACCCACCAGCCTCACCTCAGATTTCCTCAGGCACAATGCAAGGTAATCGCCCCTCTTTCTTCAACAAATCCGACACTGCGGTCACCTCATGACACGAATCTGCAATCCATGCCCCCCCCGGCAGCCCAACACGGTGGCCGTCCCCAACGCGTCCACATCTTCGAGCCTCAAAACACCACCCCCTTTTCATTGGCTCCGCAACTTCAAGGCTGGCCGAGCTTCTGGCCTCGCCAACTCACTCACCTTCTTCACTCAGCGCGCAGGCGAGCGGACAACGCAGACCAACCACCCGTCGCAATCGGCGGCCGTGCTACTTACCAGCCCTGCCTTCGCACATGGTCATGGTATGAGTGAGGCCTTGCTCTGCTCGCCATGGCACCGCGTCGGCGCGCTCAGGTCCGTCAGCTCGCATCGGCGAACTTGTAAAGTCTACCTGCAGGCCTGGCCCCTGGACGTAGTAGCTCTGTTGCTTGCTTGTTGCTGCCGCCGCTGCTGCTGCTACTGCTGCTGCTGATGTATGCCGGCCACTTCGGCGGCGGCCAACGGTACCCTGCGGGGTCAGGCCAGCACTCGCGGTTTGCACAAGTGGGCACACTCTCTGAGTGCGATGTGCGTCAAAACGGGGCCTCTGGACCTGCCAAATCACGCTGCAGACCAGCCCCCTCGCATCCTGCTGTTGACACCACTCGCCCCATCTCGGTCAGCGGGACACCTGTCGGCTCTGTCACGCCTCTCCCGAGAGGCATCTCCCAATCAGGAGCCCGTACCGCCAAATCGTGGTGCAGCCTTACACTCTATTATTTTCACCGGGTTGTCTTGGCATGCCATTGGGTGGAGGCGTGAGCCTGGTAGGAGGAGCTTCCGTCCCTCCCGCGCACCTAATCAATCATGTGTTTGAATAAGGACCCGACGGTCGGGAACACAGCGACGACAGTTTTAGACGTCAAAGTTGAATCCTGAGCGCTGTTTTTTGTCACGATGTTTGCTATTCTCCGCAGTCAGGTGTTTGGGGCTCTGCAAAATCTTGTTGATCGGTCTGTGCCTCGCTAGGTCGCGAGGCAGGTCTTGTTTACCTCAAACTTGCCACTGCAGCCGTGGAAATGGGGCCAAAATGTGTGTAAACATCGGCTAAGGGCAATTCCTCCTGCCTCCAACATATGGCCTGCTTTGCATCAGGCAACATCACCGTGCTTCAGAACTTGCCGACGCTAACTAGCCTGTCGTAACATCCATCGTATGGAGGAAGCCCTCACCGTCGGTCTGGGGTCAATTTCCTGAGCCCTTGATCCAAGTCGATCTCAGCCCGGTCTGCCCGGGCTCAGTCTCGAATGCACGTTCTCTCCTCTATCAGCCTGCGGTGGTGTGCGTGACGAAACTTGCATTTCTCTGCACATCTTTTGCCACAATAGAACGGTCGCCGTCATAAAGGTCGAGGCCGTTGATTAAGCAATAGGAGAGCGAGAAAGTGATCACCGGGCGTTCAGTAGCACCAAGAATGACACGAGCATAGCCACCAAGTGCGTCAGGGCTGATAGGCAAGAGTTTTGATCTCCAACTCGGATACCGAAAACATTACTGGCTTATATGACAGAAATAAAGTTTTGTGATGAGAAATTTTGTCATACTGAACCGACTGCATGTAACCCAAGCCTTAAAACTCTTCAAATAAGACATCAAGGTAAGAGAACCAAGGTGAGCATGCCACGTGGAAATGGGGTCCCATTGGGGAGCTTCATTCTAACACCTTGCCGATAAAGAGATGGTCTCGTAGGTAAGGACAACCGTCACAAGTGGCAAGGCGGTGCAGAGATCTGCAGAAGAGCCTTTCGAGCTCGTGTTGGTTCTCATGCAGAGTGATGGCGTTCCGGAAGCCATCATGAACAACACATCAATCTTATCCTTGTCCAATGTTGAGACTGGTGAGGGGTATGGAATCGTATGATGCTGAAGGGACTCTTCACCAACGCATGCAGGCGACGTGGGTTGCAGAAGATCAATCTCTTTCTCGATCGTGCTTAGCAGTCAGCAGACATTAAGATGACATCGGCCACAGGGAGACTGAATGAAACCAATAGCAGATAGCACTTGCAATATCTGAACAGTACGATCGAAAGATCGAATCGAAGCAAACTCCAATGGCATGTGATGATTCGATGGTCGGGCAGCTGGCAACCGTTTCACATCCCAATATCAGGGATATAGAATCCACCAGAAGCCCTAATAAGTCCACTTGCAGACTCTTGCCACGGTGTTCCCGGGACCCAGGACAACAGCGGCCCGGCTTCATCCCAAGAGGTCCCGGTTGGCTAACACAAAGTCCATTGAGGCATTTCTTTGAAGATCTTGAGAAGGACCCCTCCACAATAATCACGGCTGGGGGCCGGTATGGGGCCTTGGTGTTGTCCCGTGGCCTTCATCAAGCGCGAGGGCCACCAGGCCTGGTCTGTGGTCCTCCACTTATCAACGGAACTAACGGTGGCGTTCCAGAAAAGCAGGGAGAGCATGCATCGACAGCTAATAACGTGAGTCCTAAGTTCTGCGGACTGCATGTGCCTAAAGCATGCATGGGCCTCGATTGATGGCGGAATTTTGATGTGTTGGCGGTTTCCACATGGAGTTGCCACCCTATCAACACAATTGTCATTATCCAGCATGGCCGACATCTCCAAGCAAGGTGATGGCCGTAGGAGTGCGACAGAACTCGAGGGGCGGGCAAGCATTTGATAGGACTGCCAATGTTGTGATGGACCACATGGAGCTTCGTGCCTAACATGGATGGATGTGTCTTTGAAAACGAAGTGCATGCGTAGCTTGTTTGTTGACTGAAGTTGACGAAGGTGGATGCAGGCATACGTCGGGGAGGGTAGTTCGAGCGGGGTTGAACGCGTCGAGTCGCTGAGAGCATCGTCGATGTTGATCTCGGACCGTATCGTCTCGAGGCATAAATAGCCGTCGAAATTCCTCCCTCTGACATGATCTTTCCAGCAGCAGCAGCAGCAATAAGCCACCCTCATCCACTCAAACTTCCAATTTTGCTTCCATCTCGCACATCCATACCCTCAAGGCATACCAAAAGCTTCCAAGTCCTTCCAAGACTTCATCACTCAAACATCATCCATCAAAGTACCATCCACCCACAACCAGTAAGTTGTCCACGGAAGGTGACGCCAAGTTTCATGTGAGACCTTGCTTTGAGACCAGGCTGACAGTTGTCCGTCAACAGATCGTCATCATGTGCTTCTATGACGCCAACGAGATGGCCTGCCAGTGCTGGAAATGGGGACATTTCCGACAACACTGTGCCAAAGAATACCGTACTGGTGAAACCTGCGGCATGAAACTGGTCATGAACCGCTACAAACTAGCGGAGAAGTGCAAGATCTGCACCAAGATCGACACCAAGGAGAGATCCATCCGCAAGGAGGAAGACAGAATTCGCCGCTGGAGGAAGGAACATGGCCGCACCGCTTCCATTGCCAAGGCTGAAGAAGATATCTACGCCTATCAATGTGACATTCAGAGGCTCTTGCACGAACGCGAGGTGAAGAGAGGCAACTTGGCCTGGTAAGTGCCCAGTAAACTGCGCCGAAGGAGCCAGTAATGATGCTGATTGTGCTTCAGAAGAACGCCAAGACAAAAAGCCGATGGCGGTTGAACATTGGCGAATGTTTCATGCTTTCATTTGTTGCAGTACTTCATTTCTTCCTTGTCTTTCATTTATGGTGGGCTTTGGGTCTGTTGCGGCGCCGGGAGGCAGGGAACGGCTCGGGACGAGTAGGATAATGACATCCAGTCGAGGTAGTGGTAGTGTAGCGATGAAACGACCTGAAATATTTCCGACAGCTCCATGTGACTCGTGAGACCGGATGCCATCAATCGATCCAGTAAGAACGTCCCCCAACAGGGTCGGTGTGAGCAGACCAATATTCCCGGGCGCTAATCCCTCAGTCCAGCGGCTGTGGGAGATTGTCGTCGCGAAGGATAGTGCGAGGATCTTGGATACGAGATGGGAACATCGGACGAGATTCTGCCATCGCGAGATAAGCAAATATAACCTAAGTTGGAAGAGGATGTGGGAGGGAGGAGGTGATGATGCTGATGTTTTGGCTCAATATGCGGCTAAGCGCCCACGACCGTCCAGCGAAGACCAGGACAAGGTATACCCCGACTGCCTGTAGATGTGAGCACTGGCAGTGATATGTACGGAATGACTTGGTGAAGACTTGAGTTGCATCGGAGAGGGACGCAGGAAAGGCTCTGCTCTTTATGAGCCAGGTCTGAGGAGACATCGATCAAGTGGAATTTGCGAACGTGGCTACTGCTCAATGGACCTTGTCAAAGCCTGACTGCAAGGCAGGAGAGCAATGTGATAGGCTCTGGCGAACGACTCAGCAGCCAGTGAGCAAGCGTTTTTGACAAAAGGGAATGTTTGAAGGATACAGCGCATAGTCAATCACGCTTAGCTGGTCCAGTCAAATCCTAATATTCATCTGTCCATCCTGAAGGTGCGGCGAAGGTCTGGTCGTCGTCGAGGATATTGTGACAACCATACGACGCCAAACGCCGTGGAACACAAACATGCTCGCAGGAATAGATTACCATGTTCACTCCATGGCCAAATCCCCGTCTGCAAATCCTCCCAGCAGCGGCCCTATGCCTTCTGACTTGACAGGCGTGAATGTCTTCATTTCCTCCACTTCATCATCTTCCGATAACCATCCATCGGAGGCGTCTTGTGTGTTCTTGGCAGGGAATTGATTGGGTCCGGTTGGCGCTTCGTTTGTAGACATCTTTGCGAGAACGTCCTGGTAGTGTAGCAGTCTGGCATCCTGAGCAGGAAACACGGTGCTTGAGGGCGGTGGCGCGGCCTGGGGAACCATAGCAAAGATATCGACCAAGTGACTGCGAGGGACGAATTAGCTGTCGAGTCCTTGTTTACGGTAGGGGCAGCTGGGAATGCGCGAGTTTCGGGCTGCCGTCCCAAGCAGCATCTTGGGCACCAAATCTTACTTAGACGTTTGCATCACGACCTTCTGCAGGGCCTCCGTCTCTCGCTGAACCTCTTGTGGATCTGCTTGTACGATTCCGACATTTTGGTCTCCGAAGCTGCCGTAGTGATTTCCGTGGGGGTCGTCGAAAAGTAATCGAGACTGCTCGTCCTGTGATACAACAACTTGTCAGTCCACCGCCGTGGCTCCAAATTGACAGATGCCACTTGCCTCGTCAGATAGATCGCGACTCTGGCCTCGGCCAAGGCAGGAAGAACAGGCGCCCATGATGGCGCAGAGGAATATCGAAAGAGGGCGCTGTGCGACACGGGCTGGCCAGCTCACTAGACACTCGCACTCGGCGATCCTGGTCCCCTCAGGCCGTCATGGAGGAGAGACAGACAATGGGGCAGGGGCAAAGGAGTGGAATATCTGCAATCAGAACGCAAGGTAAAAAGACGCAAAGGGATGCAGAAACATGGTGAGTGAGGTTGGCGAGCAATTGTTGTGGTGATGCTCGCAAGTGCCGCCCATTCCTTTTTAGGCGGCGCCAAAAGCGGAAAGGTCGAAACGACTTCTTAGCCTCGCGTCACTGACAACATCTCCATCTCCTCGCACATCCACCTCCCTTGACGACGCGAGGTATTGCCATGCAACTAGCCCCCTTTCAATTTGATTCCTCTGAGTTCAGGCCATGATTTGGAACTGTTTTAGAGGAGAGGGCGGCTGCAAGAAGTTTGTGTGTGCACTCGCACTCCAAGCCTGATTGGAGGGCCCAAATTTCTTCAAGAGCTTTCCACACATCAATAACCCCTGAGCATTGGCTGAGACTTCTAGACAAACCCCTCCGTTGGCACTTGCTTCTTGCAATCCAACCTGCAGCATCGTTTCCGGGGACATTATTGCAAAACGCTCAAGATGGAGGGTTGTGATTATCACGTGATGACATTCATCTTTCTCGAGTCGGCCCCTAGCCGGAACTGTTTACTACCCTGACCGTTATCGCGTCTTCTGCTTGGCATATCCAACTCATTTGATGTGCCATTTCACGTTAAATCCTGCTGGGTAGCAGCTCCTACCAGCTGTACCGTCCCCCTTTACCCCTTGCTCCGTCGATCTTGGCACACATCAAGACAACCCCTCTGGTCTCAGGAGGCGTGGTGGTGGTATATTTCTTATTCACTCTACCTATATTTCTCCGCAAGGCAGAAGTGCTGATCCAGAAGTTATTGGGAGCATTCTTCTGTCTGCAAGGCCCGACAATATATCGTAGAGGGTATTATACCCTTCCCCTGCGAGAGCCTCCTACCTCCATCCAAGATGCAGTCTTATAAGTAGTGGCCGCAATCGTTGCTACAATCGCATCAGCAAAGAGTCGGGTCATTCGCATCATCACATCCATTCTCTACCTTCAGGCGGTCTTCGTTCTCTGTCCGCCGCAGCTCTTCGGTATTCCTGACAATCATAATACATATCTCTCTCAATAACTATATCCTATCCATAATGTCCCCTTGTATCCGAACGTTGGCGCTCGCTGCCATGGCATTTTCGCCATTTGCAGCAGCGTGGCCCAAAACATGCCCTGCCTCTTGCGTGATGACTGTCACCTCAACAGCCAGGGAAACTGCTCCTTGCTCTGTTCTCTCCTCAGCTTCAGCCACTTCAGCCATGGAGACCTCGAGTCCTACATCTATTTCCTCCAATCGGCACCACAGCCATTACCACCATCACAATTCTACTGTCTCATGGTCCATGAATTCGACCGCCACGGCAGCCGCCTCATCGAACATGATTCCGACTAGCTCAGCAGCCGTAACATCGGCGAGCTCAGCCGAGCAGACGAGCAGCTCCCTTTCATCTCACCACCGCCGTCATCACAACCACACAACCTCCCTGAACGCCGCCCCCACAACTCCGGGAGCGGCTCTACCCACCCCCATCCCTGCATCACCACTCATGGATTGCCAGCCCGATAACTGCCTTCGCCACTTTATCCGCCACCCAGATGTGAGTGGATTCTGTGCAACTTACACTACCGAACTCAACACTGCGACTACCGGACTTCCCGACTTGGTATCCCAATGCCAGAGCGATCCGACTCGCATCTCCTCCGCCTGCTCTTGTGTAGCAACCGGCGTTCCCACCTCTACTCCCACTCCGCCAATCCTCGATTGCCAGCATGACAACTGCCTCCGCCATTTCATCCGCCATCCAGAAGCGACTGGCTTCTGTGCCACGTATACCACCGGGCTCAATACCGCAACTACTGGACTCCCTGACTTGGTTTCCCAATGCCACAACGATCCAACCCGCATCTCTTCAGCCTGCTCTTGCGTCGTGACCGGAACTTCCTCCCCAACCTCCTCACCAGGCGCTCAAACAACAGCTACCAACGATGGCTCTCTCACCACTACAACTCCCTCCGGCCCAGCTCAAACATCCTCCTCGAGCGAATCTGCCATCTGCACTGTCACGACGGAGACCTCAATTGTGACCATTTCTGTCGTGACAACTATCACTCTGGATGACCCTTCCACAAGCTCTGCGATTTCTGGAGCAATGACATCTGAAGCAGCCCCAACTTATTTCACGACGACAACTACGACGGAATCAGCAGCCGCTTCAAGTTCAAGCGAAATGGCAGCTTCGCCATCAAGCGAGATGGGGCATCGACACAGACATGGACACCCTGGTGGGCGTTAGTTCCACAGACTTCGTGACCCAAGTGCAATCTAGGAGAGTAATGAGTAGTTCTGGATTCTACGCATGATTTGGATGATAGGAGGTAGTGTTTCCCATATCTGTACGAGCAGCTTTATAATACAATCAAAATATGTTTACGGCAATTTTCCCATTCTCCTCATTTCCCTCCTTCCTCCATAACCAAAAGAAAGCTCGCCACACATCACATCAACCCAATCGTAACATCACCCTTAACCCGCGCATAAAGATCCACCTCCACCTCCAAATCCAGCTCAATTTTGATACTCATCGCACTCGGCTTAGCATCCTTCTTCACCGGCCGATCCTTGATCCTAGACTCGCGGATCGCGTAGGTTCTGTACCCTTCCGCTCGTGGGCCGTAGGGATTGTCAGACTGGAGTTGCTGATTTTGCTGTGGTTGTTGCTGTTGCTGTTGCTGTTGTTGCTGGACAATGGGAAGGGCTTGCTGAGTTTGGTCGAGGTATTGCGGCTTGGGTTGGGCTTGTCGTTGAGGTTGAGTCTGAACTGGGCGCGGCTGCTGCTTTACCAAAGGCTGAGGCTCACGCTGCTGCTGCTGCACCAATGGCCCTTGCTCTCTCGGCCGTGCCTTCGTTCCAGCTTGCAGTTGGCCCTGCCCTTGGACCTGGCCCTGTGCTTGAATCGGGCCAGCTGCAAGTTGGCCCTGCGATTGATGTTGGCCCTGGGCTTGCAGCTGGCCTTGGCCTTGCTCTTGAGATTGAACTTGCCGTTGAGACTGAGACACCCCGTTGACTTCAGGCTGCAGCTCCGCCTCTTGCTGTCTCAATGACTCTCTCTGCTTTCGCACTTCCTCTTTTCTTGCCGCGTTCTTGTCAACAGGTTGTTCTTGCCTCGTCTGCACCGCGGTCTCGGGCTCAGGTTCTGCTCCAGAGGGAAGTCCGGTCTGGTTTCTGGTCATGGGAGGCTGCTCTTTTGACTGCACTTCAAGCTCGGTCTCGGCATCGGAATCAGGTTCCTGCAACTCGGCCTCTTCTTCGGGCTGTGCGTGAACTTCGTCATTACTTTGATGCTTGAAATTGCCATTTTCCTTGGGCGTTCCAATATCGACACCGGAATCGCGCTTCGCTTGATTTTCAGTCTTCTGATTAGTTTTTTCCGGGGCTTTGGCGCGCTCCTGGGATTTGCTGTTGCCGTTCACGGAAGGCTTCTCGGGCTCAGAAGTTTCGGCTTCAGGCTCGTCCTCAAATTCGGATTCTGCGTCAATCTCATCTTCTTCTGGGGCTTGGGTTTGATCTTTGTTGTGGATATCTACAATGTGCTTCTCGGCGGTCGCATCTTCGACTTCTGGCTCGGATTCTTCTTCGTATTCAACTTCGGAATGATTGTCGACCTCCTCGTCTGACGCCTCTGCTTCCGCCTTTCTTCCTTGGTTGGTACTACATCAAAATAAGCATTCGCATCGAAATTCTGAGTCCAGTTCTATCAACTTACTTGTTAGACATGTTGAGACAGTGGAAATTGCGGGAAATCAGAATTGTTTTCGTGAAGATAGATTGTTAAAGGACAAACTATAGATTGTGTATTGTTTTATGGTCGAAATCACTGATGATATCCACGGTGACGATGCGTTTAATACCTGTATATTTGGTGGTACGCGATGACGTTGTGGGCTGCAGGGGGTCGAAAACAAGGATTTCTTCCCCGACTGATCGTCGATTCTTCGGGGATTAAGCGAGCTCAGGGGCACAACTCTAGAGTGTCAGGCCACCAGTGCTCCCAGGGCAAGAAAAAGAAAACACCACAACTTAAGAAATAAATACAGAGATTTGGTATAAAACAAATCTACGATTCAATACATAACTAGAACTGAATTGTGTCAACCCATTGTGTGACGGTCGCCGGCTCCAATCGTTCCTTCAACCAAGGCAAGTCTGCGCCGTATGGCCTCTCATCAATGAATCGGAACATGGTGTTCAAATCCTTCACTAACCAGATCATCAAAATGGTAAACCATTCAAAGGTCACTGGCACCCCTTTGCCAGTTTTCCTCTTGAAAATTAAGTCAATCTCCTGGAAGCTCAACTCCTCACTCGCAACAGAAAGTGCTTCATTGCGAATGCCAGTCTTATCAGGCCTAACAAGACCCTCAACAGCCCACCTCCCAATATCCGTCGTCGTAGCAACCTGCATCCTTTTCCCCTTCATCCAAACCTTCCATCCCGTCATGCAAAGCTTGCCCGGAAAGCCCCAGTGCGCATTATCAGCGAACCAAGTCGGACGAATGATCGTGTAACCCATTCCCTTCTGGGTAGCAACACTCTTGAGATGCTGCTCGATGTAGAACTTGTCTGAAAACGTCTTGCAGTACGACGGGTCTGCGTCGCTGAGTTTCCTGCCCCCGCGGTCGACGGATGAGTAGACGAAATATGCAGCGCCGTGAGTTGCCGCGGCGTCGATGAAGCCTTTTGCGTCGGAGAGCTCGGTGGGCCCGTGGGCTTGCGCGAGGAAGACGGCTGTTTGAGAGAGGATGTGATTTCCTAGCTGCTCAAAGAGTGCGTGAGGGGTATTCAAGTCGCCGGCAACGATGTTGATGCCAGGCCATTTGGAGATTAGGCGTTGACACGAGGCTCCGGCTGCATCACGGGTTATGGCCCATACACGATTGGGATCGATTTCAAAGTCGGAATGGGTGAGGAGAGCACTGACGACAGCTCCGCCTTGACGACCAGTGGCGCCAGCGATGAGGAAATGCTGGGGAGTTGACATTGGTCACGCTGTCGAAGCGTTGCTGAGAAAGAAAAACAAATCTCGCAATATCTTTCACAGAATGAATGCCCTGTCCCATTCAGTACAGTATTGTCTTGAATGGAATGAATTTTCGAATTTAAGATGTAAGCGCTTCTGGATGTATAAATACCTGTACGTGGAATGTGACCCGCTTGATGTGTATAATCTTTGGACACTTTGATGTCAAAAGACATTCCGGAACGCTCCGAACCTCCGCTCCGAGCAGTTCAAATGCAAGCACTTTGTCAGGTTCCAGATTTGGTCCGCAATGCTTGATAATGTTTTGTCTCGAAAAGTGCGCTTATCTCCGCCTCGGGGTATTCGGGGTATTCGGCGAATTCAAGAGACAAGCTGTCTTCAACTCCTCGATTCTGCAAGACCCCTAGCCATAGGAGTGGCTGGGAAAATTTGGTAGGGCTGTGTTTCGTTGGTAGAAACTTGTAGTTGTGTCTCGAGGAATTAAATGGCAGCCTAGCTGCCGATCATTCATAGTTCAGGTGTTCAATGTAAAGGTTGGGTAAGGCATACACCAGCTTTGAGAATTGCGCCCGGATATGAGACCCCCCAAACCTGCAATGGTCTAAGCCAACACTTCAAAATATCAAAGCCCACAACAGTCGCCATGACTTGAAATAATTGTTTACTTATTATTTACGCATTCCAATTCTGTCATTTGCCTCGCTTTCTCATTATATAAAGTGTCTATTTTGACTTTTTGAAGTGTTCCTTGGATTCTGATTGAAATGAGCGACATGCTCCTGGCAGCAGACTGCGATAATGGTCGGATAAACAACTTTCCAACAGCGCCATAACTGGTCGAAAAATGCGGCTTCCCGGGCATCTGATAGCCTGTAAAGTGCGGTGACGTGGAGCCAACGGTGAAGATACTCAGAAGAAATAGGCAGAAGTGAACCATGTACCAGGTTGACGAATTACCGGTCAAACACACGTCACGTAGGAACAGAGAGATTTCAAGAATTATAATTAATTCCTGAAGAGAAGCTTGGGAGCGAGGCTAAATACACCTTAGCGCCATAATTAAGCGAAACGTGTGCCTGAGGCTTAAGCGAATTTTCCCCCTCACAACGGGGCTGAGAGAGACAAGGCCTGCTTACGACCCACCCCTCAACACGTGATGAGCTGAGGGGCATACGACTTCATGTAGGCAACCATAATTCAATTGACAGATAAACATCCACAATTTTGCATGCTCTTCTCCGTGCATTCAGATTCACGATTTCGGACGAATTGAACGAACTCAATTCCACCATGTTCAGCGGCAATTCGACAGGCGGGGACGACGCTCGTCATCAACTACTGGGGCATGAGGACGATCACGAGGTGGGCTGGGAGCAACAAAGTGTTCGTTCTGAGCGGAATACAGCCAGTGATTCAGAGCTCTGGGAGCAAGATCCTCTATCCGAAGAAAGTGAGCTACGGCAAACCTCACATGGACAGATGACACCCACATCTTCCCATGCGCCAAGCACGCGGTCGAAGAGACCGAATCCGCCACCAGAGGACCACGGCGTAGCTGGTACAGACTTGGAGGCAGAGTTTGAGAGGATATTCAGCCCAGTAAAGCCCCAAGACTAATTCTGTGACCTTGATGCTAACAATTTACAGGTGAAGCAAGACCAAGAGGAGAGAGCCAAATTCCACCGCGATCTTGATGCAGCCTGCGGCGCATACTCTGCTCGGCGAGAAGAGATGAACTCACAACAGCGGAAACGCGAGGAAGCCATCGAGAAGCCATGGCTAGTCGCCAGACGGCGGCGGGAATGGGAGCGTGCCTTCACGGCGATGAAAAACATCGGCCTTTTCGCGACTTGCTTCTGGGGCGGCACCGTTGCACGTTTCAACGAATTACCGCCTCAAATTGCATGGCCGCCGCCGCATCTTACAAGGATGAGGGAGCACCATGCTGAGGAGAGGAAGGCACTGAGTGAGGCGCATCTTGCGGTCGTCCATGAGTTGCGCGTCAAGTATGGCTTTGACCTGCGTGAGAGTGAGGGTGAGGGCCAACCTGAGTATCACGTTTGTGTTGAGAGGAGGCTATTGCAGGAGGTACTTGGTGGAGAGGCGATGGAGTTGGAGGATGTTGGGGACGAGTCTCGGGTATCTTGAGACTTTCGTTGTCACATATATTGTTGTGACAGGATCCCGCGACGCTTAAGGGACCTCGAGTTGATCATTTACTGGAGTATCTTCATACCATCTTAGTTTGCAAGTCCCGGGCAACATTTGGCGGAGTACCAAACTATCTTGGGGAGGGAAGTTGTCTCGGAGGGAAGTCCACTGAGGCGATGTGAGAAGATCTCTTGGAATCCACTGAAGCAAGAGGACGTGTTGAACAATGTGTGTTTCTAACCATATTAATAGACTAATATACCAGAATCTCTTTCAATTTAGAATTTTCTGCTTCGGAATAGCGTGGATCTCTTCTTCTCCGCGTCATGTTCGGAATCTCTCTTAATTTCGTCTGGAAAGCTCTTCTAATTATCTCCGGCTTTATACACAATATGGATGGCTTAGTTATATCAATATTTGCCAACGGGCCGAGAAATCAGGAAGTAATCCTTTGCAATGGGAATCTTTAGAGCCGTTGTTCTCCCGAGATGATGCTCATTACCCCGGCCTCAGCGTTGCTGCAGCTCTCGTGCACCTTGTCGGGGCTGCTCAGGCGGCAAAAGATGATAAATGCTCTCCCAACTCTACTGCAGTCTTCGCATGTTTTCCACTAATATTTTCCCTTCTCTAGCTTCAAAATATTAAGCTTAATAAAAAGCATAGACTCTGCATCCGTCCATGGTCTATTAAATCAAGTTCGATGGCGAATCACCTCCCTGTCACCCTCTTTGCAAGAGCGCAATGCCAACACAGCAGTATAGTCGGGTCCATGCACTTTCCAGTTTTCTTGACATTCATTAAAACCACATGCATCAAAACCACACACTAGCCCCCCCAAGCTTCCAGACGACGGCCCCCTAGGCCGTCTCAATCGCTCGTACTACACTGGCCTTCCCTCCACCGCACCTCCGTCCTTCCATTCCGCCCCCTCCCCCCTCACAAGATAGCTTCCCTCACCGCAATGGCGAAACAGCAGCAACCCTCATACCCCTCGACTTCACCCCACAGCAGACAATACTACAAATCCGGCGCTAAGCCTGTATGCATCCTCAAGCCCCGCACCAGATATGGACTTAGCAGCCGCGAGAGAAGATACCGTTGCGAGGCTAGTAGATATAATTGTGTTAATACAAAGGAGGGTAGATAAGCAAGCCATTTTGAGTCGAGTCTCTTGCTTATTCCTATATTAATCCTCGCTATTATATATTTAGATAGAGTTATAGGTATAGAAAATAAAGCTATTCGTAAGGCTTAGCAAAAGGCTTGCCTTAGAGAGAAGCAATAGACGTCTATTATATCTAAAGAGGCGAGTATATGCGTAGGGCCGCGAGATAATATATAAGAAATAGGGCATTTAAAGGAAAAATTCACAGAATCGATAATTTTTGAACGCGGGAGGTTAGGAGGGGCCAAATAATTCTCTATTTACATACGCACCCTCTTAGGGCTACCTCGGAAGGGTACTTATATATATACTAAAGAGAGTCAAGCGGAAAAATTACTACTTTGAGCGGATAATCCTGGTTTAGGAATGCTATGCGAGCTAAACAGGGGGCTTTACAGGGGTTAGCAGGGGCACACGGGTTGTGTATCTATTTGCTTAAGGTGCTCAGGCGCGTGAGTCAGGTTGCTCATACAGCTCAGGTGAGTTAACTGAGCCGAGGGTGATTAGCGCCTGAGCAATAACAGTAATCTTACTCGTTTCCAACTGTATAGTAAACATAATAGAGGAAAAGTTGATTCACAATACACTCTTATTTACACCGTGTCTCCCAATGGACATCTTGACGGCAGGATTGAAGAATCGACCGGTGAACAAACGTCTTTTGTTTATCGGAAATGATATCAGAGAATGCTTTGACATATTAACTGGATTCCTTCGCTTATTTTATATAAATTGAAGCTGACGAAGAAATAGTTACCGACTACTTCAAAGACTGCATCGAGTCCAGAGTGGACACTGGAGAGGATTATCATGTCCTCAAAAAGTAGTTAGTGGCATATTGAACGAGGGGGTGCGCAGAGACAAGTTGTTCCCTGTGGATCATAGTGTCTATGGTAAACTTCAGAATCCATTTCTGGACTGACTAATCTGGGAATCTGGCGGCGGCTGGCGAACGGAAAGAACAAGAACGAGACAGAACACTAAGCAGCCACGTTTATCCCCACAGCCTGCATACCCGAATGCACTCATTGCTATTCCAATCCGTGGTACCGTTCTCTTGCCGTTTCGCTTGTGGCAGTATTTCCTGCAAGACCATTTAACAACTTCCCGTGAATCTCAAATTTGCAGGTGAAGGGAAGAAAATCAACACCAACTAGAAGTATCATATTATTCCATGAAATGTGATGTGAATTCTTGGTTTTTTGCGTCGCGGTTAAACTTTTCAAGTTTCCGAGCGATCTCGGTATACTGAAGTGTTTGAAATGGGTGCCTAGAGCTGACAGTGGCAATTCAGCTGTGCGGCTATACAGGAGTTTTCAGGGGTAATAGAGTTACCTAGATGTCTATAAGTATAGGCCTTAGATCATTGTGAAATGGATAGTCGTCTGAGGAGCATTGCACGTAACCGTTTGCTTTGCCTTCTCAACATGAAGTTTATTTAGCCTGGTCTCACAAGATAATCAATGTGAGGGCGTGCAGAACTGGACAGAAAGTGACACAACCTGCAAGTTTCCTGGAATTTGGACTCCAGATGTCACATTTCCATTCCACCGGCGGACCCGAACGCCCAAGTATGACGAGGCTCTCCCGCGCCTCCACAACAAGTGTGTTCTGGTCCAGTCACGAAGGAACCCCCTTCGCGAATGGCATATGCTGATTAAGAATGCCCTATTATTCCCGGTTAGCGTGTGCTACTGTTTCTCGTCCTAAGAAGGAGAAAACTCACTTGGTGATAAGAAATCTCTGGAGCGACAGATCTTCGAGATTACGAAGTTTCCTGTTGCAGCAATTCAGAGGGCTCCACTGTCAGAATTCAGTGCATACTGTTTCACTTCCGCTTCTCGCGTGTTGCAAATTAGTGCCCACCCGGAAGCTCCACAGAGACTAAATGAGTTTGGCCAACTTGCTCAGGCACTAAAAGAAATGAAACACGAAATCCCGGTCCACGAGATCCAATCTGACTTGGATTTCATTCGGGTCTTCAAGTTCCTGGACGAACTTTTGGACGGTAAAGTGAAAACAGAGCGGATTGAAGACGCAATTTGTCGCGGATGCGAAGGGAGGTTACCTGGCAGGACAGCAGTGCTCCAGCTGCGCCTTGGTCAAATAACGAGTTGCCCTGAACTCCTGTCTAGCCTTCGGATGGACGACCTTGTGAGCAAAGCCCGCGCTCTGCGGAACAGAGACGCCTTGCGCATGCTCATGTCCTTATACAGGGCCACAAATCCTGAAGACTCACGAGTTGCTTAGGATAATCGTTATATTAATTATATAAGCAAAAGCTTTAATAATTAAGAAAAGCTAGAATAGTAATCTAAACTCATATCTTTCATGGCAGAGGCACTTGGGGAGACTGAATCAGGCCTGGCAACGATTCTTGGCCCATTGACTCCCTATCAATAGCACAACCGTAGTGCTAATAATCGCGGGGAATCGATTACTATTAATAGGGAATCGATTCGTCCTCAGTACTTTACATAGTAAATTTGTATAGGAGGTACGTCGAGGGCCTAGGCGCGGCCTCGGGAAGTTAGACGAGCCTCACAAAAACTTTCCTACCCCTCTTAACTTTATATTGCCGCATTGGAAGTAAATTAGGTCTAAATCCTTAGCGGGCTATATTATTTGAAATGCAGGGTTAATTAGAACAATATAACACTAAAGGTTTCTTAATACGATTAGTAATTATAAAGTTATTTATAATTAAAGTAGAGGTACCCTAGAAGCCCCTATAATTGCAGGCGATAGCAGGCCTTTTCTGGGGCTAGCTCGCTTAGAATGATAGCCGACGGAATGCATCGATTGTTATTGATTGGCGATATCGCCAATCATTGCCAAGCCTGGACTGAATTGTGAGAACAACCTGCCGTGCCAGCACCCACTTGAGAGTCTCAAAGGGGAAACTAGCCAAGGTGGGGAGCCTCAGGTGTCAATCTTGGAAGGCCCTGAGGGATGATGTTCGGTGGACATCGGAAAACTTTCAACGAACAAAGCCTGATGCCCAAAGTTCGCCATTGACGTAGCCTAACTATTCTCAGCCCCCACTTCTTTGACAAACGGCCCAGTGAGAAACTCATCCAAACACCACCACCCAATTTTAGGTTTCAATTTGGACTTGTTGAGGCCACGCTTGCTGAGCCGTTATTAAGCCCTCGAGCCAATAGCGGATGAATTTTGAACCATCACCCCACGTCAGTTTCAAACTAAAGGGACTTTGTGAACAGCTCAGCCGCTTTTGACTCAGCGGCCCAATGACAGAAGCACCTGAGGACCGACACCCGGTTTTTAGTTTTCACTTCCAGCATTGCTGCCCGACGGCTTCCCACAGCGCTGAGCCGTTATGTCCGCAGCAGCCAATACTTGTCAACAATTTCTCCGTTTGCGATGAAGTTGATGAATGATGAGCTGTTCCACTCCGAGTACTCGGTGAGCTGAGCCGTCAGCTGAAAATGCAGCCCGCGTACAAGAGAACCAACCACAAAGTCAGAAATGGGTACCAACTTCCCGGCCTCGAAGTTTGATTCGCTTTGCAAATTGTGCATGCCAAGAGGGCAAATTTCTCACAAAGTACCCGTTCATACCTCCCACAAGTTACCACTGGTGGTTCGTGAAAGCGACTGGGCCACACTAGCGATTGGGCCAAATCACGTGCACACTATTTACAGGGCTCCAGGTCACCAGCAAACACCCAAACCACTCAACCGCCCACTTTTACTCCATACCCATGTTAGAATACCAAAAAAAATTCAAAGTACTCAGAAAGTTCTAAAAAGTTCACAGATTGCGAAGAACACTCTAGTAAGCCCGAATATAATATTAGTTTCTTGAAATTGTGGTATTATGGTTATTAAATAAGGGTTTGAAGAGTTAAGTAGTATAGACACGTGATTTGGCCCAGTCGCTAGTGTGGCCCAGTCGCTTTCACGAACCACCAGTGGTAACTTGTGGAAGGTACGAACGGGTATGCCTGGCAGCGCCCCGCTAAGCTGTAATTGATGGCACAGGAGGCGGGCTGCGCACATACTCAACGTAAACGATCCAATGAACAAGATTGTAGATCACCTGGCATCCATTTTTCGTTTCGAACTTCATGATTACTGGAGACGCGGGCTGAGCCGTTATTACCAGCTAAACGCACGGTAAGCAGCGCACTGGGTTAACCTGTGTGCTCCACCGGGTGAGTTACAGGGGTGAGAACAAGGATTATTGAGGACCCACCGGGTTATTTCTGCCTGATTTTTGACTTAATGAAAATCGACTTTTTAACCTTAAGATAGAACCAGTTCTATAACACTTTTATAATAGTTCATATACAGTTTAGAAACGCTTCAGTTAGGGGGTTAGGGTGCGGGTTAGTTAGGGTTCGCCGGGGGTTCGGGGGGCGGTGGGAGCCCCCCGCTTGGGAACACTTTAGAAATGGTTTTAATACAGTTAGAAAACAGTATTTGGATTACTTACTATAAAGATATAGTTAATGTACAGGAAGTTGATGCCTGACGAAAATCTCATCTGGTTACTTTGAACCCCTGTCATCTCACCCGGTGGAGCACACGGGTTAACCAGCTACGCTGTAGACTCCTAAACGCAGTCGGGCGGGTTCAACGCATGCTCGATGTAACGATCCAATGAACAGGAGTGTAGATTACCTGGCATCCATTTCTCGTTTTCGAACACGGGTTCACAAAAGAAACCTCTGCTGAGCCGTTATGCCCAACAAAGCTTTCCTCCACGATTTAATGAACTATTGATGAGGCATTGCCTCAGTGCTTGCTCTTTCCGCCTACCAGGTTATTTCCATAATGCCGGGAAATGGAAGACGGGCTGTATATTCTCTACCTCAGCATAATTGATCTCTGCAGGCAAGTGCCTTTAGGTGATATACTTTGAAGGAATACTCATAAGGTGTGAAGAATGGCAAGGCTGCGGAGTTGCGGAGAGCCTTCCGGCAAAGTATTGAGGAGGGTTGCCTAGCACTGTGCAGGACAAGATGAAATATCCGCCCAATTACATTTTAACCTCGAGATTTTGGGTACCTTCGCGAAGTCGTTGGGTACCGATATTGTAGTTCTCTTGCCAATCAAGTGAAGATTAAATCTCCCCCTAAAGTATTTAGATTTCGATATTGCTCCTGTCCCGACCCTATGCTGAGCCGTTGGGCACCAATGATGTAGTTTATAATTAATCAAGGATCCAGAGGATCGAGGTAGGTGGATCTCCACCTCTAACATTACGGCTTCGAGGCTCGGGCGCCGTTACCGAGTAGTTCGACATTCATAGCCTGTTCTCTTCTCGATCAAGAGACGAGTCAGTCTTTTGTCTTGCACGTGGCGAAACACCAAGAAATTCTCTGAGTCTCTCCGCTAAGCCATTTCCCTCAAATCTTGGTTGCTTGTTCAATTCTCTTCTGGGGCTTCAGGATTCTCCTGCTCCAGGCCGTTATCCGAAATAGGTGGGATTCTACATCGCTGGCCAGCTTTGGACTTATTATGGTGGTTTCTCAGACTGTCGGCGCGAGTAAATTCCTTTCCGCACCCCTCACAGGTATATCTTTCTCCTTTATGGGAGTTTTCATGGCGATTGCAATCATTCCGTCTCGCGAAACGTTTCCCACAACTTTTGCAAAAAAAAGGTCGTATAGGTCCATGAGTGGCTAGATGCGAATCGAGATTGAATTTCCTTGTGAACACTTTAGAGCAGTCAGGGCAACTGAAGACCTTCTTTATTTTTTTGGGTTCGGGTGGCAGTAACCTTCGGACAGGAGTCTCCAGTCTTGGCGGGGGAGCCATATCACTTTCGGCAGGGAATTCTCCTTCTTGGTCTGCGAGTGTGCCATGGGTATCTTTCATATGCTTCTCGAGCTCGCTCTCAGTTGCCAGCCCAATGATAGCAGTAGGACAGCCTTCAACTGTGCACCGGAATGGTCGGTCGTGCTTCTGTAAGTGCTGCTCTCGCTCCTCTCGAGTTGAGAATCCGTTGTGAAAGTAATTGCAACTGAATCTGGAACACTTGTATAGATCAGAGCCGTACATTTGCTCAAATCGGACTTTCGCACTATCGTCCTTTGGTTGTGCATAAGCTGCCTCGAGAACAGGTCGTATCTTCAGGAGGATTTCCCCAAGATCCAGAGCTATCTCTTCCTTCTTCATCTTGCCGTAGTAAGTCAGCTGCTTTCTTGTCGATACTACTGCTTGTTCAAGTGTATCGTAAAATGAAGCCTCTCTGAATCGCTGTAATCTGTCGCTGTTCCTCTTTGAGACGAGAAGAGGAGTTTTTGGGGATGCCCAGTGCTTGTCTAAGAATATTTCAAGAGATTCCATAAACATCGTCCATGTTCCGTTTCCAGCACCCACATCCTCGTCGTCGTCTTCTTCTTCGCTCTTTATGGTCCCGGCTTCGAGATGGCGGAGCCAGAAGGCGACTGCATAGTCCATGAAGGCGTAGTATCCCTCGAAAATTAATTGTTCGACATTTTGAGTGCAGAAGCCGGGCAAATTCAAGTAGTCGATGCATAAAGTTGCCAGTTTGATCTCATCAGTAGCAATTGGAACATGCTTTTCCTCGACCAAAAAGCTGTTGTTGAGAACGGCGTTAGTAGAGTATTTCGACTGCAGAGGATGTACTCACAATTTTGCCGTCAAGTGGACGAGTTCCACGGTCTTGTCAGACCTCACTTCGACCAGTGAGCCGCACAAGTCTTTCGAATCGTCGCGGAATCGTCGCCGGTCCCATTCTATACACTGTTCGTCCAAGTTGATGCATTTTGCTCCTTGGATCTCGTGCCACTTGAACGGGCGTTTGGCGCATACTAACCAGCTGAGTAACATCATGGTGTCCTTGTTCTGTGCAGCTGAGGCGTGTCTGAAGATACGAGCTAGGATCCGAGAATAACTTCTTGGCCGTCAGCATGGAGCAATCAGATTTACACAGGGACATTACGCTTCGTTAACCTCTTTGGGAAACTTATCAGGTGCCAACTCCTCCTCAAGACCTTCGATTGATGTTTGCTGGAGAAGGTTATCGCATATTAGCTTCGCAAGCAGGAACATGCCTAGAACATAGTTAGCAATTAGAGAGAGAGAAAGAAGAAGAAAAGGTCCAAGTGCTACAGGCGATGCGATACCATCTGAAGTATTCAGGACATTGAGAGCAATATTGCTACTCATATGATCCGAAATTCCGAACTTTTCCTTGATTCTTTCGGCCCAGATGGTGCTGTATTCCTTGATGTCATTCTTGTTGTCCCGAGCATTGATCGCAATCGTAGATAGGCCAGCGAAGTCTTTTCGAGCAGCCCCATCGTCTTGGCTGACAAAAAGGCACCGAATAGCTTCCGCATTCGATGGCGGCAACTCTTCTATAAGATTCCTGAACCAGGAAGTGATAGATTTTCGTTCGTCTCTCGAGCACTCGTCTATCCCATCGAGAATAATGTATACACTCTTGCAATTTCTGATGCCCATATCTAGGAGCTCTTTCGAAGTTGCTGGGTTTGTTAAAACAGAGTCAGAGCTATTCGAGGCTTCTTCAAAGAAGTAAGGGAGCATCTCCTTGTTTTGTTTGAGAAGCTGCGCTAGAAGACCACGAGCAATAGAGACAAAATTATCGCGCTGGCAATCCCCGTCTTTACAGTAAAAGAACAAGATTGTGGGACGAGGGTTCAGCTTCTGTACTTCTTCGATGACGAGAGATGCAAGGATAGTCTTTCCTGAATATTGCTCAGTGGTCTGATCCAGGCAGATAACCAAGAAACATACCAGCACCAGGTTTGCCATTTAACCACAACAGTGGGGGAATGGTAGGAAACTGTGGGTCAAACCATTGTTTGAAGTTCTCAAGTTCAAGAAGCCATCTTCCTGTCTGGGGATATTGTGCTCGCATTCCAAAGAAGTGGTGTTGATCGCTTTCAACACTTGGGGCGCGAAACCAATTGTTCACAGCTTGGCGACGAAAATGATCTTGAGCTTCGAACATGACCTGGAAATTTGCCTCATTTATCTCTCGTGCCTTTCTAGCCTCGTCTATCTCTGACAACTGTGCTTGTCTCTCAATCAACGAACGGTGTTGAGACATGCTTTCGATTAGACCCGAAAAGCGAGCTTTGAATGTTTTCCAAGTCGCGTGATAGAGTTTCTTCCACACTAGTCTCGTAAGTAACAACATTGTTAGGACCAAGGGAGGTCCAATAGAAGACCTACTTGGCTTCTGGAAATAATTTAATGCCCGTCGGTGGAACTCCAAGATGTCTTCGTACATGAAAACCAAGATTTTACCAATTCTGGGATCGGCCTGGAACAGATTTTGGTACTGTAAGAGAAGTGGGAGATTGTCGCCAATCCGCTGGTAAGCATCAAGAAGCTCGTTGAATGCTTCAGAGAAAGCGCTTGTCGCCTTCAGTAATAAGCAACTGTATAGTGTTCGAGGTCTCTAATTTCTACTTCTTAACACATACCTGTAGCAAGAACTTTATGGGGCCCTATAGCAGCATCAGCCGTTCTCTTCACTTTACTGAATAATTGGGAAGAAAGGAAATTGCTCCGTAACCTCCTCTCCATGTAATAGGTCTGGGAAATGTCCAACATTACGATTACAGGATTAGAAGCCGTGTTCCTTTCACAATCACATATCTTCAACTGTGAAGGAAACTTACCCAAATAAAGGGCACAAATTGGGAACCGTTGCAGAACGTGTCAATCACTTTCCCGTACTCAGCCATAGCCTCGATGAATCTTTTGAGACGCGTCATATTCTGCATCCGCCGCTCCGACTGTTGTTGCTTTTGTATCTCTCCAATCGCCTGATTGAGCGTTTCAAGGGACGTCATCTGGAAGTTGTCTTTATCCTTCTTCTTCAAGTCTTTCTTGAATTCCTCGAGCACTCGTTCAAAGGCGGTAGCATTCACGTTCACAGCACCGGCGGTGCCGCTGCCGCCGCTTACCATACCTGGGTTACTGGCCATTATACTGAGTCGTGATGAAATTGAAGTGGAAGAAGTTGAGAACGGCACGGTGGAATTCGCAAAATAAATCTGCCTTGCAAAGGCAAGCGCCAACGAAGTAGGCCCGCTCAGCCTCCATACCTGCGGCAACACACGGCACTGCCACATTCAGCCCAGGTGACACCGCATGCTGCAGTAGATCGTAAAATTTTGCACACGAAGGCATTTGATTTTTTTCATATCTAGAGCTTCATGCTTGTCCCTGCTCTAAAAACAAGAATAACACGTCATAACGGCCTCAATGGACGGAGTTGGAAGCCGGGTTGACTCCTTGAAAAGGCCCTGGCCTTTTGAAACGTGGTCTTTTGAACCGTCCGAGGGCAATGCCGATCCCGAGCCAGGAGTAATATCTTCGCAGTTTCCATGGGATATCAATTCAGCCTGGGACCAGAGCTATCTCGACCCCGTTAACGCGTATCCTGGCTTTGCCAAAATTAATCAGGAAAACCTTTGCGAGCAGGACCCTTACAGTCACATGACTGCATCGTCCGATTCATTCCCCAACATAGTCTACGAAACGATTGCGCAGACGAGTTTCGCGTTCGAAGAAAACCAAGAGGTTTGCTTCGGCAGTGTAAGATCGCTCCACAGAGCCCTGTGATGTTCTTGCTGATATTCTTCGAGGTGATCGACGTGAAGGCGCAGTTGAAGAATACAAACTTGCCTCAAGGCTATGCATTCACACAGGCAACTGCTCCGTTTCGTGATTTCCGAGTTGTTCCGGACGGAGATTACTATTCTTTGGAATACTACGGAAATAAGTTTGCTGTTTTAAACAAGAAGATATGCGGCGACTTCCGAGCGGTCTTGCAAAGTCAGCAAGTACGTCTTCACGCCTTTGTGGAGGGCAAAGAATGGTCCGCAGCCGTCAAATTGTGGCAGAAGTACAACACCTCCACCATAATAACGGTGGAGATCAACATATATGGAGCTCGTGAGATTGCCGATGAAGTAGGAAAAGTAATCTCAAACTTCGGCACGTTCTTGCAACAGCCTCGCTATGGACTCTATGGTGTGGGGTACTACAATCCTCATTATTTTCAGGTACCAGGATTTGCAAATGTCGAATCTCTCGACACGCCAATAATCACCATCGAAGAGCCTAGTTCGTTTCCAATTCAGAGCGCAGCGCCAGACGAGCTAGGAGATCCATCTCGAGAAGTTTCGTCCATACTGGACTCACTTTCACATCATGATTTTCTCACAGAAAGAGCTGCAGATGTGAGAATTAGAAGGCCTTTGCTGTCGTGAGTAGCCTCTGAGGGTTAACTCGTGTCTCTACACTGACCTAATTGCGTCTTATCAGACATCAGATGGAAGCCATTGATTTCATATTCCGACGGGAGACCGGCCAACTCCCTGCTGCCCTAAGGCTTTGGAGTTACAATGACAGTGATTCAGATGAACCATTGTATACACTGTTAAAGTCTAATGTTGCTGAATTATCTGCTGACCAACCTGAACAGCTACCAGCATGTGTTTAGTGGTGCAAAACGCTCCCAGCCGGATGAAGCAAAGGGCGGCATCTTAGCAGACGATATGGGACTTGGCAAGACCCTAGTTACGTTGGCTACCATTGCCGGGTCTATTGACCGTGCTGAGAACTTTGTTCTCGCCGGGAGTAAAGAATTGGATTCTAGTCAACAGCCCACGGTGCCATCAAAGGCTACCTTAATTGTTGCTCCATCTTCTTGTGAGTTAGAAGTTTCACCGCAAGAACTACTTCTTGTTAGATTCTTACACTTTTATTAGTACTTCTAGACAGTTGGTGTGACGAGATATACAAGTAAGCAACTTCTTTTTAGGATGACAAGTGAATCTTACTCAACCTAACATCGACGAAAGGCATACATACCCGGGCGATCTCACTTTTCATAAACATCACGGTCAAGGAAGAGAATCAGATGCCCACAAACTTTATTCCAGCGACATAGTGCTCACAACTTATGCAACAGTCGCATCAGAATTTTGTCGTGGGAGGAGTGCCCTGGCGAAAGTCAGATGGTTCAGGATTGTTTTGGACGAAAGTAAGCAACTACTTGTGATCTCAACTCAATTTCCACTGTGCATTTTAACATGCACCTAGGTCACGATGTCAGAAATAGATCCACAAAACAATTTCAAGCAATTGCAAGCCTGGTAGCGCTCCATCGCTGGTGTCTAACTGGGACGCCGATTCAAAATAGCCTCGAAGATCTTGGTGCTCTAGTAACGTTTCTGAAGGTTCCAATTCTGGAGAATGCATCTACGTTTCGAAAGCACATCACCAATCAATCGATGTCTAATTCGAGGGACCGGTTCTCAAATTTAAGGATACTTCTTGGAGCCACCTGCCTTCGGAGGACCAGAGCACTACTCAATTTGCCAGAGCCAATACCCGAGATCCGCAGATTATCCCTCACCCCTTCTGAACAAGTTCAATACAACGAAATAGTCCTCGGGTGCAAAAGAGCAATTGATATGGCAGTCAGTGGACATATAAGATCGAGACTCAACTCAACAATGCTGGAGTCATTACTAAAGCTTCGATTATTCTGCAACAACGGCGGTTCAACGCACAACATTGAGACAGGGCCGACAGGGCTGCCCTCTGATTTAGATGAGGCTTTGAGTTATCTTCAGCAAAACGATCAAGCCAATTGCATTTATTGCACGGGGCCTATTTATTCGATCAACAATGAATGGAATACGGACGGCGGAATATGGATAAAGACTTGCATCCATCTCGTTTGTCGAAGTTGTCTGCCCCAACATAGAGCAAACAAGCAAATATGCCCTTGCACATCTAATGACAAGGAAACTGCTTTATTGTCTAGAAGTTATGAATTTAAAAGCCCAAGCTCGCCATCCCTAGCCGCCGCTGAAGACTCAAGTCGGCTCCAGAAGCTCAACCAGAACACTTCTCCTACAAGGTTGGAAAATCAGTATCCCTCCAAACTCTTGGCGTTTCTGGATGACATTAAATATCAAAAGGCACACAAAAGGTATTTATTTACGTGCACAAAGTCCATATCCTTACTTTCATCCCAGAACATTTTCTAACTGTAATTATCACAGTATCGTTTTCTCCTCTTGGAAGAAAACCCTCACGCTCGTCGGTCAACTTCTCGCCAGTCACAGCATACCGTTCTACTGCATCGATGGTTCCCTTCCTCTTTCCGAGCGCGGAAAGGAGCTCACCAAGTTTCGGTCTCCCGTGGGAGCGAATATCCTATTGATGACACTAGGCACTGGAGCAGTCGGGTTAGTACAACTGTGTTCCAGTTGGCTTTTCCCGCTCTTTATTTAACACCGCCAAATCTATTATTTTCTAACCCAATGGAAAACACTAGACTCAACTTGGCAGTAGCCTCCCGAATCTACCTTCTCGAGCCCCAATGGAACCCGGCAATCGAACTCCAAGCCATTGGGAGGGCACTAAGATTAGGGCAAAAGGAACAAGTGACTATTGTGCGGTATATTATGAAGAATACTGTAGAAGACGTAAGACCCACTTTCCTCGGTTTTCATGGCTATATCCCCATTTCTAAACTAACTCGTCGGCATTATAGAGTAACGTTCTGTCGAGACAGAGGCGCAAGCTTAAATTGGCTGGAGGAGGCTTCTCTCAGAAGGGAGGTGGTTTATCTTCCGAAGTATCGCAATCTCTAAAAGTACGTCTGCTATAAGATCTACCTTTAAACTCGTGCTAATCGTCGCAGAGTGTTTTCGGTGTTGATATTTAGACTAATATTGCCACTTCTGTCCTCCTCTTGGCACCACCGGGCTTATTCTGTTCTACTCTTTATCGAATCCGCAGCTAAACATTCTCAGCATCAGCCTCCTTTCCAGCTATCGCTATAAATGTAACCCACCTCTTCAGCAACCGTATACACTGTAGCATCCAAATGCGTTCCCGGCGTACTCAGACCTTGTACCTCCAAAACCCTCAAATCGGGGGCCCACTACACATCCAAGTTCCGTGAGCATCATTATGCGGGTTCCTAAGCATGTCCGATACCCGGCGTAAAATACATCTGTATTACTGTAATCAAGTCGGGGTCACACATTCAGTCCCGGAATGATCTTCACCGGGGCCAAAGAGGCCCGAGATGGAGCCTAGAACCACTTCCACAAGAAACGTAGGTGTGCAATCATGAACTGCAGGTCGATGGGGTTAGTGATAAGTTCTATCCTCCAGACAATCTCCACCATCTACAATCACGACCAAATATTCGACCTAGTGAGAAATTGTCACCGATAATCGCGCAACAGCTGCTTCGACATCGAAGTCTCCTGGTTGAGTTACGACAGTCCAAATCCCTACGACCCGCGCGTCCCAATATCCTCGAGGCTGTTCAACTTCTCGCCAGACAACGTACACAAAACGAGCCCATGAACACTTCTAGGATGTCAGTCGTTGAATCAGTAATAGAACCAACGAGAGAGGTCCGGAGGCAACAGAGACAGCGAGAACAGAGCAGAAAGCAAGACCGATTCTGAAATATTTTCGCAGCGCTCCCAACTGGACATGGTCAATCTCTAACCACGAACAATGTCCCTCTTCTCGAAAAAGTTGGCAGCTCTCCCTCAACTCGACACAGTAAACATTAGACAAACGACAAAAACCTTCACCATCTTTCCAAACTCGCTGCGGAGCTGCGGATTAAGATTTTGGGCTATGCTTCCGAAATTCCTCGTACTGTTGCACTAACTCTTGGCGACCAATAGAGACGACCGAAAGAACGAATAATCGAAGGATAAATTGGAGTTCCAGCCCTTTTCAACGTGAGCAAGGAAGCCCGCGAGGAGGCCATGAAACACTATACCTTGTGCCCAAAACGCTGCACCAGCGAGTGTGGTGTCTGCTCGCAACTACAAATATTTGCCGACCAACCTAACACCTTTTGTGGCGATCAGCATGTCTACATTAATTTCTCCGTTGATCGGTTTATGCATGGCCCATTCTAGGAAAGAGCAGCACCTGAGATTAAGGATTACCAATTCAGGAGATTTGATGCGTCCAAAATCCAGATCCTCGGTCTCCTGCACAACAGTAACAGAGATAATCTACATGATGTCGACTTGGCCAAATTTTTCGGTGCCCTTACGGACCTACAGGAACTGAATATGATAATCGAGCAAGTTGGCGCTTCGCATGACGCGGTACCAGATTCAGCCTTTACAGAGAAGCAGGGGAGTTCTACGGAGGATATGCAGAGGGCTTGTTCAGGGTTGCGGACAATGGCGATACGGAGGCGAAAGTAATTACAATGGAAGATAAGAGAGCCTGGGAGATTGCTCGGGGTGTGAGGTTGGGGCAGAAGATGATTCAGACTGCTGAGAGCATTGATCTGCCACCCAGAAAAGCGGGATGGGATCAAGTTCTGGGCTGGGCTACAAGGCGTGGATACTGGTAATCAACTACGATTTGAGTGTGTATCATAAGCATATTATCTTTGCAAAGAATAATGTAGACTGCACGAGAAAATTGTATCCCTAAAAGCCTCTGGGCCAGAGTGGAAATATTTTTGTGCTCACAATCTTCTGACCACGCTACTGGGGAGTACCCAAGGACGAAGCGGCGAAGCCTGATCATCCCCACTCTGTCTGCTCGTATCAAGTGCACCGTCTCTCAGTTTTGTCTCTACCGTACAATATGCTCATACGTACTCCGTCTGAATGGACCATCAGGCTGCTTGCGAAAGTTGGATAGGGCTGGCAGCTCACGACTCCATGTCCTTATCAACTGCCTCGATTCCGTAGAACCAAAGCAGCTCCTTAGGAAACCGCTTCTTGCGGAATGCTTCGGCAAAGCCATGGGTTGCAAGTGAGTTCTCTTCGTGAGATATCAAGAAGCGCATGGTCCAAAGTCCCCAAGAAGTGGAAAAACCCAGTTCACAGGATGCCTCGTCGGATGCGCGTCATACTCACGTCGCTGCCACTTCAAAAAGCACAAGAACTGCGGTCCTGGTCGGTCCAGTTTTATCTTGACGCCAGCCTTGTTCCATGTCATGCCAATTTGTTTCGTGTGGAGGAGGCCGTTTATACTTTATAGGGGTCTCGCCCTCCTCGAGTTCCCTCGGAACACCCAGTCTCTTCAATACGTTCTTCTTGGTAAGAATTCTTCGGGCCAGGCGATGGTTGGCGAAGATGGGGAATCCTTGAAGATGGGGATTCCCTCCGGGACAAGCCACTTATTGATCTTGGTAGTTTGCACTCCCATGAGTCCGCACGGCTCTTGAGCTCTTGCTCATTTTCAATGGCCAGGTTACTGATCTGAGCTGCGTTGCTCTTGAAGACATCACGAACGATGGGGTGAATTTGGTTGAGTTCGAGGAAAACGGATATCGAGAAGTAGGAGAGAATATGCACCAAGACTTCGGTGGGAAGTCCGGTCAGATAGTTGCGAGTCAGATAGTCACGAGGTTGAGTAGACATCGTTGCGGACATTTGTTCGCCTTGTTGATGCTGTGTTGACGGTTGAGGACTTGATGACGGTAGACTCTTGGCGGTAGGTTGTTGAATGCTGGGGGAAGTAAGAGGAAGGAGCACGAGCTTGCAGGTCACATTTTGTGAGGTTTTTGCACGCTTCTGCTTAGGCTGTTTTCAATCGAAGACAGCTCATGAACAATATGTTGTTTCATTTGTTTCTAAAGGAATTAACTTCTTTTCACTTGTTCCGCCTCCCTATGCTTGTTCCGAGCTTGAATTCAAATACTGGAGTTTCTGTGCTTAAGTGGTTGACCAAGACTCGGAATAACTCGCTTTTGCAACATATTGTCACATCTTGAGACGAAAACCGGTCCAATTCACCCCGCACAATTTTCAAGACGCGAGTTTAGAACGACTTAGACCCGGGTAATAATTCATATCCAGATTTAAATCTGTCCAAAGTTCGTCTTCAACGCGTCTTTAATTTCGCGTCAGACCTTCCTATATCATCGTTTGTCCTTTTTACAAGTTGCCCTCAACTCCCCCTCTCAACAGGTCGACATCGAACCCCAAAGACTCAAGATGTCTGATAAGAAGAACAGCAGGAAGCGAAAACGCCTCCCAATGGATATGAGAACTCGAGGTCGAAAGAAAAAGAAAGGAGTAGCAAAGATCGACTATCTCACCAACATGCCACCAAATATCCTCCTCCGAATCCTCTCTCACGTTCCGATGAAGTCCTTCCTCGATCTCTCCCAAACACACCCACACCTCCGACGGCTTATGCGCTCCCACGCGTCCACAATCTGCAACCTCACTATCCTGGAACGATTTCGATTCGAAGCCTACAGATTCGAGGCAAAGGAGGTTCAGGGCTGGTTGACTCCGACTGCTGGTCTTATCTGTGGCAAGCCGAGAAAGGACACAAGGTTGGTGGTTCCAGGTCTACAACTTCAGCTTTACGAGCCTGGCCCACATTTCTTGTTCTTTCTTGAAAAGAAGGTCCTCAAGTTTGACAGCGAAGGAAAGGTGATTGGGGATATGATGGCAGCTATTCAAAAGTTCATGAATGGGCTGAACGAGGAGACGCCGGTTGTTTACGGTGGACAAGACTATCCTTGCTGGGTTTGGCTAAGGGAAATGGTTTGGTATCACGGCGTTCCTTCATAAGATTGAGGGAAGAAATCTAAGACGAAAGATAGACGCCGTGAAGTTTCGGGCGATGCCGAGTGTGGAAAAAGCTTGTTGTCGCGAGAACAGTGAATCGGAGGTTGTTTTGAGGAACGAGCTAGAGCTCGCTTAACTTAGGAGCAGTTCACTTTGAGTTGACAACAGACCCCTTGGAGGCCCTCGATTCTGAGAGCAATCGAAATGTGTACTATTTCACTTTCAATTTCCAAAGGGTGACATATTTCTGAAATAATTGGAAGCTTGATTGTCATGCAACCTTCATCCCGTTCTCTCTCTTGTATCGCAATTCATGGCCACCAGCATCAGGCAACCGTCCCGCCTTCTATTATATATCAATCCTCTGTCGTTCTCTCAATCCAAATAAAACAGCTTAATTATCCATAGCCTTAACTCCAATTTTGGAATTCCTGACTCCTTGCTCCCTCACTTTCGCGTACGGCATCAACCTCATCCGCCACTAATTCCCAACCTTCCCCACCAACACTGCAGCAGCCAACCCGAATTAACTCTATGTAGCTTGTCAGCACCGATTACATACCACGATCTCGAGACCTTCCAATATGATGTCCTCCGACCGCGATTACCTTACGTACCTCCCTTCGGACCTCCTCACCAAAATTCTTGCCGAGATCCCCCTGTCTTCGTTCCTCGACCTCACTCATACATCCAGAGTCATTCCAGCATTGTCAAACCAAACACAGTAGCAATCTGCAATGCCGCCATTCGATCCAGATTTCCGAACGAAGACAAACTCCTCCAAACTTATCCTCAAAGGCAATTGGCTTGCGGTCAATCATCCGCGTCTCCTCAGAGTTCACAGAAAATTCCTAGAACTGAGGTCCGGACTTGCGAGAGCATAGTTTCCCCAACATTGTCGCAGAAACAACTGCCACTTAGCCATTCACATGCAGTCTCCACCCCACGGGAGTCATTGGAGGTTGCAACTCCAGCTGGGTGATCCGGGACCAATCTCTCAGAGTTTTTTTTTTTTTTGGAGGAGGGATTCGTGTACAAGAATAACTCTGAAAATTAGTGTGACTCGTATTCACAGCTTTGCCTTTTCTTGGCATTGGGAGGATTCCACATGTCCCCTCCCATAGATAGCAATGAAACTACGATGTAGCCAAAGGAAGCGAGAATTCGCCAGATGGTATGGTACTACGGGGTTGGCGAGGGCTGGAGAGTAGGTCTGGATACCCCATCTTCCCCTATTTCTTAGTCACGTGATCTTTTACCCGGCACGCCAAACAAAGTGGTAGAGCGCCACTTCCATCTCGCCATCTGCATTGTTGACAGACCGTATGCTATGGATTCGTTTGTATGTATTCCTTCCTCCTTCTAACTTGTTCAAGATCGTGGTCGAAACCTCCCGTGCAGGACGTTTTGGGATTAGCCCTCGCTTCACGTTACCATGCCGTCCGTTGGCAAAGTTCTGCGCCGCATACTTGCATCTCCTCAATCTGACACCTCAAAAGCCAAACTCGAACGCGAGATGATCGAACAGACAAATTATGCATCTTATTCTCCATCTGTGTGTGACCACACTCGTAAACACGATACCGAAAATACGAGACCACCCAGGCGACAAGTCAGGGAGCTTTTCGGGGTTGAGAGATGGATCCCTGTTTCGCGATGACAGCCACAACTGACACAGCGGCTCAGCGCCGGGAGCTTCGAGCGTGTGCCAACTGCTCCCACGCAAAGGCGAAGTGTGTTCCGAGCGAAGTGCCGGGAGGCAGATGCTAAAGGTAAGATCATCCACGTGATTCGAGGCTCTCGTAATGACAGTCTCTCCTCTAGGTGTGACCGGCTACTGAAGACATGTGAGCCAACATTGGCTCGAGTACGGCCCCCAGCTCGAAAGAGGAAGGCCCCTGAAACTACGTATAGCTATCTGCACCTCTATCCTTTTAAGACATTTATTTATAACCCGAAATAGACGTGTTTCCAAGTCTCATGTAGAGAAGCTTGAAGAAAAACTGGATGGTCTCGTGACTTTGATCAGATCAGCCCATGAGACAGAACAACCGACTTCTCTGCCTCTCGCTACAGCGTCTGCAGCCAGCACGACTCAATTATCCTCAAATGTATCAACAAAGATACCTCCACAGCCTGTTCTCCCGGAGCAGGTCCCGGTATGGGAAGACATTCCCCAGCGTGACCACAAAACCCAGCCCTCAATACCATCTTCAGCAAATCCATACGCCGCCGAAGCAGGGGAAGAAAGCTTAAATGCAAAGAGTTCAGCGGGAAATCAGTATGAGATGGACGACTTTGACCTTGGCCCCGAGGATCCAGATGTCCTCATGACCATTTTCCGCGATGAAATGAGTCCAAACTTTCCATTCATCACCATGATAGAATTCACACGTGCAGATGACCTTCGGCGAGATCGTCCTTCTTTGTACACTGCAATAATGGCTGTTACGACCCGAGATACCTTGCGAGGGAAGGCCTTGGGGCAAGCTTTTCTGAAGCAGTTGGCAGAACGGATGGTGGTCAATGGAGAAAGGAATATGGATCTCCTTTTGGCTTATTTGGTTTATGCTGCATGGTATGATTGAAACTTATATCCGTTACATATCTGACTTTTTTAGGTGCCGCGACCTCCTCAACCGAGGTCATTATATCACATTTCTACTCGGCTCGGCCATGACAATTTCATCAGATCTTGGCCTGAATAGGCCAACATACAGAGACACACCGGGTCTTTTCGAGCGCCTGACACGAAGGTTCGTCAATATTCCGGATTTCAAAGACTCTGCGGGAACTCTGGAAGAGCGGCGTGCCTTTTTGGGTTACTTTTATCTGAGTTCAGTGTATGTTCCGACCAGTGACCAAACGGTGCCATATTAACATATCCAAATTCTGTGGGTTCTGCCGTCGACTAGATATTGTCCCCTGGACGCCATATCTCGAGGAGTCTTGCCGAATCTTGAACTCATCAGGAAGACCCCGGCAGGATAAATCTGCGGTAATGTTGGCCAGGATTCAAATGGTTGCACAAAGATTGGGCCAGAATCCCTGGGAAGGCAGGCAAGATTTTACGGGAAATGCACCGCCTCCTTTGCTATATTTAAAGTCATTACAAAACCAGATCCAACAACTGAGGGAACAATTAGATCCCGTGCTAGAGGGAGAAGGTGAGTCTCTGGGCTGTGGGTTTCGTAGCTTGAAACGAACCTAACTGTCCGCAATAGCTATCATCCTCTGGACCCACCACAATGCGGAAGTCTTGTCCCAGAAAATGGGCCTTTCACAGTCACCAGCGGTGTCGAAGTTTCCAGACCGCGATTTCAATCGTTTGCAATATCTTTGTGCTTGTCTAGCAGCAGTCAAGTCCCTCCTCGATATCCTTTCGGCCACACCAGCGTCAAGATATCACACATTAACAGTGCCAATGGTCCTGCAAACCATTTGGAATATCGGGACTCTTCAACTGTTGTCGACTTTTGAGCACCCAGACGGGAATGTGGCAGTTGTCAATGAAGCGATGAATTTTCTTGCCTTCTTGAAAAATTTGGCGGATACTATGAGTATGGTGAAGAGCGCTGCAGGATATGATTCTCATACCAGCGAAGGCCTTGATTTCTGGTCTTTGAGCGTGAAAGGCATGACACTGGTGCAGGGCTACTTCGAGGGAACGGTCCCCTACCCCGAGAATGACCCTGGAGGTCCTTCTAGACAAGATCATCGGGATATCGAGACTACGAATTTTTCAACCTTTCCTCAAGGTGTGGAGCTTATGGACTTCATGGACGATGTCTGGATGGAACCATCTGACTACCAGAGATGGTGAAAGAGTATTGAATGTTGGCGATTGAGCGGAAAACGTCCGTCCCGTCCCTTCACTCTTGGCCGGGTGTCAGACACAGATCCGTGCCTCTTCGAGGTTCGAGGGTAGAGAAGTGAGAGACGCTGCGTTACGCTGAACCAATGTCTTGAGATTTTCTCGGCCTCCGATCCTCCCTCGAGTTGCTTGGCTCCAGTCTCCTCTCTGGAGTCTCCTGGCGGACAAAAATGGCGGATAAAATTAGGCGACCCCCTCCAAAGGTTCTGTGGGATTCAGAGGCTGGTTTCTGTAAGCGAATAAAATACAAGCAAGGAAAGTTAAGGTGTTGCTCGAGCCGACTGGGATCAGCATTGCAAGGGTTATCTGCATGATCCTGTCACCAACGCTGCGGCGATTGCTTGATGAACTGTCAGAGAAAACCAGGAACTCCAACAGACCAACCACTGTTGGGCTCGTAAACTTCCCCAGACAAACTTCTTGTCAATGGAGGGTTACCCGCCTGTGATCGCAGCCAGCAGTGCACGGGCAGCAGTCATGCAGCAACTTGCATCCAGGCCTTGACGACCGATAAGTTGAAGCCTGGAAAGTCGCCCTACTTCACATTGATATCGCCTTATTTAACACCATTCACACCACATTACTTGTATAAACGATCGTATTCGTAATAAAATTTATCTCCAGTAATTCAGCGAGATTAGACTTCAATGGTCATGGAACGGCGTGTCCATTTGAAGAGGAGACCAGGACTACCAAAGACACGAGAAGGATGCGTGACGTGCAAGTAAGTGCTTCCATCAGTATTGGAAACTGACAAATATTGACGGATTTCAGAACCGCACGTGTCAAGTACGATCTGGCAAGCCCGTTTGCCTCCGTTGCCAGAGACTTGAGCTCGAATGCCACTACGCGTCAAAAACGCCGATCAAATGAAAGACCGTTGCAATTAAGCCGGCAAACGAGGTAGGGAGACCACAGCCTAAACCTTTGTTCTCAGCTGCGCCCAAGTCTTCAAATTTCCCCTACAATGACTTGGTGCCAATTCCACGCCAACCAACATCACTCGTCTTTGCAGATGATCAAGAGTCTAGTTGCTTCCGTCTCTTCCAAGAACGGACAGCTCAAACACTTGAGGCTTGCAACAAGTCCACACTCTGGAATCGGTTCATTCTGCAAGCCTATGAGACCGAGTCCTTGAGTCGCCATGCAGTCATCACCATTGGAGCTCTGGATCTCACCAAAGAAAAGGCTCAAAAGTTGCACCGCGAGTTTGCTCTTCCTTAGTACTCCAAAGCAATCAAGCGTATGGAGAGGTCCCTTTCTCCTGTAACCCGAGATATTCGCTCGGCACTGATCCTCTGCCTGCTGACAATACGTTTCGAAAGCTGGAATGGAAACATCCAGTCAGGCCTAGGACAAGTCCGGGTCGGTCTCAGCTTATCCGGGATGGCAAAAGACCATGCCTCGTCCCGAACTTTTTGCCGGCAGAGACTTTCTCGTCGCATTCTACCGCCTTGACAATGAGAGCATTATGTTCATCAACGAAGAGCCGATACCAATCATACCCCCCTTGCCACAAGCTAGCCAACAGTTTCACGACCTTGTGGGAAGCAAAGACGCAGTTCGAAGTACTGCTTCGAGTGTTTTTTTATTCGATTGCGGACGCTTATGCTTGGGGTTCACGGTCAAAGGAGGTGGAATATCGAGCGCCCGGATGCAAACCTATGCCGGCATACCCCTTCGCCGAACAAAGACAGGGTTATCTTTCAGCGTTCCGGCAATTGAATAAAACACTGCAGGTCTTATTCAGAGAGTATACTGAGGATCATCCCGACTACGCAGGTGCACTTGCGTTGCAGCTTCGCTTCAAGTCAATTTGTACTTGTGTGGCAGCGGACCATTTCCAAGGCAAGACAGTCTACGACGTCCATGTCACCGATTTCGACGAAGTCATTGACTTGGTTGACAAACTGCCATTATTGAGAACGCAAGAATCCCCAACATACTCATTCGAGGGCTCCTTAATGGTCTCCGTTTATGTCAGCGCGATGAAGTGCCGGGATCGCTCCGTAAGAAGAAACGCAATACGCACACTGAGACGCAAAGAGCTGAGAGAGGACACTATAGATAGTGCACTGAGGGCAAGGCTTATTGAGTTGCAGACGGCAGTTAAGGAAGCTGGCGCTGTGAGGACATATATCCCTGAAGAAGCAAGGATTAGGGGTACCAAAACAAAATGCAATATGGAGCAGAGAAAGGGGGCCATGACTTATCTGAAGATAGAGGAGGGGAAACAGAATGTGTTCAAGCTACGATCTCTGGACCTTGCGTGGTAGTTGAAATACAGCTAACAATTGTAAAGCAAGCCAAAAGATCTAAGTCGCCGTGGCCACGCCGTGAACGGCCATATCACGTGATGTGGTTCTCCTTCCAACCTACTGTTCTTCATCCTTTTCGCACTGGCTCTTCGTACTGACCCTACGCATAAATTTCTCTTTGGGACACAGGCTTGTCCTATCATTTTTGAGCTCAAGCCTCACTTCGAATAGGAGAGAGGGAACAGGTTCAGCACGTGATCTGCTAGCGTCAGTCGAAATCTCGGTCCCCAACAACTGAAACCTCTCGCCACAACCTCTTTCCACTACCTCTCTCCACAAATCACATCCCTCTTCCAAGACATCAATATCCACCAACGTGCAGCTGCAATCTTCTGTTGCACATCGCACAAAAAGCCGGGAGGCCTCCCAACGGACATGATTTTCCCGGAGCTTTGAGCGGCCAACAAAGTTCACCGATGTTTTGCATGCAAAGCCCGCCGCGCTGGCTCCCAACCAATCACCTCTCGACGCCTTCTCCACGCCCGTATGTTGCACATCGACTGCATGGCATACACGCTCAAATCACTGGACTACACGAGACTTCGCAAGCCACGAAGGAGATGTCCTGCGCGTAGCAGCTGCACGATGCAGTATGGTGCATATGACAGACGTGCAACAAACGTGGGGTCGCTCCCATCCGTGATCTAGTTAGTGATCTGGTGATCTGACCATCTTCAATCGACAAGTGCCCAACGAGTCTTAGAAAGGCTCGTTCCTCGTCTGTGAGATATAGCCCAATTGTGGTCCAAGTTCGACCCCAGACGGGGTTTCGAAACATTTTATGTTGTGAGAGTGTCACGTGGAGATGAGACCGCCCCCAAAGTCTATTTTTCAGGGTGCGGGATGTCCAAGTCCTCGGATATTTCCCAGTCTCTAGACCCAGGGTCTGACGTACATTGCTTGAGAGACTTCCGGCGAGGCTGTTGAGGTATACTTGGAGAGAGTTCGAGAGAGGGCCAAGCGTTCAGGAAAGTTTCTCCAGAATTCCTTCATGGATGGTTGCTGGATTGGCAACAACAGAGCTTCCCTTCTTCTTGTGGAGTCTGAATGCTATATACCACTTCATTGGATTACGTTGACTGTTATATGGCCTTTGATCTTTCAGACGAACACGATTTCGACTCCGAACGCGTTGGATACTGAAGCCTCGACCAGAATCAAGCAATTCGCACGCTCGTTGAGAATTGGCATCTAAAGGTTGGGACTGGCTGGAACTTGCCTGTAGTCCGGACTCCAGTCCCCATCAAGTCAATGGTCCTGTGCTCAATTTCTTGCGAGCACAACTCCTATCTGGTGTTCAAAGCTGGCAAATCGCATCTTCTAGGATGCGTGATCACGTGCGCGGGGCTGCCGACCAAAATGTTTCGTTCGAACTCTGGATTGAGCCCGGACTCTTGATTCTCAAACACGCCTGGAGAAGGTTCCCTCTGAGATCCTTCGCGGAGACCCCATTGGTTCGGCTACGATTTTAGAACCCTGACAAGAACTTTTGGCTGCATGGACCAGGGCGAGTTTGTTTCATGCAAGCCTCGTTTTTTGCCGTGGGCGAGCCCGTGCGAGGATCTCCTGCAAGGTGGTTGCTCGTTGCGATCCATGCTTTGTCGAGGCGGTGACCAAGGAGCCACTCTTCGCGTCGTTCACTCACAGGAATGTCATCGATGTAATCGTACTCGCTTGGACGAACCGTTCGAGCAGGAGCAGGTCCATCCATAGAGGTTGCACGTCCTCTACTAAGCAAGTGTCTATCATGCTCTTTCCACGATCTGATTTCTTGATTTGCTCCGGCATTCTCCAGCCAATGCAATGCAAGACCTCACTCTGCCTGATACGCTATGCGAAGGGAGAGTTTGTTTTGCTCTGAGGAAACTTTGATTTTCGTAACTGAGATGGCTGACCAGGCGCTAGACATACACCGCTCAGTATGGCGCTCTCGTTCACCAGGGTGAGGCTTCGCTCATGAATGTCCTATGGCGCTTCCATTCAGCACAGACTCTCGCGTTGATCAGCCCGGAATCTACTTTGTTGATCTATTGCAAATGGTCACCCTCGTAATCCTTTCATTCCAACTCGATCGCCTTGCCTGAGGCTCTAACTATGGTGAACTTGACAGACCACTTAACTTTATCTTTTAATCGACCCATTTCAGCACATCCAGGAGCATATATCTTCCTTCTGCATCCCACACCACTTCCTCTTCGGCCTTCCCCAAAATTGTACCCACGACCACTGTCTCGCCACATATACTGTCTACCACGTTCACTTCATCAACACATTCTGTCACTCCAACAACGCTCTCCACATAGCCAGCCTCCAGCAGTATCCTGCCTAAAAGTGATATGGCAGAATCTCAGTCCACAGCTCAAACAGTCGGTAGAGGAGAACACGACCTTGGAATTCGCATACTTGTGGCCGTCGTCATTCTCGTTGGCATCCTCCTCGTGTTTTACTTCTTCATGAGGCGGCTTCGGAAGCAACAACAAAAACGGATGCGAGATCTCGAAAATGGGTTGGTGGAGGTCAAGGAATCTCATGCTATGAGATCCTTAGATGATACTCTGAAAGGTGTCTCGGATAGATCCGGAAGCTGGGAGTCCTACCACTCAAGCCCGTTCTCTGGCAAGTTTAATGTGCCTTCTGGTGTTGTCCCACATCGTCTTTTCCATCCAGGAATCAAGCGCTCTCGTTCAATCCAAAGTCCACAACCAATCCGCCTCCAATTGCCCTGCCAGTCATTCTCCTATCCACATCTCAAACGATATCCATCGTCGTCGAGTACCGCCTCCTTCAACTCATACCTAAACAAACCCATGTCACCATCAACAACGATGCAAACTCGAAGACCTGAAACTCCACCTCCTCCGCCTCAAGTAGAGGAGATCATAATGATGGCCACTACACCTCCACATCTGCGCCAAGTAAGATCTATCTGGTCTTTTTCTGCCGCTTCGTCAGTACCGTCCTCGTCGCCAAGCGTCTACTCCACAACCCCATCACGCCCAAAGCTATTTGAGCCATCGCGCCTCTCAATCCCAAGGGACACCTCTCCGGAACCATACTCTCTTCCTTCGTCTCCTTTACCCTCACCACCACTCAGCATTCACGACCCCGACGAACCGCGACCAAGACTTCACTCCCTCCAACCACCCCCACAAGCACGAAATCCATCACCACCTCCGCCTCTCCCTACTCCAAAGAACACCCTACGCCAATCAATCCCCATTGAACCCCTTCCTCTTTCCGCTGCACTCGGCCAGCACGAATTTCCAAATACAGAACAAGCACTCGCCCTCTCAACTTTATTATCCCTTCCTCCTTTCGTCGAGCGACCACTGACCGAGGGCTCGGATTCAACAATCGAACGATGGCTTGACGGATATACAGGCACGGCCTCAGAGCTCGGGTCGATCCTCGGAGAAAGCGACGCGGCCACCCAGCCTAGGACCCGGAGGATTCAGTCACTGAGTCTCATTCCGAGGGTTCAATCGGTCAGATCATCCATACGGCGACTTTCGGAGAGTGGGCCGCAGTGGATTGGGGCTGCGTTTTAGATCCGAGGGACGGGACGTAATGAGAACTTAGTGGTGGGGAATGGAGAGAATGTTGTAATGGGATGATATTGGATGATAATGAAGTATGATGTGTTCTAATCCGAGATTGTAACCGCTATGTGTGCCGTGGCTGAACGCCTCGTTTTGGTGTACTGTAATGCGTCTCTCAGGAAAAGGGAAGGGGTCTCAGCCGTGAAGATGCGATTGTTTCGGAAGCGGGTTCCGAGATCCACATGGCGTGCTGCATTCCGCGACCCGTGTACCGAGGCGGTGGGACATCAAGTCCTCAAGATGCCAATCACCACCCAACGAAATCAACCTAGACAATCACCCATTGTCAGTGCGCCAACCCCTGTTTGATATATGTCTGACCACTCACATCGTGGCTGCTCTCGGGGAGGAAAAGCACCTGTCAGTCGTGTCAAGGTCGTCGGAAGTTGTCCGTGCAGGGCTCTTCCCCAGATTAGCCCCTGAAAAAGCAAATATGTGGCGTTCTGCACCAGTAAAAGGAAGATGTTGGATGGCTATAAGGTAGAGCCAGCGTCTCCTGCCCCCTCTCAGACTCATACCATCCCGGCAGCGCTGCCAATGTTGGTCCAGAGGCCTCACACCAGCCGAAGAAGGATTTTTACCAATTTGTCGAGTCCAACAGCTCTCGACTGTTTTCGGCCATTCGATATGCAGCATGGCTTCTCCACCCCCAGGTCAGCCACCTGATGCCGCCTATCTCGCCCAGTCCCGAGTTCCCGAAATCTTATTTGGAGCCATCTTCCCGGCCGCGATAGCAACCATCTTTGTCCTCGCTCGTTTCTATTCTCGGGCTATCCTCATGAAGAATTGGGGATGGGATGATTCCTGGATATTGCTTTCTTGGGTATGTTCTTCATCCTCATTGCTTCGCGGTGTTTGGTTCTTGTTCGCTGATACTGATCGTTTGTTAGCTTAATGGGGGGGTAGTGTTGACTGTTCTCAGCTGGGTCCTGACCCATTATGGTGCGGGTCGACATGCGATACTTCTCACTCTGCCCGACATTGAGAAGCTGGGCTTTATTGGCAACGTGTGCCGTTTCCTGTATACGACTTGTCTTTTCACGACAAAAATCGGCATGTGTGCCCTGTATCTTCGATTGTTCGTGGAGCAGAGAGATAGAATGATTGTCTGGGTGATAATCGCATACCATACTATCTTCACAATCATTTTGTTCTTTCTGCTTGTATTCCGCTGTACTCCTTTTCAGGGTGTGTACTCAACCCCACATTACACTTAACGCACATATGAAACTGACAGCTCAGCGAATTGGATTCTCACAACGGGGTCATGCCAGCCTTACGCAAACTCCTTGTACGCATCCGCCATGCTCAACATCTTCGGCGACATCACCCTCATCGCCTTCATCATTCCCAAACTCTGTACATCCACCTTCTCATCTCAATACCATCCAGCTAACCAATTCCACACAGCCACACTAAAAATCGGCCGGAGACAACGAAATATCCTCATCGGTGTCATGGGAATGGGCGTACTCGTCATCATCGCCGCGATCGTGCGCTTAATCCGCACCATCGACGAGCTCAAGAGTGCAAACAATCCAGGCTACGACCTCACATTCGCAAGCTACGACGTGATGATCTGGAGCTCAGTGGAATTGAACATGGGTCTTGTCTGCGCGGCTGCGCCAGCTACTAGGCCTCTTGTCAGATTACTTGCTCCGCGCTTGCTGCCAAATGAATCTGGTGGTCAACTGGATAACTCGGCGGCCAGGAGAAGCAATTATGCTGATGGAACGTTGGAGAGTGAGAATTCGCAGCCGGGGGACGAGAGATTTGAACTGGGTGGTTGGTTGAAAAGTGGAACCGGGAAGAGTGTATCTGATCAGGGATATGGGAATGCGGAATTGTGGGACTGTGGAGGTCTTCTAAAGAATGAGACGTGCGTAGCTGTGGAGGGCAGGCGTATTGATAGCGACAGAGGGGATGGTAAAGATCATAACTATTGAAGCCAGACATTGGTGGCAGCCTCTCATTCATTTGGCTTATGAAGTTTGCCAGGTTGATTGAGCTTGTTATTCCCTCTTTCCTTCTCGTAGCTCGAGATCCTTCCTAATTTCCGAGCACTCCCTGCTCATTTACTCCCCCGTTTCTCAATTTTCTTCTCTCTGATATCCCGTCACTCTCAGAAAGGTGAATCTGTCATTGAGGAGCTGTAGAGAGGGTAGGTGTTTTTTTAACCGTCGCTACTCGATTAAAATGGGGGACATCATTCAGCAAACAATACGACTCATGCCTCGGTGACCTTTAATTGTACGTACACGACCGCGACCAACGCCAAAAAACGACTGTTCAATACAAAAACCTTTCCAACCTCGAACTCATGTTATTGCACCCGTTGATCTCTCACTGCATACTTTCAAGAACGCGTGCCGATTGATTCCAAAGGAGATGGATGATATCACGTGGCCCTAAATTCCACTACGGCTCCCACCTCAGGAGTTCATTTAGCATAACGGGTCTCTTACATGCCTCTTTTGATATATGTTGGTGTTAGTTCATTTAGAATTCTCCTCACGAAGCCTGTTCTGCAAGGTATGATTTCCTCCAACTTCGCATCGCCAAGAATCACTAACTTCATATATCTAGATGGCCCTTTGCAATTCCACTGGGCTGAGACCCTCCAATTCACATGTCCGTACACAACCACATTCATATAGTTTCCTACAACGGTTTTGATCTTGCAGCCTGTTGGACAAATCATAGCAGCAGTTCAAGGACATGGGCCAGATTATGTTCCGCCGTAACTTCTCCAAGCCAGTCAATCGCTTACTGTAGGCATATGGACCCCTAGACGCTTCACTTCCAGTTTTTTTTTGGGTTACAGCTGATTCCGTCTTGGGAGCTCGAGTGCTGTTTCATTCATATGTCGAGATGTATCTGCTTTCTCGTGATCTGGCCATCTCTGTGTTCCGGTCCCCGACCAACCTCTTGCTAAAATCCGTAGGGAGAAAAGTGGGCGAGAGAGCCGATTGACGGGTACAACATGCTTCACGAATCCGAAATAGGTTGGGGTTTGTGAGATGCAGGCCGAGGGGTTCCCTTGTGCACAAATCACCTCGAAAGTTCTAAACGGTTATGCCAGGGGCGATCGAAATGGGCGAAAGAATATATTTAATGGTACTTAGTGCTTTGTTGGGGTTATCCAGAATATACTTCGATGTTTGAAGGACGGGTTGAATCTTTGAAGTAGGGTATTCCCAGTGACTTTCGGAATATTGCGCGAGGTATTAACAAAAGCTCCAGGGGGGGGGGAGACAATTCGCTGTACGGAGGACGCGGCCAAAAGTCTTGCAACTGCCAGGGTTTGACGCCACACTCGCTTAAATGGCAGGGGCGTTGCACAGCAACCAGAGGCCGCTATAATTACAGGGTCTTACAGGCTTGTCATGCTTTAATAATAGTACTCAAGCCCTGTAAACACAACTAACAGTGATGTTCCTTCAGGCTACTAAGGCCCTAAGCACCGTTGCTATGCCAGAACTATGTGGCGTCCTTAGGCTTGGCGCCCATCCCTGCCAGTTGCAAGACTTTTGGCCGCGTCCTCCGTACTCTCGTGTCCATTTCCAAGTCCCTGCTCATACTATCCCCCCCTTGGTTTAATTGCTAGCGCACCTAATATGGATTAGAGGAACAGAATTCCTATTCTGAGTGGCTATAAGCCTGGTCGGAGGGCTTTTGGATCTACTGCACAGAGCAAAAAGTGGTCTGTGTATTAAGCCAGGGGTGTGCATAGAAGGTTCACGAAGACCGTTTACCCTGGCAGTGGCTCCCAGCCAGCTCAAAAGGGACTTCCTCACTGGCTTAACACCCTGGATTCCTACCCGCACCTATACTCAAAACATACGGGCTAGCAATTATTTAGGGGGGGGGATAGTACGAAAAAAAAAAGCCCACCCAGTGAGTTCCTGCATTCTGAATCTTCCTCCTGTGTTCGTGTTGCAATCAGGGACTAGGGTCTGCCTTAGCGCAATGAGCAAGAATGACTCATGTTGAGCCATGCAGATACAGCAGGGATCAGCGATGCTGCCCCACTAAGCTGTGCAACCGTCCCCTCTTCCATCTTCTGCTGATTACGAATGAAGGGGAGGTTGGTTTATGGGCATGGCTTGGAGGAGGAGGAGGGATCACTTCGACTCATGGTGAGGGTTTATGAAGCGATTGGGATCATTATGAGGGTGGAAGAGTAAGAAGGGAAGAGCGAAAGAATGGGTGTATAAAGGGTAGCAGCACGCTGTGCCCGTTCGTACCTCCCACCAGCTTCCACTAGCGGAAACTAGTGGGAGGTACGAAGAGGTAGAATAATGGAGAGATTAAATTCTGATTGCGTGTATTATTATGATTTGAATTTTACGAATGACGGGCTTGTGAAGCAGGTAAGAAACTTCCACTTTTTCACCGAGTATCAAATGAGGAATATGACGAAACTCTTTTGCCGATGTGATACCTACATTTTATGATCACCAACCGACATCGTCCGACCCTTTCTTCCATCCCTCTCCTCTCTTCCCCTCCCTCCCTCCTTCACTCTCTCACTAACACTCCAAAACATCATTTACCAGGTCTCAACAACCCCCTCAAGACCTCCACCTCGCCCTCGAGCCTCGCAACCCGCATCTGCAGCTCCTCCTTCTCCTTCTCGCTTTCCCTGAGCTTCTGCTCTAGCTCCGCCATCTGATCGACTCTCTTCTGTCGATACCGGCGCGCGGCAAGGGTGTTAAGAGTTCTCTTATGTACCTTTGAACTCGGAGATGCCGGGGATGTCGAAGAACTCGGACTAGTATGAGTGGTAGATGCTTTGGACCGTGGAGGCTGAGGTTGAGGTTGAAGCGTGGTGGTGGTAGGTTGGGATGGGGCTGGTCTGGGATTGGAATTCGTTGCTATGAATGAAGTCGAGGGAGCGTTGAGGTCGCTTTGCTGAAACTGGGGATTGGAAGAAACGAGCGAGGTGTCGTAGAAATTTGTTTGAGGAAAAGTGTGAGATTGGGAGAGACTTTGATGTCCCATTGATGTACCAGGATCAGGTGCCGTCAATAGAGCCCAGGAGTTGAGTTCCCAGTCAGACAACTCTGGCCAGGCTTCGGGGTTCATTAATTGAATGTTCGTATCTAAGTCGTTGAAGTCGTTGAAAAGTGTTGGATCTGGCTCGAAACAGTTTTCTGGCCAAAGATCAAGTTCAAAGTTTGGATCGTTGAAGTTATAATTGGAGTTCGCAGGGTTATTTCCGAGAGACGGAAAATCATAATGCAGGTGCGTGTAACCAGAGGAATTACTGTGGAGGTCGAGAGGCGATACCGTCTCTACTTGGGCGGAAGATGGTGTGGCCGGTCTGTCTTGGGCAGCTTGCGTTGTGTGCGCTGGCTGCTGGCATGATTGTATAGTTTTCTACGGGCCTGAGTGACCCGTTCGATGTCCTGGTTGATGTTAGAGCTCACGCATTCCGAATGATTATAGGGAGTCTGACCTTTGGATAGGGTTCAAAGGAAAACTGCTTCTGGGGAGGAAAGAAAGTGAGGCAGGATAAAGAGGTTCTTTTATGGCAGCGAGTAGTGTTAGTGTGCTTCAGTGGCAGGGGTTTGAGGGCTTAGCGTATGACTCACGCTCTAAGCCATGCATTCCCACCCCTGTTCGGAAGCCGAGAAATTGTGGTCCCGGTAGACGAATAGAAAAAAGATGAGGGGATAAAGTAGATATTGAAAATATATACGATAAACTAAGTAATTACAGGAATTCCCTAATCAACCCAAGATCTGATTTCCAGACGAAGATCAATCCTCCTTGAAAAAGAAAGAGCCTCCTGGACAAGGCGCTCCACCCACTCCTCGTGCGCTACCGAAGCGGGGTTCTTACTCGTTAGCGAGCTCAGGGGCTGAGCTCGCTAAGCTGCAGCAGCCCCTCAACCCCACCATGGGCTCTACAAGAGAATAGGGTTACCCTTCTGTTCCTCTTCGATAACTTCACCATGAGAAACAGAAGCTCTCTTGACGTGCACCGCAACTGAAGATCTCCTTCCATGAGAAATAATACTCGCTCTCCTCCCACCCTGCGCGGATAAGGACTCCTTCTCCCCCGTGTAATGAACGTAGTTGATCGCGCCACCCAGCGCTCCTCCCCATGCTGAGCCTTTACGACCAGCGGTATCGGCTGCAACCACGATGTCCTTGACGCGACGGAAGTTGCGCCCGTGCGTGAACCAGTGGAACAAGCAGTAGCCGAAGACGTAGACGAAGCCGACCAGGGGAATGACCATCGAGATTCTGGTTGATGCGGAGTCGGCGACGGCACCTTGAATTGGTGGGAATACGGCTCCTCCGGCGACTCCCTGAGAAATTGGATGTCAACAAGTATGATCTTCAGAATCAGTTTAGAGTGCTACATACCATGACCAGGATACCAGCACCACGACGAGTATGGGTTCCGAGATCTGAGGTCCAAGTTAGAATGGATAGATGAGAGACTTCTGAGGATATGACTTACTTGCAGTTCCTAGGGTGAAAATCGTTGGGTACATCGGAGCCATCAGGAAATACGTTGCCATGAGTACTCCAACGCCACCTGAGCCTTTCACTGCAGATGACGCGGCCGTGAATGCAATTGCCAGTGCTGAGTACACACACATAATGAACGAAGGCGCAAGGAAGAACGCAATGCAGACAGCAACGAATCGACCGACGGTGAAAATGATTAGCGCGTAGGAGAGGAAATTCGAAGCAGTTGGTTTGTCATAGCCACCGTTTTCAACGACGTAATTGATAAAGAATGCGCCAATGGTGACCTGGGCACCGACGTACGCAAACTGTGCGCCGAACGCAAAGAACATGTTGTATTGCTTCCAGAGAGACGCTTGGCCGATCTGATTTCCCTCTTCGTCAACAGCCGTGATCTCAATATTAGCGTTGTCAGCGAGAGTTTGTTCGGAGACTTCGGGGAGCCTGGTGAAGATAAAGAGAACAGCGACTGCAACACCGAGACAGGCAACGGCTAAATAGACGTATTGAACGTTTGTAAGGTTATGGGCGTTAGATCCGGTAAAAAAGAACTTGGAGGCAATGAGGGGGCCGACGAAGGAAGCTACTCCGTTCCAGGATTGGCAGAATTGAAGGCGGATTGAGGCTGAGGCTGGGTCGCCGATGATGACAGCGTACGAATTGGCAGACGTCTCCAGTGTCGATAGACCGCAAGCAATGACGAAGGTACAAACGAGAAAGCCGCCGTAGGATGCAAGCTTGTTTTGGGGGGTGGAGAAGTGAGCTACGGGCCAGAAGAAGACTGCACCAAGAGAGTAGAGGGCGAGACCCATCAAAATGGTAGTCTTATATCCGCGTCGCTTGAGGACCTCAGCAGCAATCGGCGAGAAGAAGAAATAGCTTGGCAAAGGTCATTATCTGAACGTTGAATAATGGAGGGGGATATCGGCTTACCCTCCGCCGAAGTACATAACTTGGAGACCGGTCGATTGTAGCTTGGTAATGCTTAAAACAGTTTGGAAATGAGAATTCAAGACATCTAGAAGGCCGTACGAAAAGCCCCAGAGAAAGAAGAGTAAGGTGATCAGGAAGACGGGGTAGTAAAGAGCTCTTCCAGTCAGAAACCCGCCCTCAACCGTGCCCCCAGTGGAGATCATAGCACCGCCGGCCATTGCGAATTGGATGCGTATGGTGTCTGCTTGGTAAGAAGTCGTTCAGATATTTCGAAAGGCTGTGGAGGGACTATCAATGTTGATTATGAAGAGACGCCCGTACAGAAATATTTCTGGAGGGGAGGGGAAAGGCGTTCTTATCTCACACGAAAACTTTCCCATGTTCCAAGACCCCTCCTCACGCCGGTCACCATGATGGACAAGAAGCTGTACAAACGAGTGACGGCATGGCTGATGGTCTCAACCAGTCCAGGCCCTTTCCCACAGTTTTGAAAGTGAGCTAAATGTTGAGATGTCCTGCCAAGATTTACAGCTCCCCCGGGACTGGAGCTGCAAAGCCGAGCAAACCTCTCAGGCCATTGGTGCTTCTTCGCACAACAAAAGTGTGGCATATGCGGGGTAATAGCGGCCAAGCGAGCAATCGAGCGAACTTGCTGCGATTTGCGGGGGCGGGACCAGCCCCCGCGAATTCCGCCTTGTGTGGCATCAACCTTGCTGGACGAACACGAACTTGGGCCCTGAAACCTAATGATTGTGGCGACGCTCAGGAAATGGCATTGGCGAGGTCTCCCTGGAACCTGCCGTGTAACCGCAATAGTGCAAGCCACTGGATCGATCGATTTCCTTTCTCCGTGGGTGCGTGGCATCATAATTCAGGACGAGATCTCCACCGCTAGGAAATGGAGATCTGGGGATAAAGTAAAAAGTCGATCACCTCGCACCGTCATTGTAACCACCGACATCTCTCCCGTATTGAACGATAAGGGAGAAAGTTGAAAGGGCACTCTTTTCTTAAGCAGCCCTTTTCTTGGCAGACTAATAAAGTCAGCATAAATGGTCACACGGCCAAATGATGGCTGGCATTGGCTGCAAAGTGGCAAACCAATGGCCCAAAGTCTTGGGGAGGGCGCTATGAGTAAAGGTTTCGCTTCTCAACAAATCACGCAGCTCTCCATCTTGGCTGACTTGGAGCCTTTTGTAATTGGTCGCTGTGAGCGCCTTAGAGTACATTTCTTGATATCCTCTAATATGTAGACACGTTTTCCCCTTTTCAAGATGTGCGACGTTCAGTTTAATAGCAATTCTCCTTGAGGACCATTCTTAGGAAGTCGAATGTCGATTACCCTGCTGCTCCATATTTAGCGAAGGCGGGGTGGTCCAGTAGCAAGGTCAGGGGCTATGCTCGCTAAAATGAACGCCCCCTACAAACACCCACCTCAACACTTCAACATTACACAGTAAGGGGTTGAAATTTCAAATTCAAAAATTGGAGAATGGAAGAAGAATCAAGGGGAACTCGTCATGTTTATATATAAAGTCAGAAATAAGAGAAAGTCCAGAATTTGGTAAGGGGAAGATAGTTGACATGAGGCCGAACATCGCCGTCCACCAAAGCCACAACTTCTTGCGCGACGGCCCACCTCATGCATCAACTCGAACTTCGATCAAGCCTCCTTCTTTTTCATTTCTTTCAACTTCAAAACTCAATCCAGTGACACTTCACAATGGCCGACTCCAGCATCGATGGGCTGTGTCTCCATCTGATCCACTATCAAACCAGTTCCCTCATAACAACCCACTCATAATCCCCACCAACCTCCCCTCGTATATTCCACCCATTGCTCCGCCTCCCCAGCGAGCTCCGCCTCAAATTCTGCAAATCCTATCACTTCCCTCTCCCACCCCGCTTCATCGGCATCCACCGCTCCCTCCCTCCCCACCCTGGCGACAGCCCCGAGCCAATCTGCCTCGGTGGCACGCATCTCTCCCCCACTATCCTCACCTCATCCCCTTCCCTTTTCCACATAAACCGTGAAACACGAGACCTCGGTCTCTCAATCTGTAAATCCTGGTTTGAAATCTCGCAGCGAGATTCTGACGATTTGGATCCGCACGCCTGCTTCGGGCGCAAGTGGGTGATCGAAGAGGGGAAGGATTTTGTCCTTGCGAGGCAGTAGTAAGGGAAAGGCGAGGAGGAAAGGTGCAGAGAGGTTCCTACACTGGGATCCAGATCGCGGTGATTTTGTTCAGCGGCTATTCAACGGTCCTAATTACGGGTATAAGAGGGAAGTGTATTGGAGGCAGGCTCACTCAAGCAGCACTTGGAAAGAGGACAAGATTGCTGGGATCCATACGCAGATGAGTTATATTGCGTTTGTGGGGGTGAGGCGGGAGGTTATTCAGTATGCGGCTACGGCCCAGATGAGTGGGAGGCAGAAGGTGATTTTCGAGGGGATGGAATGCGTGTTTTGGTTTGTTAATAAAGGTTGGTCTGAGGTTGGAGGGCGGCCAGGTAGTTTAAAAAGGTATTCGGGGGATGAGATAGCCAGGAGAAGTTTTCGAGGCATGGAGGATGCGCACAGAGAGTCTGCTAGAGTGTATTGGAAAGGATGGAGGGAGGGAGAAGGCCCAGATTTGAAATTTGTGCACACGCTCCATGAGGTGATTGAGGTGATTGAGAGAAGGACTAGATCCTAGGTCTCATTAATTGCATCGCGATTTCCATCGGATCAAGCACAATAAAATTTCTCTGATAAGTGATGATATTCGGTCTGAAACTGGGTATCAATGTGCTTGCTATGTAAAATCAAATACATCTAACATTATCCTCTCCGTTTCCATGCGGTAACAAATGCAGCAGAATAGTGTATAATAATATATATCATAAATCGTCTCATAATGCACTGTATATCAACCGTTAGAGAAAATAACCTTCGCCGACTTCGACATAACCAAAACAGGTAGCGGCTTCGCCTCCCACGAGCCTCGTATATACTCGCAATGATGGCGCTCAGCAGGTCTCCCCAACATCTTCTCGTTGATTGCCACGTTTTTGACTTCCTTCATAATCTCAGACTTGATAGCGCTCCACTCCGCAATCACGGGACAGGTTCTTGTGGAGGCTGTGAGCACTTTCAGGGTGCCATGATTGCCGAGCGAGAATGAAGTTCCGCGTTTGAGGTCCTTCGCATCCCAAATGGTCTTCCGTCCACTGTCCACCTGTTCCTTCTTCAGCTTCTCGTCCTTGAGCATTGATTCGTTGAGCTTGAGAGAGGTTTGGAGGACTGCAAAACCCTTGGACTTCGATGCATCGTTTGCAAGAGCTCGTTGGCCAGGACATCGTCGACCGTATCCTTTTTCGTGCAGGAAATCGAGGCATGTCATGCCAACAATTGCCATCGTCAAGGACTCTTCTGAATCTTGCAGAAATCCAGTCCATGTGTGTTCAGACCTGAACAGAGTAACGATATGCTCCTCGCAGAAGCTTAGGTCTGTTTCTTTTGCAACCGTAGGTTCTTGTGATACCAGGGCTCCAGGGGACGACGCAACCTCGCCATCTTGATGGTTCTCTCCATCTGATTCGCCATCAGAATCTCCTTGCTCGCCGAAAGACTCGACCCATAAGGCACTCAATTCGCCACTGTCGTCGTCAATTCCCGTCTCTTCTAAGGCATCCAAGCAGATAGAAACAGCATTTCCTACATTCTCTTGCCAGTCTTTATGGTCCTTCCAGAATCTCCTGAATAGTTTGGGGCAGCGTAGGGCTTTGAAATATGCGAGCTCGCAATCTTCAGATGCCCAATTGAAGGAGATGGTATTCAGGTAGTTGCGCATGGTGTCTGAACCAAGCAAGTGCATAAGTCGTCGTCTCCTCGCATTTCGTGTGCAGAAGGATACTTCGACGCTGCTAAAGGCCTCCAGATCCAGTGGACTCCGAAGATTGTGCCGCCATCTCTCGACCAGAGCATCTTTCATGGTGTGACCAACACGACGTTTGTAGGTGACTATACCAGTTCCCGAAATGATACCAAGAGCAGTGCCGCTCACTTGTATGGCATGCGAATCGATGTACCGTTTATCACGGAAGGTTCTGGGGATTCTCAGTGCGCCCTGGTCAAATAGCTGGGTTTTCATGCGTGATAATCGCTCTGGGGTTGAAGTACAGTCCTGGTTGATATTGAGCCCGAATTCAGTATTCGCCCCGATCAGAAGAGTATCAGATTCAAGAAAGTACTTTCGAGGCAGGCCACTCTGGTTTTCTTCGATAAGCTGCTCGTTCCAATCTTTCGATGAGATCCAGTGACAGTAGACTTCGGACGGATTGGTTGCTGAATAAATAGAGTGATATTCGGCATTTTCCGACCATGGTACGATAGAACCATTCCCTATGTCGTATTGCTGGATAGACCCATGTTCACCAATAATCTTCCAGGAAGGGCCCCATAGATCCGTCAAAGACTCAATACTGGTCGACAGATGGAGAGGTTCATTATCGTCACGGAACGCATTTTGATGGAAGACCCAAGGTCGGCAGCTCCTCAAAAGTTTATCCAGACATTGGAACTGGCGACGTTGAAGCGTAATAACCGTGCGGTTAGGTCTAGAGGATATTTCTCGAAGGGTGCTGTCCTCGTAGGCGATATTGGTCGGGAGTTGGAATGACGGAATCTCTGAGCCTATCAATTGCAAGTCAAATCGTTGGAGATGAGCTCCTGCATAAGAAAGCACGCCGAGCTGCAGTGACTGCACAGCACAGTCCCACACGATCGGAGATCCAACGTGAACAGGAGGGTGGGGCGACAGGTCTATTGAGCTGAGCATCTCGCCACACTGTGCGGTCAGGCGGTGGCTTCCATCCTGTTTCTCGACAATCGAATTAACAATGTCCTTACTGTCCTGCCCGAATTGTAATGCTGATAGTTCAGAAAGTACCCTTTTCAGGGTGAGCTCAAACGTGAGACCTAAGTTGAGGACTTGGCGAACTGGGATTTTCACCATCTTCGCGATTCTCCGCCTGAAAGGATCTCGTTCCACGACCAGGAATGTGAGGGTTTCGAAGAGATAACCGGCAGTTCGAAGCCTAGCCAAACTCCTGCCCGTTCGTCCAATGATGTTGTAACACTCTAGCAAACTGAGAAGTCTAGCCGATTTCGAGGTCTTGATTACTCTTACTACTTCGTTGTTCTCAATTCTCGTCTGAAAATGAAACGAAAAGTAAGAAGACAAAAGGTCGTCCTTTTCTTGGGTACTGCCCGCTGCGGAGGCTATTTCGGGAAACAAGAAGGAGGAATCGTCGAAAATTTCCTTTTCTAATACTTCAAGCTTGTCGAAGTACTCTCTTGGATGGAGAATACGGCCATCCGATGCAGTAGTCAAGGCTGGGTCATCAGAAGCAACACTTGCCATGTCATCACTATCCTCTTCAAGCTCTAGATCTGGTATAGTAACTTCGGTCCTTTCAGTGGATCCGGATCCTTCAAATGATTCCTCAGAAGGGATATTTGGGGATATCTTGGGGCTCGGTATCGGGGGCTTCTGAGGGTTGAGAAATTGAAATGTGTTCTGTTTGAGATTTTCGAAAGCCATTCCTCCAATAATAAATTTTTTAATGTGTTCGAGATTGGGGAAGTTGGAATAGTCAATGTAGTTTTCCATGTCAGTTTCCGACTCCCCGGATTCGCTTTCGTCCGAAGAGTTTGGTGGTAGTGACGGTGAACGGTTATTCCTGACTTCATCGCCGTTTCTATGGTTGACAGACTCCCGCGAGGGTTGGGGTGCTTTGGGTGCTTTCGCGTGGTTTAATCCAGGCATGGTTGAGGGTACGGTGGAGGACACTGTGGAGGCGAGATAACGCTCAAGCGTAGGTAGTTTGTCAATACGTTGGTTCAAATGTGTTGCCAAGTTGCGGGTATTTGACTTATTCTCGGGGTCCGACATGTCAAACAACCTGCTCACGAGCCATTGTGAATGCTTTTCTATGATTCTTACAGCATCCTTCTCTCGGTGGTCTGAAGCCGCGTTCTGAAGCTCCCGCTGGAATGGAAGAAGAAGCCTTCTGATATTCCGGGTAAAACGAGGCTTACTGATCATAGAGGCGGCGCTCTCTAGGAGAGAACGAAATGTTTGGTCGGAGAAAAGAATAAGAACAATTTCGTCCTGGGCAGTCTTTGGTAGTCCTTGCGTTATTGATCCAGAGGTGTTTGACGGTAGGCTCGACCCAAGTGCACTATCATGAAAAGTGTTCACAGAGGCGAGCGATTGAACGTCCCATTCATGGCTGGCTTGCTGATCTGCGACTCCCTCGAACTCAGGCCTTGATGGCATATTGCCTTCACATAACTTGCATTTGAGATGACGACAGTCTGGACAAATGAATGCCGCAATGATTTTGCGCCCACAATGTTGCGTGCAACACTTCCACCAAACCAGTGGTGGCCCACGCAGATAATTGGTTTCATGAATCTTTAAGTTCTCAAAGCTCTGGTCAGAACGGACACCAAAGGGGTCATATGCCTCTCTTGACGGAGTAGAATAGCTGTGATAAGTCGGCAAAGTCAAGGTAGAGCCGAAATGTTGTGACACTGAGTACACTGAAGAGTTTTGTAATGCTGGGGGTATCGAGTTGAAATTCGGTGACATTGTCGGTTGTAAAAAAGAGTCAAACCGGGGTCGAATACCTGTCCCGGCAAGGTCAGGAAAGTCGCACGCAGGCTGCTGCATGCCCGACATATTGGAATCCATCGAGTTGTGCGTGGGGTAGCTCGTCGGGGCCAGGTTGCGAGAATTGAATTCACTATTGAAATAACGCTGCTGTTGTGGATATTCCATGGGGAGGTGTGGAGAAATGCTATTCATACTGAAAGGGTTGGGTGATTTTAATCCCTCCATATTGGCAATCGGCGTGACGGGAGAAAGATTCTGCTCAACTGGACTGATGATTGTTCTTGCATCAACATTTGTAGCTTCGACGAGGCGAAGAATAGGCAAACTGATATGCTCCATATGCTTGGCGAGATGTACAGTGAGCTTTTTCCAAGTTGGAAAGGACTTGCCACAAAATTTACATGGTTCATCCTCTGGTCGATTTAAGGTTTCGTGGTGGCATTTCTCCAACATGATCCATGCGGGTTCTGTAAGGCGAGCATTCTTAATGGCGGCCTTCGTTTTTTGTGTCGGCTAGCAGTCTGTTAGCGTTAATGATGAACTTTAAAGAAGCTTGAATCATACCTCTGGTAACTTGTGCTCTCTGACAATGTGCTGCAGGAAGTTATCTTTCCGATAGCACGGATGCCGACAGTCCTCAATCTGGCATATCCACCACTCCAGGTGCCGGTGGCGTTCATTCTCGTGACGCACCCAATCTGCCTTTCTCTTAAAGGACTTAGGCTCCTTGCACCTCTCATAAGTACAAGTAAATGGCGCTACATCCTCATGCACATGCTTTGTCCAATCTGTAGGTTTTTGAAACTTTTTTGCCTTGAAGCACAGCTGGCATTCGAATTCTGCTGGAAGATTTCGGGTTGGTGGCATCGGCACTCCTTGCGGGAATGTCCTATCTGTAAGAGCGCCTTCCCCGGGATTGGAATCGTCATCTGAGAAGTCGCTGACGGCCCGTGATGATTCTTGCTCACCAGCCTTGCTTTTGTCCACCAGTAGCCTGCCGTTCATATCAAGAAGGGTTGTGGATCCTCCTAAGGCGAGGCAAAGCGGGCCAGCGGCACATTCTCTCCTTACGATCGCTTGAGAGTGCTTGACTCTCATATCGAGTAGATTTTTATATCTTATTTCCTGTTGGTGAGCGATCCTGGAGACTAACCAATTGTACTGAGAATCCATGCCTGGATTGAGTCGCCGGATGTGAGCTTTGAATCCCTCATAGTTGGGCACGATCGGCTCTTCGTCAGCTATGGTCATATCCCCTTGATCATCCACCTCATCATCTTCCTCATCCACTGGATCTTCTTTCATTCTCTTGACTGGAGAGTGATCTGCATATCGTAGTGAACGTGTCTTTGGCTGCGCGCCAGCGAATCTTTGAGAAGAGGTTTCGGGACTAATTCGGGCTTCGATATGTGACGACGGGCGCTGGCCTGAGGAGGCTCGATGACGAAAGAAGTATTCGATGCACTTTCGGCTTGGTGATTATCGCTCTCTGATAATCTTCGTTTTGTACCGCTTTGATTTCCAAACTGCGACTTGAACTCAAGTGCAAGCTCACATTGACTCTGTCGCGGTGGGGAGATCCTCCCAAGCCCTCTAGATCCCCGAGCTGCTATATGGTCATCAACGACTCGGTGAGTATCGCCATCTCTAATTAGAGGCTCTTCTGAGGAAGAACGCGGATTCGAAATTGGATACAAAATCGGATCTCGAGGTACGGGTCCAGAAGCTGGAGAGATTGTGGGAGAGACCGGGGTATACAATGCTCCGTTCGAGATCTTTGATGCAGACGATTCCCCGTTGTGGGACATATTTTCACCCGCTCTGAGTTGGAGAGGCCTAATTTCGAGCGTACATGGAGGGTCTCGAGAAGATTATCGTTCAAAAGGGGGGAGAAAGCCGCGGCTTTAGGTTCCGGCTATAGATCCGCAATCAGCACACCTGTCAGAATTGAAACAAAGACACGACTGAGTATATCACACTTCAATGTCTCCTCTGTCATGCTCTTGGATATCTTTAAAAGCCCCCGAACAAGGCAGGCCGGCTCGTACCACAACCCTCCCCTTCTTCGGCCCGCGAGATGCAAGAGTCAACACTTCAGCGCAGCGGATTAACGGTCGATCGAATAGGTGGCAAGCTGCGATAGATTGCTGAAGGCCAGAATGAAAAATCCCCAAAACATTGATCAAGAAGGAAGAACGAGGTGAAAGGCTGCAGATCGCAGCTGGAGTGTGGCGAATGCAAGGCTGCATTAGCGCTGCTGCGCCTTCCGAGGGGGCTGAGGTCGGACAGGGACTTCTGCCTCGAATTCTCGACTCCCCTTCATTTCCCTCCTCAGTTTTATCGGTCAAGCAATAGAGCACGTTTTGACGTCGGATTGCCAATAATTCCCAAGACAGGCTGCCAATCCCGTATTGTGATGAAGAAAATCTCATCTCGCTGAGAATAAATTAACGCAGTGCAAAATGCGCTCTCTGAGGAGCATAAATTGGGTGCTCCGGAGGAGCTTACAGTAGAAAGGGGTGAAACATGCCCAGGAGCTAAGACCCTGAACACGTGACATGGGCAAGTACAGGGGACTGGGGGGGCCCAGTGCCATGCAACATAAATCATTCTTCACGCAGAGGGAGTGGCTGATCATTAAGAATCTCCACTCCCTGAAGCTATCAAAACATTGATGCAAGCTGGTCATGTCACAACCGCGAATATCCATCCGCGTACTCGAATATACAAATACTTGGCCGCGTGTTTGCCTGGAGTGAGGTGCTCACTCAACGGACCTTCACGTCTCCCCAATCACAGGAGACTGGCCTTATGATATCGGAATAGCAGGATCTAGAGATGATCTTGCACACTTTCAAAAGAAACAATTCGTGCCCGTCCGATCTTGACGGCGGGCTTCAAAGTACCCCTTCATCCCCAGCTATTTTCTAGACGACTCCCCCGTTAGGGTTCCTCTGATTCATCAACGACTGAATCATTCGAAATTTGAGGGGCTGCGAAATTGTCTGGCATTGGCTGCTAGTCCAACATCTCTCTTTGTGATTGCTCTTTCCTCTCCCTCTTGATCTGTCCTCGGTCCTTGCACCTTCCTGTCCCTATCTGCGCCGATCTGGGACGTAGACCATCCTGAAATCCAGCGTTAGCTTCATATGCTCTTGCCCTCCCTTATTTAAAGAGATCTTGACGTTCGTTGGCTTCGACCTCTGCCTCCCCCTTGACGAGTTCCACCATACACTCATGCGCCTTGCACGAGAAGCTACACTCTTTTTCCCGCCCCGACAATGTCACCGTTGATGACATCGATTTTTGTTACACGTCCCGTCTTTACACCCTCAACATATCGGTTCCAACTATGTTGCTGCCCATTCGGTCCCAAACCCAGCGATTCACCTCTTTGAACTCAATTCTTGGAATAAAGTCTGCACGAAGGCATGAGTCTCGACTAGCTTTTTTTTTTTTTTTGAAGATTTCTCCCATTGCTGGATCGCCGATTAAGCCTTGTCGAATATCCCTAAAGGTGCAATTTAGCACCACAGAAATAGGGTCGAGGATTTAGGCCGCAGCAAATCGTTGCCCGGAAAGCTAGTGGGTGGGCAGAAGTCAATTCGTATGCCCTCATTTTGTCGCATGAAATAAGAGTGTCGATCATGTACTGAGTCGTGTTTCGCCTTCGAGTCAAAATATCTGGGATCTATTTCAACGCGTGCTATTGAAAGTGCTCCTCTCCCGGTCCGGGTCGAGGTAAATAGCGCTTTCTACGTACTTCTAGTCACGTAGTCCTCTTCTATCGCCTCGTATCCGGTGTCACGCACCTTTCGATAAAAATATTCGTCTTGAAAATTAAAGCAGTGACTAAGACCCAGGAATATCGCTATGGCACCGTGAAGTTAGATTATGATGCTCTCGAGGGTACTAGCAACATTAGGGCCAGGAAAAAAGGTGATAATGTGAAAGTTGAGCGAACCGTGAATCAGGTCTAGAATCATAGGAGATAAGTGAAGAGAACTCACGTTATTGCTCCAGGAAGGAAGGTTGGCCGGGGTTTTGGGTCGCGGAAAACGATTCGACACAAGTCGTCCTATATATAGACGCCGTCATGACAGTGGAACATGGTCGATTCTGAGGACAATCTTGGTAGGAGAGCCTCTCCCTGACCGGCCCAGAGTGTGTTGGTATTACGAGGTTCATAATGGGACCCACGGCTTCAACGTTATTAAAATCGAGGACTTGAATTTGCGGTACGCCATGTGAGTCTTGTTCAAAGCGAGGCAACTTGCGCTGGCGGTCGAGGTCATTGCTTCCCGGTCGTACTGGATAACAAGTTGACTTTTCCAGGGAACTACCATCTCAGCTCCCACTCCAGTAACATTCCCTACTTGCAATGGTGATTTCCCATCACAATGCTTGAAGTTTGCTGGGGGTAGGTTGAACCACGAAAGAAGTGTGACAGGGGTGGATTGGGACGTAACCGAAGGCAATATGCTGTGAATTGATATATAAAACTGCTTCCCAGGATGTAAAATGGTCGTTCGGTAATTCTCAACGACATTGAATTTCGCTGCTGAGGGGGGTCGGGTCCTCGGTTTGCAATGGTTTGCCTTGCTCGCAATCCCAGCTGACCTGGCCGGCCACGAGCGCGCCACGGAACACATCGTCACGGGCCGGGCGGATACAATGATCTATTGCCATGTCGGTCTCTACAAACGACAGGTTGGTGTGGTCGTGGTGTTGCTGAGGTGGTGCTATTAGTTGGTGAAGACGGAAAATTAGAGGTGCAGTTCGAGTACAGAGGGGGCGTGGTCACACGTGACCTCGATCCAAGGATATCAATAAAACTGAACAATCGCAATATTCTGTTGATTGGTCAGATAGGTTATTGTCACAGCGTTGTAGTGTTGGAATTTATAACGTGATACGAGGCCCCTCAGACTTTTTATAAACGAAGCAAATAGCATCACCCAACTTTCAGTCAATTTAAGACATCCGAGAGAAAATTTTACTAATTAAACAACTACGAGATAACCAAGACTATCTATGTGGCCCAAAACAAGGCAATTTGATTGTAAAAGCACGTATCATCTGGTAGAGGAACCAGATCTCCTCCAACCCAGCGCAAGGAAAATATATTCATCCAATATTCCTTCAAGCCCAAAACATCCCAACGAACACAAAACCCACGGCAACAAACGAGCTCCAAATCAAGCCATTCCCTGTAGCTCCCGAGACAATTATTATGGGAATATTACCTGGAGTCGTTCCATTGCTAGGTACTACACCTCCGTTGCCAGGTGTAGGTATAGCCGTTGGCATCATGGTGCTTCCCTTCGGAGTAGGAGAAGGTGGATTCCCATGCAAAGTGACTGTAGTAACTGGAACCATTCTAGTGGAAACACTATAAGGACAGTTGGTGACCAGGGGTGCACAGCTGCTGATGGTAATCCATTCTGTTGAGTATATCACGATAGCAACGGGTCTAGAAACCATTGACATGCTTGTGTTACGCGCTGGACAATGAGTAATCGTAGGAGCACAGCTTGTGATTGTGAGAAACTGAGTTTCGTAGATTGTTGAAGTGCTGTGGTCGTTGGAAGAGGCGGAAGCGGAAGATGTTCCCGGGTAGGGAGTGGAGGTGGTTACCATTGGTGTTCCAGTGCTCGATGTAGGAGTGGCAGAGCCTGTATTGGACGTCAAGGCTACCGAGTTAGCTGATGAGGAAGACGGAAGTTCTGCTCTTCCGACGAGAGGAATCGGACTTCCAGTGAAGGCGTAGAGGTTGAGCACAAGAGCGTTTCCGCATTGATACGAGGAACCGCCGCTACAGGGGGAAGTGCATTCCATAGGATAGGCAAGCTGGCCACCACAATAAGAAGGCCAGCCTGGAGGGTTGCAAGGCGCGATATTAAGTGAGTTCGCGCAATAACAGGTAGTGCCTGATAGAGTTAGGCGGGTCCAGTTACACGGAAGGCGCATACTCACTATGCTCCAAGCCAAAGTACTTATATCCAGCGCAAAATGATCCACATTCGCCTGGCGTTAAGGCATTCGATGTGAAACTGCTCGTTGGAAGAAGTCGATTTGGAGCAACATTGTCGAGAATGCAACCAAGACTCGTCCACCCAACCACGTCAGCAACGACCGGTGCTACACGTACAGCAAGTGAATTTGCCATTACGATAGATCTATATGTAATTCCCAATTAGCAAGTGCAAAGTGAGGAAGTGTTACCTGAACATTGCTTACTCTCAGGATGATTAATAAAATTTGATAGTTTCAAGAAAAAAGGTTCTGCGGAAAGGACTGACTGTGAAGAACTTGATTTGCTTAAGAAGACAGAGCTTAAGAAGACAGAGGAGGTTGATATATAGCACATTCTCTAATATTTTCCCACGCGCCTGAGACTTCTGGACCCGCGAAGTATGATCGGCTGGGAGAAAACATTTGCGCACGGACGATATCAGAACAAAGGAATGTGAACTCATCCTAGTCATTGGACATCGATTAAACGGTGACATAAAAACGACGGCTAGGGGTTAATTTCTATTGGAGAAAAAGAACGAAACTCTGTGAATCTTTGAAATTGAAAAGGGGTCACAATTCCACATCGGAATGCAGCTTCAAAATCGCCTCAGTGAGCTTGCTGGAAGGCTAGAACATTTCAAAGAGATGGCTGTATTTGCATCCCCGCCACCCCGCCACTCTGGTCTCAGTTTCGTTGAGAAAAAGCAAGTTTTGGATCGACTGAACTTGCCGCGTCAGCGAATGTTGGGCGCGAGGAAGTGAGCTGAGATGAGGTCAAATGTCGAAGGATTCAGCCCGAATCGGCCTGATGCCCAGTAGTCCTCTTCAACTTCTCCACAAACCTCAACATCAACATTTGGACCTACTCCCCATGTAGTCATTCCCAAACTGCCTGACCTACCCTAGGAGACTGTCTCCGAAATCGTTGAGTACTGCTTTGACCCGAAACCAGATTTCACGGGAAGAAGTAGTACGTGCCACATCGCGTAGCTCTCTTCTCAATTCTACCACGCAGCGCGCCGCGCTGTTTTTCCAAATGAGATCCGCTTCATGCTTTGCCGTGTGGATTGGTACTAGCCTGGAGGTGAAGCGTTCATCCGCGCCGTGAACGAGAACCCTGTATTTGTGTCGAAGACCCGATCGACATAACTTGCAATCAACCTTGCAGGCAATCCAAGTATTGGTGAAGTAGCTACCGACACCAACAAAATCCTCTCAAAGCTTTCCACGAGACACTACAAATTGTAGCTTATGAAGTTATGAGAACAGGAAACCATTTTGGCCACAATTTCGCGGCCTCAAGCCCGCTCTGACGCAGGTCTCGATCAATGATACAGCGCTCAGGCTAGAAAACATTGTCGGGAATATGTTTCTTTCGCACACCAAGTGCCTCACAATTATTCGTATCAAAAAAGGCACCGAAGTCATTCGTCTGCTAAGAAAATTTGGAATCAGAGCTTCTCCCTTCGGTAATCTTCACTTTGACCATGCTTCTCGGTTTCATTTTCAGCATCAAGTGTTGGATGTGCTGCTGAGGTGGCCGAAGTTTCCGAAATTGAAATTTACGGACATCCTACTGCCAACTTCGTACAGGCGTTCCGTCGGCGAAGGACTGCTTCGAGGATCTCCAGTGGGTCAACATGGACGATACTGGGAGGAATATCCTGTTGAAGCCACGAAATTCTGCCGAATGAAGATGCTCAAGAAGCTTTGTTGTCCTATTGATTGTTTTGCCTCTCATAGCAGATTTGGTATTGAGGGTGGGACATGTGCAAACCATTACCACACAGCCTAGAAATCCTTCAGGTCCGTAGATTTCAGATGAGACGCATAAACCTTTGAGCTAACTTCATCTCCGCCAGGAGTGGCGTCGCATTGTATGACAAATCCTAGGTTCTCTTCTACCAGTATATGGGGAAGCAAGATCGGTGTCACGACTCACGATCGTGATGATAATGATGATGATGAAGTCCACTTGCGGAAGCTGCCCCGTATGCCTCGGAAATTAGCTGATATGCTGTGGGTACTGGAGTTTGTCGAAAGCAAGATGAAGCACACTCCGCATTTCAAAGAGATCGTACTACTGGAGTCTATAATGTGGTACGATAACGACGAACAGTTCCCTAACGTCAGATTCGTGGAAATACCAGATGCGATAAGACTAACCTTGGAGGCTGCTGGCATTGGCATCGTTTTATATATTAAAGAGCGAATTGTATTCTATTTCCATGAATAGTCAAGCTCTCGAACCTTCGAAACAGACGTGCGTTGATATGGTCCAGCAGGTGATGAGTGTCAGGTTGGAGTACTGTTCAATCCAATTAGCAAATGACCGCATCTATAGTATATACTTTTCAACCCACTTCTCGCCTGCTTCCTCTCAGCTCTTGGCGATTGCAAGGAGGTGTTGAACCCTTGATATACGAAGGCGCGCGGCTTTAAAAACCGTCCATTTCGCTAGGCGAGAGTTTTGAAAATCGCTCACTCGCGTTCAAAAAATCGTAACAAAACTCCCTAGAACTTTAGAACAACAAAGCCGTAGAAAAAGATACTTTGGCTTCTTATCTATCACTTAAAGCTTAATTCAAAGCATTCGGACTTCGTGGTGCTCCAATGCGCAATTTTCAGAACCTAGAGATTTTGGTGATCCTTGCCTTAGCGAAAAATGGACGGATTTTAATGCCGTGCGCCTTCGTATGTGGAAGGGAAGATTGCATGTTTGCCCACCGCACTTAATTTTGCCGACGTGAGCAGTCTTTTACAATACCCCCAATCCAATTTGAGATCTCCAAGTGTCGTCCTATCAGATCTGTCGTTCGATTTACGAAGAAAAATAGATCGTTTGCTGGCAACCCCGAAGCGTTTCATGCAGAAGTCGGCGCTCGTCACGTGCTTTGCACTGCCTCATTCCGGTACCGATTTGGCCTTTGTGCAGGAATTTCCTCGTTTGTGCGGGCCCTTCGTGCTAAAACAAGGCTGAGCTGAAGCAGGGTTTCGCCGTCTCCGAGGGAAGGCTTGCAAGCCAATCATTATTATGAGACAACCCCTCCAATGACGCCGTTCAGCAGATCGGGCTGTGCCACAACCTGGCAGCCATCAGATATAAGCGGTCTCTCAACCTCACCACGCTGACACGTTTCATCCCCTATCATTGTCGTATCGCAACAACATCTCCAGACATCTGTTCATCTTCAATTCGGTTTCCATTGTTGAAAGTACCGGTATTCACGATGGCGACGCTTTTATTCGGGCTGGCGAGGGGGATATCCAAGACTGTCCACGATTCACACAACCGAGACAACCACACCTCGAACACCCCGCGACAAACCACGATTATGACCCTACCACCCTCCCAGTCCAACCCTGAGTACGCTGCACCAGCACATGTACCTCGAGACGAACCACCTCCGCCGTACACAGAAGTTGCACCTCCAGAGGCCCGGATTCCTCAACCACAAACCCAAGCCCCTTCGCGAATGCCAACTCAAAGACGAACACAACCGCAATCGCAAGGGCCTTCGCAACCTCAACCAATAATCGGAACCCCAAACCAAGCGCAAACCCCAACACGAAATCCAAGTCAATCGCAACCACGACCAGAGCAACCGAAACGGGCTCCAAGTCAATCACAACCCCCAACTCGAACCCAATCACAATCACAGCCCCAACGATCTGCCTCTACGATCCGCCACCGTGCAATTATTCCCTCCTATCAACAACCCCCTTCTCAAGAACCAGCAGGCTACGTAGTCGTCGACGCAGTACCCGGCCTTGACGTCTGCGATTGCGTTTACAAAGATGGTTTCGGACTGGCTCCGAAGTGTCGAAGATGTGAAAGGCAAGCGAGGAGGGGCCACCAGGGTACCGGGGGAAGGAGAAGGAGGAGGCAGCGAGATGGGCCTACATATGCGATTGTTGATGAGATGAGGAGGTGATTGAGTTTTAAATTGATGGTTGTAAGATGTCTTGTTTGGATATTAGCGTTGGATGGCCGGGGTGTTAGAGGTATATACCAGGGCCGTTATTTCTTTCGACTTCTGTTTTCTACTTTTAAGTTCGAAAAAGCATCTTTATACAAATGACAAAGCTGTTTCTTTCTTCCCCTTCCTACGTCCAGTACAGAGTCCCTCTCCACCGACTCCCAACCCCACAATTTAAGGAGTCTTCATCCCCTCTAGAGGGACCACCAACCAATTTTCCGAGCGTCCCATCATCATCGCTCTCAGGATCTGAAGAGCCGTAGCCCTCTTTCGGCCTGCATACAAGATGCTTATGTTTCCCCGTCATTATCGGTATCCCAGACACACTAGACAGGTGGGAGAAGTTCGCGGACTTGCAAGGCGTCCTGCAAATATATTAATTTCCATAGGAAGAGAACAATAGAGATGAGTAGAGGACTCAGAGGGCCGGTTGGGAGAGGTCCAGCGTGGATGGCCATCAAGAGGAGGGAGAGGGCCAGGGGAAGGAGTGTGGTCTTCATTTTGATGTTTGGTTGATTTTGACGATGGTAAAGGGAAGCTCCTGGGAAAACTGGTGGTTTGTTTTGTAGTCTGAAGTCAGTGCTTCAGGACGGCTTACCCTTCAGCAAACCTACTCATATTTGTATCTTTCCTTAGAACTGCATCACCACACCCATCACCAAATATCGGCAGGCAGATTCCCCGAGATGGTTCAACTGAGCCGCCCACTTCACTCTCGGGATCGCGGAGAAGATCGGGAGGCGTGAATCCCGACATCGACAATCTCATCGAGTCCGAGTGAGCAGCCAGCGGAGCCACATCTTGGCAGGTCAAATAGGACGACTTCAGCCAAAGAGGCGAATGCCGTCTCTATTCTCTTTATACCTCGCGAAAGGCAAGCCCAGCCTCAAGTGGCGCTGCTGGCATTCCGGTTAAAGGGTGGCCTGAATGCAAAGGCGCCATTGCCGTCTATGCGAAAGTAGAAGCAATCTGGGGATAGCGACCGAACTCCGGGCGGTGGCTTCCCACTGTGGGTTCCGATAGGCTCGATAACCGATCGATAGACAATTGCGCTAATTAGTCGATTACTAATCATCGTAATCGATAATTATGGAGAATAATTATCAGAGCCCACACAGTTCAGACCTCCTCCAATCGAGCAGTGGCAAAGTATCGAGAACCACTAGCACCCAGTCTCCCTATTCGCTATTGAAACCGTGGAGTCATAGTTTGTAGCAGAAGGTGGTGAGATTGGGAAGCAGCATACTTTTCCAGGCCTGAAGTTTCGGTTTACCTTACGATGACTTTAGGCACGTTTTAATCTAAGTCACACATTGTGTCAGCTCACTTTTTCCGAGGCCTGTAATCCAGCATCTTCTCCGAGTGGTGGGGTCCAATGATGGCGGATAAATGCATTGAACTCGGGGCGCAGCCCCCCCCCCCCCCCCCGAACAGCAGTGTCTTGTCGATCGTTGCGAGATGATCCCGGAAGGCCCCCAACCGCGGATCCTCGCTCAATTTTGATATCAGCGATTCCTTTCAACTGCGAAGTTCTTCTGTGCTTCTACAGAGCGGAGGCAAGATGACTGACAGACTCTCAATATTGCGCGTCTAGTTCTTTCACGACGGTAGGATCACAATTGCGATCATTTGCTAACGCGAAACACATCAACACTTTCCCGATTAGTTTTGATAGCCCCAAATTACCCAACGTATGAAAGGCTTTTCCGAGAAGTTAGGTTGATCTCCTTCGGTACCACACTTGAAGATCTAAGGTCAGGTATGATATTAATATGATTACCTTGCTGCAAGGGAGAGGATTCCCCTCGATCCCGGTATGGCCATTCAATAAAATACCCCATTAGGGGACACCAGGGCAGAGGGCCTTGAATTGAGAAATCGATCATGCGATCGCCTTGGCCTCGCCCTCTGCCACCCTTCTGGAAAACTTAAACGTCCTACTTTAGATTGGGGACCTGCCCGTTGTTCGTTATCGTCTTTCGCATATATTAGTTCCTTTTGAAAAGTTTGGGGGTTCCCACTCGATGGGTGTCGGTCTACGTAGCAGAAATGGGGTGGACGTTCAATGTTGCCAATCCTGATGCTGCCACGAATGCGCCCGCCATTGCGGTTGTGGGAATTGTTTTTACCGTCCTTTCTACCCTAGTTGTGTCATTACGACTCTACGTTCGAAGTTCGATAGTCAAGAAAATCAGTATCGGTAGGTGTTCCCAACTGGGGATAGCATTGTTGCTTTATCTAATTGGGATATCAGATGACTGGATTATCGTTGTTACTTGGGTATGTGTTGTATATGAAGCTTTTGATATCTCTGACGTCGAGAATAGTTTCTGTTATTCATTTTTGTAGCAATCAAACTCGCTCGTCAGTCTCCACTCGTCACCGACCACATGATACAGTCTAACATATGTTTAGAAACAAGATGGGGACTGGGTCTTCAGAATGTGGAGGATATGCCTCCTCAAAATCTCTATTATTTTGGACTGGTCAGTAACCCTTCCTCGCTTCGTGCTAGCCCTTCTAACATATAGTAGCTCGCATATGCTTCGTCGCTATTGTATTCACCACCTGGAATACCAACTCATAATCCTTCTAACCAGCCTCCTGTAGTTACGTCTGTGCTATCCTCGGATTTAAACTCAGCATCCTCTTCACTTTCTTCCGCATGGCTACCGATCGCCTCCACCGATTTTCCATTGTCGGCCTCGCGGTAGCCTGCTCCATGTTCCACTTCTGCTTTTTTGTAGTCCAACTGCGTCTCTGCAACCCCGTCGCCAAGCAATGGGACCCCGCCATCACAGACGGCACTTGCATTCCCACCATGCCCCTCTACACCGCAATGGCAGTAATAACAATAATATTCGAAGTCTTAATGTCCGTTCCACCCCTCCTCCAAAGACAATCCACTAACAAACCAACAGACTCCTCACCCCACTCCCCATCCTCCTCTACTCGGTCTTCACCCCTCGGAAGAACCTTCTCATCGGCGCAATCTACATCCTCTCCATCTTCGTTTGCTTCATCCAAATTATTCGGCTGCTCTTCATCACCAACCAGTCCTCAGCAATCGACACCTCTCCCCTCCTCAACTGGTCCGTGGTTGAGGTTTCCCTCGGAATAATCGCCTCCAGTCTCCTCTCTCTCGCTCCACTCTTTGAGTCTTTCCTCGCCTCAGAAATCGACACCTTCAAACTCTCCCTCAAGATCGACCACGCCAAGATGGCCGTCAAGCGCGTCAGGAAAGAGTCTCCGACTTGGCAAAAGATAACCCTGCTCCTCGGATATGGCAAGTTGAAAGGACAGAAAGGAGAGAATAGGAGTGGTTCAAGGTTGGAGAGTCGGCCAAATAGCAGGAGGAAATGGGAGGGCCGCGGAGGAGGGGAGGGGAGCGCAGGCGGTCTCAATTTCGAGATGGGGATTGTTAAGACGACAGAGGTGATTATTAGTCGTGAAGGGAGCACATGAAAAAAGCCGAAGAGCTTGAGGCTTGGAAGAAAGAGGTGTAGGATATGGATAATTAATGAGATGTTTATCATGCAATTTTTCTTGAGTTGGAAATAGGGTTTCTTGGCGTGTTTCGGGGCTCTTTAACGAAGGGCTAGGATTTATGAGGAGTGGGAGGATAGTTCACTTTCTCGGGCGTGTTTTGAGATACCAATTCACTTTCTTTCTTTTGAATTTTCTCTTACTCCTGTGCCTCGAGCACAGAAGTTGGTTGTCACTGCGGAGCCAGCAAGGTTCCTGAGTCTTCATCCCTGGGTGAGTCATCCCCCGGTAGGTTTACCAATGAATTACGTACGCTCAATTCCAAACGCCGCACCTACACGGGTTGAGTGACCAAAAAAAATCTATTTATGGATGTTTTAATCAATTTGTTTTGAATCAACTGCCGTTTTGGGCGATATATTTGCTGCGACGAACGCTGAACCGCTGCGGAGAGGGCGATCCTGGCTCCCCAAGCTATCAAGGGAACAACTTGTTGGCCTTTTTAAATACCGAAGATTTTTTTTTGGAAAACAGGGTGCATTGGTCGGGGCCTGGGCTCAGCATTGATAGCATCCCCTCTTGCAGTCTTCCTATATCTACGTTTTATAAGCTGGACCGACTTCCGAGTATCTGCGTCCACTTTCATTGCACAGATGGGTATTTTACTTAAAGTAGCTTTGTGGGGCGGTGGGTGGGCTTAGCTGCAAATGTAATTGGGGCCTGGCCGTGTATGCATTTGAAACTATGGAACCTTGGGAGAAGTCTCTTGGGTTTGCCTTTACTAATCATGGAACTTTCCACATACCTGATATCTGAATGCAACCAAAACCTCTGAAACAATGAATAAAATAGTTGTGGAACATGTGCTGAAAATTCACAGCATAGCAAACCAAAGGTGAACCGCTTTCCACAAAATTACTCACTGTCACTGTCGAAAGGAGGTCGCTTGCCGAAGCGACGGCTTAACTCCGGCACATCAGATTAAATAGGGGCTTGCCCTTTTTACTCGACAGCAAAATTTCTGCCGAAAAGTAATGACAAGAGGACACCATTGACATCAATCTCCGTCTGGTGTTGTTAACCAGTGATAAAGAATCTCTAAGACTTTTATCTCACCCACGGCATCAAAGGAGAAGACAAATGCATTCTGCAGCACCAAAACAATCTCCATTCTCTGGTATTGTCTCAACCAATCCCACCCCTCAGTTCCCGCCCGGAAAGACGTTGCCCAACGCCCGAAAGCCAAAAAATTGCAGCAGACGAAGGTCCGCTCCCTCTCCCCCGTCGTCCTCCTCTCCCCCCATCTCCATTCCTTGCATCTCATTGTCCCTGCCCTCATCCTCCTCCTCCTCCTCCTCCTCCTCCTCCTCCTCAACTGGTATCACCGCCGAGTTTGGTCGGGAAGATGGGAGGGGTGTGCGTGGGCCGGGCTGCTGCTTTCATCTGTCAGCCGCATGCTCCTTCCGCAGAAGTTAGGGGCGAAAGAAACAGAGGATACAATTGTCTCATTATGGGAAGAAAAAATATGTTGGATATCTGAGACGAAAGAGACAAAGGGGGGGGGACTCACTGCTGGCTGCCTAAGGGGGAGATGCTGTTGTTGATTAACTACCACAGGACCTGGGGCAGCTGGAGGCAGAGCCGGTCCAACCAGGGCACTGTGACGGCCAATCAACGTGAACATTTCTCCCTTGATGTGGCTCCATGCGCTTTGGAATGAATGGAGGTTTGAGTATGGGCGATTGATGGTGGTGGCATATTGGGAGTGTAAATCTGGAATATCTGCGCAGAACGACCGCGCGGACGGACGACGAAGGGGGTTGCTGAACCGGTGTAGCCTGGGAGAGAGAGATTGATTGCCTCGACGGCGTTCATGACTGTTTGCTATTTATTAGCTATTTGTCCGATAGAGCGGTAGAGCGTTTTGAGATAGGGGCGACGAGATCAAAGCGACGCGTGTCCCAAGACATCAGACGACAACTTCTCGATCATCTGAAATCAAACAGAAAGATACGAACAAGATGACGACTGCCCTCAAGACTCCCGACGATACCCAGATAACAATTCCACCTGTCATCTGAAATAGGGAGCAAGGAGAAAAGATCGCACTTACAAGTCAACTTGGACGTATATCGGCCCCGAGCAGATGCGGAGAGGTTAGTGAGCGCGGCGCTTGCAGGCCAGTTGCCAGGACCAATGGGAGCGACGAGCGAGATAGTAGCGGACATCTTGATAGTGGTAGAGACAAGGGCAGTTGTTTGGATAGTTGTGTGTAGTAGATGTGTAATGGCTGTTTCTTGACCGGAATCTCGACACCTCCCAACCCTCTGGCCCACGTGACCCCGCGCCGCCTTTGCTCAAGCGGCTCAGGCCTGGCTCAACTCCGGCTCAAGTTTGCTCAGGTCTGCTAACCCATCTCACCAGAAATCGTCAACTTTTAACGAGGAGCCCGAAAAGGCCCCCTTTCCCAATCCGGGGGTCCCAAATCTGTTCCCACTATACGCTCATTCCCAGACAGTTATCCTGGTCTGCCTGTCTTTATACGTAGGACCTTTTTCTGTGTTTTACTTCAGGTTATTTTATGTCGTCCTCTGTATTTTGCCTAGAACTATGTATTCTATAAATGGCTGTTTCCCTCTTACCTTTATATCTTTTCTCCTCTATCTTCTTACTCATATTCTTATCTATCTTCTTATATATCTCCTTACCCATCTTCCAATACATCTCCTTACCTATCCCCTTACCTATCTCCTTATATATATCCTTATATATATCCTTACTTATATTCTTTCCCTCTTCTTTTCTCTCTCCTCTCTCATTTCTCCAGGAAGACCTTCTTTTCTCGTCTCTATTTCAGATATCTATATCCGTATATATATAGTTCTATAAGCCATAAGTACTAAATAGGTAAAAGAATATTAGAAAGAACTAAATTCAGATAAGTAAATAGAGGCAGCCCTGAGAAATAGGCTCTCTAAAAACAGGTCTGGAATTAATAATAATCCCGTTTATAGAAAACTAAATAAAAAGACTAGCTAACTATAATATAATATAATATAGGATTTTTGGGAAGTATATATTACTAATATTATAAGATTAAGTCTAGAATAGTAAATACTAATATATCTTAGATCTAAAAGAAAATATCTAGAATTAGACTTATATAATATAAAAGATATAAAATATATTATTAAAGCTATTAGATATTTAATTCCCGGTAAACTAGATAAAGAAATAGAAAGAGTAATTATTAAAATAGTATAGAATAAGATACGAAAACTTATATTAATATAATAATAAAAAACAAATATTACTATTTCTTTAGAAATCTATAATTTAATAGCTCTTATAAATATATTTATAGGCAAGTCTATTTTAAATTATTAATATATAATATATTTACTAATAAATAAAAAAGCATATTAAAAATATATTAAAATATATAATTCTTTTATTAATAGAAGAAAAGATATTTATATTTCTAATAATAAAGAATTATATTAATATAAAAGAGTTCTTATAATAATATAATTACTATAATTATATTTATAAAAAATATTATATAAATTTAAGTATTCTATTAAAAATATATTATTATATTTTTATAAAGTTATAGAAAATATATAAGATAATATTTAAGGTAAGATATTAAATCTAGAATAGAAATAAAACCCCGATTTTCGTATTAATAACTATTACTAATAATAAAACCTTATTTATATAATTATATAGAAAGATAGAAAGCTAGAGATTAAAATAAGTTTTAAAAAAGAATTTACTAAAGAAATATAAAATATTTCAAAAAAGTAAATCCAAAAGTATTTATTTTAAAGCTTAGATAAATTACTAATAGCTTATTTATAGACCAAAATATCTATTATATAAGAAATTAAAGCCTATATCTTCTTTTTTTACTAATAGTTTCTTATTTCTATTTATTATTATTATTTTAGTTAATATATTTAGGGACTATAGTACTATTAAGAATATTCTTATTACTAGACTATTATTAGATAGAAAATACTAGATTATAGATTAAATAAATAAGATATTAGATAATCTAGTCTTTCTAAAGATATTTATAAATAGACTAGTTAAAAAGACTAAAAACGAGATTATATAAGGCTATTAGTATTTAGACTAAATAAAAAGGGCTAGTTTTATAAGAGAAATAAAGTTTTATACTATTTATTATAAAGTATTTATTAAGATAAATAATAAAAAGTACTTATTTTAAATAAGTTTATAATATAATAGGCTAATTAGTAATAAATAATAGCTATTTACTAAAACAAGTTATAAAGTTTATTATATATAGAAACTTAAAAACTTTTATTAGTTACTATTTAAATAATATAAGTAATATAGATAATATAATAGTCTTTTTTATCCTGAAACTATAATAGAATCTTACTAAAAACTTCTATTCTATATTTATAAAAAGAAACCCGGATTTCTAGTACTTATTTCTAGGAAAATACTTAGATAAGCTAAGGTAATACCGGAACTTTACTAATTTTAGTAAATAAATTAATAATCTTTTTATTTAAATTATAGCTACTATTATAGAAAAGAAATACTAAAAGCTTAAAGCTTAATAATACTATATTTATAATTAGTATTAAAAGCTTATTAATAAAGAATTAGTAAACTATTATAGAATATAATAATAAATATATATTATCTAATATAAAATAAATAACTAGGGCAAATAATACTATAATTACTTTAATTATATTATCTATTATATAGTTTTTAAATATAATTGCCTTATTTATACTTTACTAATTATTACCCTATTATAGAATTCAGAAAATATCTCTATTTTCTAAGATCTTATTATATTTTATATAAATAATTCCCGTATTATATATTAGGAAATATTATAGTCTATAGGAAATTACTATCTAGTATTAATTTATAGCTAAGAGATTAAAGAATAAGAATAGTTTCCTCTTATTAGTATTATTTCTATTAATAGAATATATTAGTATTATTATAAAAGAGAAATAGAAATATATATACTAGTATTTTAAAAACTATTATAAGAAGTAATCTGGTTTTATTAAATTTTATTTTTGGTATAATAGATAAATAACTAGTAAAATAGGTTAGAAAGCCTATTATTAAGATTATATTAGTAATTTTAATATATTTTTCTAGTATAAACTAGTTTCTTTCTATTATATTATTACTTATACCGGATATTATAGCAGATATTTAAGGAAAAAATAGCTATTAGTAATTATATAAATAAGATAGTTTTATAATTAGATAAGCTAGTAAAAATATATTTCTAATTATATTTTAGAATATATTAAGAGCTTAGATAGTAAGAACTTTATTTTATACTTATATTTACTATATATTATAGTACTTTATTCGGAATTAGACTTATAAAACTATTTTGGAAATATATATAATATTTATAAGCCAGATATATAAAAGAAATACTAATATTAGTAAGAAGAAAGTAATAATAAATAAGTCGAAATATCGGGTATTATTAAGAAGAAATAGCCTCGATTTTAAGGAAAGCTAGAAGATAAAAACTATAAAATACCAGATAACTAAAAATCTATTTTTAAAGATTATTCTAAAGATTTTCTTAGCTACTTATTTATAAATATGTCGGTAGTAAATTTTGATTTATATCTAGTAAATAATATTAAGATAATAGTAATATCTAGTAATTTCTTATTATATTATAGTATTTTAGTTAGTAGTATCTGGAATAATTATAATAACTATTATAGTATAAATACTTCGCTTTTATTCCTATTAAATAATATTCTTAAAGCAGTTTCTTAGACTAGAAAGAATTACTATTCTTTTTAGATAACTTTATTAGAAGCTATTACTATTAACCTCTTTAATAATTCTGAACTTTAGAACTTTAATATAATTATAGATACTATTTCTTATTCTATTAAGTTTTAAGAGAACTAGATATTATCTAGCTCTAATACTTTTCTATTATATCTATCTAGTATTTTAATAAAGTTAGTTAATCCGGAGCTTTAAGATATTCTTTCTTCTTTTATATTAAGTTTACTAGTAATTACTAACTTAGTTAAGGATATTTATAGAAATATACTAATAATTATATTAGGGTATATAGAAAGCTCGGTAATATAGCCGCTTTATAATAGCTAGCTAGTTATAATTAATACCAAGAAAGGAATATAGGAGGCTAAAATATTACTTGCTAAGTAAAAACGAGATAAAATAACTTAGTACTTTATAAAGTAGAAAGGATTTCCGTATAAGAATAATATATAAAAGAAATAGAAGAATATAAGCCCGGAGCTTATTAAAGAGTTTGAGGCGACCTATTAAAGGAACTATTCGGGTATATAACTACTTAAGAAGCGAGTACTATATAAAAGAATTAAATACCTTATTAGGTAAAAGGGTTATCCGGAGAGCGAGAATTCTTGGGAGAAAGAAGCTACTATAGGCCGTAAACGAATTATGAAGTTTGAGGCGAGCTAAAGAAGGAAACTATTTATATTATATAATATTATTCTTAGCTAGTAACTTGGCTTGTAATCTTATCCCTGTATTTATTTATTAAAAGTATATTGTGGATATCCGTTATAGGGCGAGTATGACAAAGGCACTAAATATGTGGTTGGCCCGGAATAATATAGAGCCGCTCCCGTAATCTAGAAAGTTCTGGAAGAGCTCTACTTTTAGGCGAGAATGTCCGCCTCCCGAGATCTGTAAATCATATTATAACTTTTTTATGAAATTATGAATCTAGAATTCAAATAAACACGCCTTGGACTTGAGCAATATCTGCCAATCTTCATAGGATTAGGCTTTGATTAGTATTTGTTCTGCGACATATTATCGCTCGTAAGAAACCACAACTAATGCGAAGCCTGAATAGCAGCGATTACTTTGCCCCTGATAAATCAGGCGAGGGAGCTATATCGGGTCCCTATAGTTATTCAGAGGCTGTGCTGTAATCTCCCGTCGGACAGTGTGCCTTCGCTTTTCTAAATTTGTGTATTAACACTCGCTATATAGAGGGAGCCAGAAAGGGATCCCCATAAAAATAGATAGTCCAAAGAGGGACCCGTAGAGCAATACTTTATTAATTCAAGCTATATAAATAATTAAGGCAAGTTTAATTATGAACATACCCAACTATTAAAAAAAATGGCTTTGCCTCGACCAAGTAACCTAAATCATACCAGATAGAGAACGGAATGCCGTGAAAAGCTTTCGGAGCATATTAGTAAGATCTACGCCCT